TTATTGCATAAACAATTGATGCATTCTATATATTGACTTGAACAGAAACTATTGATACTATATTGACCAGACAACACACTAGAAAGTGAAGGGACGACGACGTTTCGGTCCGTCCTGGATCATTCTAAAGTCGATTGTGAACTTTGGAACACAATCGACTTGAGAATGGTCCAGGACGGACCGAAACGTCGTCGTCCCTTCACCTTCTAGTGTGTGGTCTGGTCAACATACTTCAGCCACGTTATTGTGACTCATCGCCTGCATATTGATACTATACCTCACCAGAGACCCATTATAGCGAGTTAAAGACCCATGTTATTGTAGGGGATTGATCCGTGGCTGGATTAGGGATTGGATATTTAAAAGCCAAGTTAGTTAAAATGTAGTTACGCCCGAGTGGGAACTGTCAAGAGTCCCTGGGCTCTTCCCCGTGACCTCTGTTCTTTTAAACTAAACCATTTGACCTTAGGATTGAACAGCAAGCTGCAACTGGTGAATCACGAAGCAAAATTTTGCAAATTTAAAGACGATAGATTGGGCGGAAGATGCATTCAGGAAAACAACAAATTCGCTGAATGACTATACACAAATCCTCTTAAAATGGATGTAAGATTGGTATATCGTTATATTCGCATAAACAATGCCAAGTTCGCCTGTAATTGGCAGTTTCACCTTCGAGGTGTTGTTGTACGACTGTCAGCCAGTAAGGTACGTGTCTTATCATCAAGTTAGAATAAATCATTGTTATTGCATTATACACGTCCTTGCAATTGTTGTTGCAACGGTGAATAAAATAACCCCTTGGGGCCCTGATGATCAAGGCGTCTGTTGTTGATGGTTAGCGATGTTTGTTCAATGATTAACTTGTGGGTTTTTCATTGATTTATTCTTACCCTTGTCTGGTGGCGCCCCCAACGTCTGCTTCTGACCTGGTCTGGATAGTTATGGGACTGGCCAGGCTAAGTCTTACCTGGGCAGACTTGGGACTAGTCTAGTGGGATACCTTTGAACTTTGTCTAACTTCGTTTGGTGCTGGGATCCACGCTGGAGCCGCATTTTCCTGGATTGGTCTGACATATGTGATATGTAATGTTCTGAATGATTTCTTACACAAATTTGAGAACACTCAGAATGTTCGGTAATATGCTTATTGTTTTTTTGTATATATATATATATATATATATATATATATATATATATTCCGTTCGGAGCGGACGTCGTTCCGGTCCGTCTTGGACCATCCTGGACCGGTCTTGACCGCCCTGGACCGTTCTCAACCTGGTCCTGTACGTCCCAGGCCGTACGATAACGTTGTGGGTTGGCCGTCAAACCACTATAATGAAAAAAGCAATGACAAGATTTGTTATCGTGCCACTGAAAGTCATTCGTGGCATTTCATACAAAGAAAAATTTAAGTTAATTCCACAGCTAATAACTCCCGGCCGCCAGAATGATTGCGAGTGAGAGAAAAAGGAGAAAGAAACGTTCTGATCCCTTCTAAAACCATGCTCGAACCCTTTTCCTTTGGCTCAATACTCTGGCTCCACACCATGGTGCTACCACCACCCTCTCCTGGTTCCAGACCATGGTCCTACCCCCCCTGGTTACACCACACTCTGGCTTCACAAAATGGCCTCACCCCCTGGCTCCACACATGTGCTCCACACCATGGTCCAAAACCCTCTGGCCTCACCCCCATGGCTCCACACCATGGCACCATGGCATAATGAATAATTTACATGGAATTCTAATGTTTTACCCTCGAGACCGGTTGTAAAAGTTGTAGTTGTGAAAATAGTGATTAGAATAGAAGTAGCAGGCAATAGCAGTAGTAACAATAGCCGTCGTTCTGATCGTAGATGAAATATTAATAAGGATAATAGTTTTCCTAGCAGTAATACCAGAATTTGCTTGTGTTTTCATGTTTTTATTTCATTGTAAGTTTTTTTTGGAGATGTCATGGTGCCTCTTCCACACGAGTGAGACTGCTTCTCTCTGTCTCTCTCTGTCTCTCTCGTGAGCACTGGGGTGAGTATGGCCGCTGTGGAGCATTAGTGGGCTTCTTGAGTTTGTATGTAGAGCGCTGTGTTATAGCATTTATGATGCTCAAATTTCGTAGCATTAATATTCATAGCTACTTATGAGGGCCAGAACATCGAGTAACTGTGTGTGTGTGTATTCACCTAGTTGTATTTTCCTAGTTGTGCTTGCGGGAGGTTGAGCTCTGCTCTTTGGTCCCGCCTCTCAACTGTCAATCAATCAACTGTTACTATTTCCCCTCCCCAGCTGTCAGGGCGCCTGACAGCTGGGTGGACAGCACTTCGGATTCGTAGTCCAGAGGTTCCGGGTTCGATCCAAGGTGGAGGCGGAGACAAGTGGGCAAAATGTTTCTTTCACCCTGATGCTCCTGTTACCTAGCAGTAACTAGGTACCTGGGAGTTACACAGCTGCTACGGGCTGCTTCCTGGGGGTGGAGGCCTGGTCGAGGACCGGGCCGCGGGGACACTAAGCCCCGAAATCATCTCAAGATAACCTCAAGAAGACTCCCCCCCCCCCATGACGCAGCCCGTAACAGCTGTCTAACTCCCAGGTACCTACTTACTGCTAGGTAACAGGGGCATCAGGGTGATAATAATGAGTTTTAATATCTAGATGCAATAACTATCTCCCGAGTAAAATATATCGTGGATATGTAAGTTTTAAGAGAAAGGCAAAATTTATGAACATATGTAATAACATTAGCTTCTAGTGTGTTTACATAATGCATAGGCGCCTAGGAGAACTTCAGGAGGGAGCATATTTCTAAATATGAAATGTCCTGGGGCCAGATTCACGAAAACACTTACGCAAGTACTTACGAACGTGTGCATCTTTCCTCAATCTTTGACGGCTTTGGTTACATTTATTAAACAGTTTACAAGCATGAAAACTTCCCATTCAACTGTTGTTATTGTTATAAACAGCCTCCTGGTGCTTCGGAACTCATTAACTATTTAATAATTGTAAACAAAGCCGCCAAAGATTGAGAAAAGATGTGCAGGTTCGTAAGTGTTTGCGTAACTGCTTCGTGAATCTGGCCCCAGGAATCTGCCTTCCTCAGGGCGCCAGGCATCACTGGTGAGAGCATGGCTTCTCACAGGACTTTTATTTTTACTAACAGGTGGTTTTCGATTCACAATTGGGAATCCCGGGTTCGATTCCCGAGTGGGACAGAAAGGGTTAGACACGTCTCCTTTCACCTAGCAGTAAATAGATAATCTAGGAGTTAGGCAACTGTTGTGGGGGGTTGTATGTTGACCAGACCACACACTAGAAGGTGAAGGGACGACGACGTTTCGGTCCGTCCTGGACCATTCTCAAGTCGATTGGGGTGGGGGGGGTTGCATCCTGGGGAGAGTCAGTCGTTCGACCTTGGAAGGGACCTCGTTGCAAGCCTAAAGTTTATATATATATACACGGTCTTCCTGTCCCTGGCTAAACTAATAAAATGCAACGAATTAGGTAAGACGGATTGATGACACGTTCTCCCAGAGGAACACAATGATAGAAAACTAATATAAAGAGTGGAAGAGGGGTAACTTTGTTGAAAGTACAGCGACACTCATTTGAACCAATTTCCAATTTCCCAAAGTTGCTTATTCGACGACGATAAATTTACGTCGGAGCGACGTCAATGTGATGTCAGAACGACGTCGAAAGCATGACAATTACAAATGGAATCACTTACTGTGACGGACTTCTACGCCATCTACGATCTGGGTACCGAACTATACGAGTCGACCCTCCCAGTAATCATAGCTTCCCATCTTTTAATCTGCCAGGCTGAAAGGTGACGAGGGACCAGAGGCAGGCTAGGGAAGGCAGTGAAATCGGGATAGCGGAAGACAGAGGTCGACTTGGATGGACTGGTCGAACGCTGTGGACTTTACTCCTGGAGGGACTAGCTGAGTGATCTGGTCGAGCGCTGTGGGGTTTACTCCTGGACGGACTAGCCAAGTGACGTGGTCGAACGCTGTGGACTTTACTCCTGGAGGGACTAGCCAAGTGACCTGGTCGAACGCTGTGGACTTCTACTCTTGGAGCTGCTAGCCAGTGGGGCTGGTCGTATGTTGCTGACTTTGTTGCTTCGGCGTACCAGCGAGTGCCCAAAGAAGACTTCAGCAGAAGCACTTTGAGTGTCGACCAGGCTAGCGTAAGGGCTAGCAACGCCAAACCGTTTGATCTCTCGTAGCGTTGTATATATTATATGGATTCTTATGGTGATGAGAAATAATAATGGGATATTTTAAGTGTCTTTCTTTTAATATTGCCTTTTTAACATTACACTACTTTTACACCAAGATTAAGGTCCTCTGAACTTGAGTAGGATCACAGTTTATAAAGAACCCGGTTGCGAAGAGTTCGTAATACTTACCGGATAATTAGTGACGGTAAAATGACGTTGAATGCGACGTCAGAACGACGTCGAATGCACGAATTATAAATGGAAACGCTTACCTGATAATAAGTGGCGTCAAAACGACGGTAAATCGACGTCGGAGCGACGTAGAATGCAACGTCAGAACGCCGTCGAATGCATGAAGATTATAAATGGAAACGCTGATAATTAGTGGCGACAAAACGACGGTAAATCGACGTCGGAACGACGTCGAATGCGACGTCAGAAGGACGTAGCATTCGACGATTTTATATATTTATATATCAAAGTATGCAACAATGTTTTACCTGTTGGTTTTACAATATTTTAAGACTGTTTAATATTTCCCAATTTCTATTTATTGTTTCAAACTCTATACTTAAATCACATACTGAAATAATAATTAAGCCATATTAAATCTATTTCTCAAGCACATCAGGGAATATTATAAATACTAAACAATAAAAGTGAGTTTTACTTCTATAAATAAATAAATGCTTGTTCAGATAAGGTACATACATACAAGAGATTTTTACAAAAAAAGTTACTAGGTTTATAGACAAGAGCTGGTTCATACAATGCCTAAAGTCACTATTACGCAAAGAGTTTTGGCTTGACTAATCTTTTAGTGGAGCTAGAACATGTGGTCATTTTAAATAGAAAAAGAAAACGGATACACGAAGAACTTTCCAACGCAGGACTTCAACATTGTGTGGCGAAGGAGATATTTCTGGAGGCGGGAGTCCGCAGGTTACAGACGCATTAAAAAGCTGCAGGGAAGGAGCCGAGTAGGTAGCGTTGACCAGACTAATTTTACGTCAGGACGGACCGAAACGTCGTCGTCCCTTCAATTTCTAGTGTGTGGTCTCGTCAACATAATTTTACGTCAGTTTTGAGGAGGACGTCTTCAGTAGTTTCGAGTGTAGAGGAGCTCTTCAGCGATGAAAGTGGTACAGCTTCCGTTGAATTTAGCTTACGTCACCGGAGGCATTTGTCCTGTAGGAGGAATCTAGTTTAAGATGCGAGTTAAAACACTTCCCCCCCCCCCCCCACACTAAATTTCCCTCTGCTACAACCAACAGCCTGGTTGATCAGTCAAGCAACCAGGAGGCCTGGTCGACGACCGGGCCGCGGGGACGCTAAGCCCCGGAAGCACCTCAAAGGTAACCTCAAGGTACGTTGGGAGCCGGTCGGCCGAGCGGACATCACACTGGACTTGTGATCCTGGGTTCGATCCCAGGCGTCGGCGAGAAACAATGGGCAGAGTTTCTTTCACCCTATGCCCCCTGTTACCTAGCAGTAAAATAGATACCTGGGTGTTAATCAGCTGTCACGGGCTGCTTCCTGGGGGTGGAGAGTCGAGGACCGGGCCGCGGGGACACTAAAGCCCCGAAATCATCAAGATCACGTCAACTGGATCCCACCTAAAAGTATTGATCAGTTTTAGATTTTTTGGCCATTTTGTAATTTAGTCCAGCAAGATGACCTTATTTAATGGTCATACATTTCAATTTATAACCATGTTAAATACTAGGAAGTAAACTCACTTGCGATAGCGCTCTTTATAAAGTCGTCCTTATCCTCTTGGATACTAACTAGCTGAAAGCCTCTGCCAAGACTAGCAGTAAGAGTTTGCTTGATCCCAGCTGTAGGTATTAGTATTCACGCACCATCAGAAACTTTACTTCTTACCAGCTACATTTCCAGGTATCTGAAACGAGTTTAAAATTAAATTAAATCTAAATTTACTGAAATGGGACAATAAGAGCCGTTTTGGAGGCCTCAAGCCTGCCTCTTTGGTACTCCAAGCACATTACTCAGCCCGTCCTCCAAACAAAGACCCAAAAGTGATTCCATGCACCCGCCAAACCCCCTGTTTATGAATGAAAAACGGTTTACACACGACTCAACTGCTGACGTTCGAACATATCCGGAACAAGTGCTTCACTGACGAATTTTGTTCGTCTCACAACGCTATAAATGCTTCACCCACGTACTACAAATAATCGCCAACAGAACCTAAACACCTAACCTAAGCCTATATATACACAATATGCTAATATATTATAATATTAATTTATACTTTAGAAAATTCCCGTTTTGAATGAACAGCATATTAAAATTTATGAATGCGTCTGTGGGGTCGACCGCTGGATGCAATGGACTTTAGTCGAGGACGGGTTGCATTACTCAAACATAAATCAAGAGTAACCAAATCAAGCTAGAACTGACTGTTCTAGTTTGAGTCGGTAACGAAACCTACTTACCAGGTATTCCACAGGATGGGGTGTCTAGTTTGCTGTGGGTTGAAGACTGAGAAGCTGGGGGTTGTGGCATCACAGGAACCTGGTGGCCATGCAGAAAAAATAGTAAATTATACAAGACGCATTAATGCTACACCTTTGTAATAGTTTTAAGTAATTTACTTTAAAGTATCAACCGTATACAGTTGATAGACCAAGTGTTATTGTCCTAACTGGAAGAAACAGTCAGTGAACATGCACGGCTATACTGCACATTACCAAAACTGCAACTTTTGGTATTGTGCAACAGAGTCAAGTTAGCGTTCAAGTTTCTTCCAGATACTAACTTTCTGCCTAACGGGACGAGTCTTCAACCTTCTTACCCAAGGTCACTGGGAGTTATTCCTAACAAAATAGTGTCACGCAGGTTTTGAAAGTAATTTATGTACGCTGGTCTATGGTTAGGGGTTACGGATGTACATTTGGTTGTTAACACTCCCGTACATTGTTCCAATGGCGTGTTAATGAAGTTGCTTAAATGTCATTCCTTAATATACGAAGTAAGGATAAAAATATCCTAACGACACTTCAGGTCCTTGGTGATAAGTTGTGTACACACTATAAGCATTAAGAGCTCGCCTGGATAAGGTATTTAAGAATATGAGCTACTTTAAAGTTTTAATATTTTACTTCACCATTCAGGAAACTACCTTCTGGCACAACTATATCTAAGGCTGGTCTCTGACGACAGAGCTGTACGTGGTGCCAGGTGATGTGGTGGCCCTACGCCGTCCTTAAAGATGCTCTTCAGTACCCAGAGACAGTCTTGCCTACCGTGTCTAGTTGTGGTCGCCCGAGCGTAGAGACGGGAGGAGAGAGAGTTAACTATTGTATTCTTTAAAATAAAGACGTATTAAATCTTATGACAAGTTACTTATACTTTTTGAAGATTGGAAGTTACTCGCTTAAAGTCTACCAAACATCCCGTATGTTAAGAGCTGTATGATAAATTAATAAAATTACAAGCCATACTGACCCTTTAGTGCGAGACCAGTTGGGCAGTACCAGAATGGCCGCCTCCAGGTCCTCCTGCCTCGCTCTGTGCCGCTTATCCATATGAACTGGATCCCACCTAACAAAAAATAGGTAAATTTAGACAAAAATTCTTAACATTTGTAAATCTTAGTCTAGCAGGATGACCACACTTTATGTACAATGCACATCTTAAAATAATGTATAACCATGTTAAACATTAAGTAACTTACTTCTGGCAATAACTTTACGAAGTCTAATCCTTGTCTTCTAACTAGCTGGAAGCCTCTGCATAAACTAGCAGTAAGAGTTTGCTTGATCCCAGCTGTAGGCACAAGTATTCACGCACCATGATTAAAGACTTCTTACCAGCTTTCGTTTCCATATATCTGAAATATATTGAGCTAAAATTACTAAAAAAGGGGACAACAAAGAGCCATATTGAGGATTCTTAACTCGTGTTCGGTATTTTAAGTACTGGTTTGATCTATGGGATTTATAGATTAACTAGAACTTACGTTTTTTCGAGTTAAATGCCACAGTTTAGTTTGGTGTGGCCTTGAAGGCATAGAGACCTTGGCTGGGGCCGAGGGACCCACGGAAGCTGGGGTACCTGAAATGCAGGAAGAACAAGGGTGTCGCTTGAATTAAGTTGTAATGGTCAGAACGAATTATGCCATTAACTCCTTATATTTAGAGAACTATTTACACAACTACAGTAACTGAATTTATGATTTATACAAGCCACTGAAATGTTGGTATTAAATGAATTAGAGTTTTAAGGTTTAAGCCAGACGTCAAGGGCTAGTCTCACATGATACAAATGTGTTAGTGGGACGTCAATGGGCAGTGTGTATAGTGCCACACGCATTATTATGCTCACTTTACCTTTGAGTCGTCAAGGTTAATCTGAAATAGGGGTTATTCCCCCCCATACGCCACTAGTTAGAATACGGGGAACAATGGTAAAGGAAGGGGCGACGTAACAAGGGGGAAGGGACGCAACAAGTGACGGGAAGGGCGCGCAACATGGAAGAGGGGGAGGGAGGGGGGCCTGCGCAACATGGAAGAGGGGGAGGGAGGGGGCGGCGCAACATGGGAGAGTTGGAGGGGAAGGGAGGGGCGGCGCAACATGGAAGAGGGGGAGGGAAGGGGCGGCGCAACATGGAAGAGGGGGAGGGAAGGGGCGGCGCAACATGGAAGAGGGGGAGGGAAGGGGCGGCGCAACATGGAAGAGAGGGAGGGAGGGGGCGGCGCAACATGGAAGAGAGGGAGGGAGGGGGCGGCGCAACATGGAAGAGGGGGAGGGAGGGGGCGGCGCAACGTGGAAGAGGGGGTGAAAGGGGGCGGCGCAACATGGGATGTGGGGGGAAAATCCTCACCATACAGCTCACCTTCAAGAGTCGAGCCTGGAACTGTGTACCAAAAGCGAGGCAAAACAACACTAAAGTGCTTTTTTTTGTCTCATCCTCACTTTTATACCCAGCAGCCAACCAAACCCGGCCGCTGATTGGTTGACATTCACCCTAAAACCTCACCCCCATTGGTTAACATTTTGCGAGTCTGAAGTGTCAATTAACAATGGCCAACAGCCACTTCCCCAATACGAACGAGTCTCTTAGGAACCAATAATGATCCCCTAGCTTGAATGTTTGAAGTTGTTCATTTCAAAATCTAATTCACAAACCAAATACAACATTCTATTGTAAATGTTGCAACAGAACAACAGGTGCAACAGAGGAACATTTGCAATAGAATCGGTCGTGAAGTAGCAATCATCCGTCAGTCAACTGTTAACTGTTAAGGGCCGCTCAACAACTATGATAAACAATATATGCAATTACACACTAACAAACCCAAAGTTCCTGACACTACACTGGATAATGTTCAATATTTGCTTTCGATTGACTTAAGATATTGCTCGCTAATGTAAATTAGGTGATTTTAACTTATGAACGTATAAGCGAACTTATAAACGAACGAACGTATTAACGTACGAACATTTATGCTATATAGTAACTATTAACGTCAAGGATGACATTGTTCGGAATATTATTCTGTACAAGTGGCGTCCTCGACGATCACCACGTGACGCCGGACGGGTCCTCCGTTCTCCTCTCGTCCTCAGAAGAAGACTTCCAGTCACCTTCCTCGCTCTTCCTGTACTCCCCAAGGTGCTCCTCGAGTGCCTGGAGTACGAATCTCAAGACGAGTCTTATAGAATGTCAGGCGGTTCCCAGCTCCTTCCTCCACTCCCTCTACAGCTCCTACCTCTACAGTTCTGCCTGTTAGAGCTGTATGTTTACCTTGAGATTTATAAGCAACTCGTAACCTCCACCTCAGACGACCACAGCCAGACTGTAAGGAAGGTAGGTAAACAAGACCGTCTCGGGGTACTAAAGATCTACATAACATAACACGACATTGCCTCTCACCACGACAAGTCTGTCACCTGACACTAGAGCCTCTGATGTCGATGCCTCTCGTCGGTCTTGCCTCTCAGGTCTTCCTACTTGGGAACCTGTACACTGAACGACCTTCAACACTGCCAGTGTATCCTCAGGATGGATATAGGGTTCACAAATAGGCACTCGATGTGTATGGGGTCCACTACCAACCGTAGGATGGGTGGGAATGAGGTCCACTACCAACCATAGGATAGGTATGGGGGCCCACTACCGCCTACAGGATGGGTATGGGGTCCACTACCAAACGTAGGATAGGAATGAGGTCCAGTACTGCCCATAGGATGGGTATGGGGCCCACTACCGCCTACAGGATGGATATGGGGTCCACTACCAACCGTAGGATGGGTATGGGGTAGGATGAGGTCCAGTACTGCCCATAGGATGGGTATGGGGCCCCACTACCGCCTACAGGATGGGTATGGGGTCCACTACCAACCGTAGGATGGGAATGAGGTCCAGTACTGCCCATAGGATGGGTATGGTGCCCACTACCGCCTACAGGATGGGTATGGGGTCCACTAGTGCCCATCTGTGTGCGGTTGTTGACCCCACACCAATCTTTTGGATGGTAGTGGACCCCATACTCATCCTATGAGCAGTTGTAGGCCCCCATACCCGTCATACAAGTGGTAGTGGACCCCTTACCCTTCGAGTGGATGGTAGTGGACCCCATACCTACCCTGTGAGCGCTAGTGGACCCCATTCCCATCATGTGGGCGATAGTGAACCATATACACATCCTTTTGGCGGTAGTGGACCCCATACCCATCCTGTGGATGGGAGTGAGCCCCATACCCATCCAGTGGGCGGTAATGAACCCCGGACTCATCCTATATGCAGTAGCGGACCCAATACCCCATCCTACAGGTGGTAGTGGACCCCATACCTATCCTTTTGGGTGGTAGTGGACCCCATACCTATCCTTTTGGGTGGTAGTGGACCCCATACCCATCCTGTGACTTGTTGTGGACTCTCCATCCATCCTGTTTGCATAGGATGCATACCCAATAGACATTCCAACGTCATATCGTTTTCTGTTGACGTTCCTACAATCTATTCTCTAATTTGACCAGACCACACACTAGAAGGTGAAGGGACGAAGACGTTTCAGTCCGTCCTGGACCATTCTCAAGTCTATTCTCTAAGATTTTCAAAGCTTACACTATTGTATATAATGTTGTTTAGCGATAGCATCATTAGTATATGCAATAATTCACGAGTGTTTATCATCATTTTCTGAGAAGCACTGAAATTTCTCCCAAGTGCTACCCGCCAAACACACACCGAAACTACGACGTTGCTACAACGTTCGAACAAGTTTTAACACCTCCTAACCAGTTATAACAACCAATATATCAAGTTGTAACAACGTTCTAATACGTCATAAACACGTTAAGCCAAGATGTAACAACTTTATTACAAGTTGTAACAAGCGGAAAATAGAGACAGTTTCGGTTTGTGTTTCCAGGGGTGGTTTAAATCATGGGTTGAAACCATTGTTGATTCAGAATGAAGACTTGTAATTTTAACTATATTTCGATTTTAGTCGAGAATCTCCATCCATCAACAGCTATCATCTTCGCTAACGACTCTACTATAATCTTAAGCCTTAAACTCATCCAAAATACTAAAATAAGGAGCCATAAGTAGTAACTATGAATATCATTGGTGAACTATATAAATTTTAATTAATTGTAATAATAATTAATCATTTTTAACTTTGCCTTATGTCAGATTTTCTTGATTTTCTGGGAATAATGCTGCCCTCAGGCTGCTCAGAGACAGAGTAATCAATTGCCTCCTTAGAGCAAAATATTTAGCTAAAATTAGAGCACTCTGTGCTCAGTCCTACTAGGTCTCCGTGCCGTCCTGTGCTCAGTCCCACAAGGTCGAACTACTGACCATTCCCAAAATACACGAATTTTATTATAAATTGATTGATTTGGTAATTATTAATTAACTTTTGTTTTCAAATATATATTACCCACTACCCATCGGCTGTTTGAGGGGTGGGGTACAGAGTACATGTGAGGGTACAGAGTACATGTGAGGGTACAGAGTACATGTTGGGGGTACAGAGTACATGTGGTGATGCAGGGTACATATAATTGTGTCGGCGTGACAGGAAGCCAGAGTGCATTCATACACTGTAGACTTATACCGGGGCTCCTTAAATTAATTAAATTTAATCAAGGATAAGAAAAATAATTAAATTTAAATTTTTTTATAATATCTATTGTCAATTGTTTTTATAATAGTGTCAAAATAACATAATACTGTGAAAATCTAATGCTCTAATTCAGCAAGAATTCACACAAGATAATGAGTTATTGTTTACACAATTGAGGCAACACACACACACACACACACACACACACACACACACACGACTAAAGCCATTTGTGTGTGTGTGTTGAAGGGGGAGAGAACTTGGGGGGGAAAAAGCGCCAAGCCATTACGACTATATTGCACTGGGAAAGGAGTCAGGATAAGGATTTGAGATGGGACGGGGGAGGAGAAGGAATGCTGGCCAACCACTTTGACGGTCGGGGATTGAACAGCGACCTGCATGAAGCAAGACCGTCGATCTACCGTCCAGCCCAAGTAGTTGGACATTATATTGAGCCAATAAAAAAAACTAGCTAATATTAGCAGTTTAAGCACAAAAAATATTTAAATAAAAATATTATAGACAACCAAATGCTATTTTATATAAGAACACAGTTACGCACATTATCTAAACATCCTCATTTAGGTAGAACGAAAAAATATATATATATATATATTTTCAACAAAATATATCACACGATAGCCTCATGAACCACACACACACACCACAGTACTGCCCTAAGCCAGTCTTCACCCATGGAAAAAAAAAGGTTTCTCAACTGGAACGGATCATGACATAGGCGGCTGAAGATCAGCAGAATATTTACTACTGACAACAAAGAGTAACGTAGATCAGTAGAGGTCACTGAATGTTGGACCTCAATCCAGCCTTATACGAGTCTCGCCAGTACCGACGGCCTGCTGAAAGCTGCCCAGAGCAAGTCCAAAACCTCAGACATGTCAGGAATAGGTGAAGACCTTAGGGCTCTTAGGCTAAAGGCTAGCCGACGACGAGGCGTCAGTAGTGAGCCAGAGCATGCAGGATGTGGGCCACAGATCTCGCTCCAGCATCCTCGCCCTTCACATTCTCCTCTCTCACGTACGTGGCTCGTCCAGCTCTGATGGAGAACACAAATATTAGCGACAATCACACGTGATGTAAAGGGGCTGTAAGGGTACCGACTCACCCTTCCTCATAATTGGTTCTATCGAGCATTGAGCCTGATATTTGATGGGATCTACATGATAAAAATATTCGGCCATCAAAATTTTGTGGACAGGTGTAAAATGATTTGTTTGGAATCTCTGGCTGATACAGATTTAGTTCCATAACATAACTGGCAGATGCGATGCTGTCCTATGCAGATTGTATAGCATATTGTTTGAGAAAGTTATTATACAGTATATTTTGAGGTTATCTTGAGATGATTTCGGGGCTTTTTAGTGTCCCCGCGGCTCGGTCCTCGACCAGGCCTCCACCCCCAGGAAGCAACCCGTGACAGCTGACTAACACCCAGGTACCTATTTTACTGCTAGGTAACAGGGGGCATAAGGTGAAAAACTCTGCCCATTGTTTCTCGCCGGCGCCTGGGATCGAACCCAGGAGCACAGGATCACAAGTCCAGCGTGCAGTCCGCTCGGCCGACCGACTCCCTTAAAGAATACTTCCAAAATATTTGCTCAGGTTATTAAATGTTAGATTTTAAAATGTAACTGTTTACTAAGGTAATGTCGCTGTTTATTAAGGTAATGTTTCGAATGACCTTGTTCGGCCCTAACCTTGCTTTCATGTGTGCTGTTTTCTTAGCCCCTTCGTCAGCAGCTGCGGCCATGGCCTGCAGAAGACTTCTCAGGTCGTGGTCGTCGGAGGTACTCTCCAAGACCTCCACTGCTGGTATCAAGGCATCCAGCTGGCGTGAAGATAGGAGAGATAGGAGATATCTATGTACTTGAACACCTCAGACACAAGCATAAATTATTTTATCAGTTTATAAGAGTTATAAACATCCTATTATAAGAGTTAAGGGGTTACATTATAGGGAAATCTTGGTCTAATCTGCAAGGCACTGTTAATGAGGCTTATCTTAGACACTCTAAATATGTATTGAACAAAATTCTGCTTAGTGGATGAATGGACATAACAAAGGGGGATATTAATGGAGTATTAAAAGTATCAACACGAGACAGAACGCGAAACTATAAGTATAATTTGGATTAGTATAGATTTAGGAAAGACTTGGGTAAATACTGGTTTGGTAACAGGGTTGTTTATTTGTGGAACCAATTACCACGAAACTTAGTGGAGGAAGGTTCCCACTATTGTTTCAAGCGTGGGCAGGACATGTATATGAGTGGGATTGACTGGTTATAAATAGGAGCTGCCTCGTATGGGCCAATAGGGCCTACTGCAGTTACCTTTGTTCTTAGTTTCGTCCCTAATCAGTCACTATCCTGTTCTCTCGCGTTAACCAGATTTAACATTCCATATCCCCGAGGACCCAACTTACCATGGTCCTGTCTCCCTGTGCGGCCCCACCGTACTTGCTGATGGCTTCACATCCGGCCCTGAGGGCTGCAGCCCAGGCGCTACGGTGGGAGCATTCGTGGGATGCCAGAGAAGCAGATGCCGCCGTGAACAGGATGGAGTACAACCCTCCTGAAGTACCACCCATAGCGTTGGCGGACACGTCCCCTAGCACACCTAGGACCTGGTGGGGCTGTGTCATGTTGAGTCCGGACATCTGTTTTGACACGGCTGAAATGAACCAATCAGGTTAAGTAGCAATTAATGTTAAAGATTCGCTACCTGGAACAAAAAGTCCCAAGTAGCACGGGCTATGGTGAGCCCGTAGATTAAAAATAGCAATATTTTGCTACTTATCTTTGCTTTTTGTAGATGCGTGTGTGAAAATTGATGCATCTTCGGCTGATTTTATTGTTAATGAAGCTCATTCAAAAGTGAGACGGCCATTTATATGATTAAAATAGAAATAATGCTATGTCGAGAGTTTAGAACTCCACTAAAAGTGAATTACAAAATACAGTAGGTTTATTAATAGATAATTAACAATGAAGTAGAGGAATCACCAACCTGATACAACGGCGTTACTCCCCAACTTGCAACTAAAGATACAATGACTTAGATTTTATGAAGGGTTATGCATAAGACATCCTGACCTACGCTCTCCAATCAACCAACCAGGTCAACCATTACAGTAAACTACATTGCAACTATATTGCAATCTTGCCAAGGGTCAGAATATCAGAGTTACTACAGCAGATATAGGCGTCGGGCTTCCATATGAGGTCTTCTTAAAACCCAATACTCGACATTCCCATGCGCTCCGTCACGTCTGATATTAGCCTTATAGAGTTTAAGACATTATAGGGAAATCTTGGTCTAATCTGCAAGGCGCCGTTAGTAAGGCTTATCTTGGACACTCTAAATAATATTGAACAAAATTCTGCGTAGTACTGTGAATAAAATTCTAGCTAGTCTGAAAGTTACCCAACTTTCAGTTAACTGAAAGCCACTATAGCACGCACAGCGTTTAGGGGCAAGTCCTTAATCTTAATAGTCCCCGGAATACGACCCGCCAAATCGTTTAACAACCAGGTACCAAATTTATTGTTGGCTAAAAAGAGGCAACAGTTAGGGTTTGGCGCCCAGTAAATCCTCCCCGGGCAGGATACGAACCCAGGCCAAAGCGCTCGTGAAACGCCAGGCGAGTGTCTCAGCCCGTCCTCCAAACAAAGACCCAAAAGTGATTCCATGCACCCGCCAAACCCCCTGTTTATGAATGAAAAACGGTTTACACACAACCCATCCTCGACTCAAGTCCATTACATTCAGCGGTCAACCCCACAGACGCATTCATAAATTTTAGCATGCTGTTCATTCAAAACGGGAATTTTCGCTAGTATAAATTAATATTATAATATATTAGCATATTGTGTATAAATAGGCATAGGTTAGGTTAGGTTAGGTGTTTAGGTTCTGTTGGCGATTATTTGTATTTGTAGTACGTGGGTGAAGCATTTATAGCGTTGTGATTCGAACAAAATTCGTCAGTGAAGCACTTGTTCCGGATATGTTCGAACGTCAGCAGTTGTGAGTCGTGTGTAAACCGCTTTTCATTTATAAACAGGGGGTTTGGCGGGTGCATGGGATCACTTTTGGATCTTTGTTTGGAGGACGGGCTGACTCACAACTGCTGATGTTCGAACATATCCGGAACAAGTGCTTCACTGACGAATTTTGTTCGAATCACAACGCTATAAATGCTTCACCCACGTACTACAAATACAAATAATCGCCAACAGAACCTAAACACCTAACCTAACCTATGCCTATATATACACAATATGCTAATATGTTATAATATTAATTTATACTAGCGAAAATTCCCGTTTTGAATAAACAGCATGTTAAAATTTATGAATGCGCCTGTGGGGTCGACCGCTGGATGTAATGGACTTGAGTCGAGGACGGGTTGAGTGTCATACCACTACGCCATGGAGCCATACAAATATACGAGGTTGAATTTTTTTTCAGCCATGTTATTGCTGCTAGATCAAAGACCCAGCGGCCCGGTCTCTGACCAGGCCTCCTAGTTGATATATTTTGATCACGTCATCTAGTGTTAATCTGGACAGTTTCAGCATCAGCCTCATTAAAGTTGAGCCTACAATTTAGTTGACTTTTACAAATAGACAGAAGAATCCAGGGCCAAATGATCTATCTATCATTTAAGAATATAACTATCACAATGGATCAATTGGTTGAGTTGGTTACCCTTGTGGGAGCCTTGCTCACCACAGCAAGGACTGAGCAGGGAGCCTCGCTCACCACAGCAAGGATTGAGCAGGGAGCCTTGCTCACCACAGCAAGGATTGAGCAGGGAGCCTTGCTCACCACAGCAAGGATTGAGCAGGGAGCCTTGCTCACCACAGCAAGGACTGAGCAGGGAGCCTTGCTCACCACAGCAAGGATTGAGCAGGGAGCCTTGCTCACCACAGCAAGGATTGAGCAGGGAGCCTTGCTCACCACAGCAAGGACTGAGCAGGGAGCCTCGCTCACCACAGCAAGGACTGAGCAGGGAGCCTCGCTCACCACAGCAAGGATTGAGCAGGGAGCCTTGCTCACCACAGCAAGGACTAACCAGGGGGTCTCACCACAGCAAGGACTAACCAGGGGGTCTCACCACAGCAAGGACTAACCAGGGGGTCTCACCACAGCAAGGACAAACCAGGGGGTTTCACCACAGCAAGCACTAACCAGGGGGTCTCACCACAGCAAGGACTAACCAGTGGGTCTCACCACAGCAAGGACTAACCAGGGAGCCTCGCTCACCTCAGTAAGGACTGATCAGGGGGTCTCACCACAGCAAGAACTGACCAGTAATGCCCTTCATGAGGGTGGAGCCACAGTCGCCGTCCCCACAGAGAGTATCCAGGGTGTTGAGGGTGTCCTCGTGGGCTGGCATCCGGCTCACCACAGCCTCCAGACACGACCGGAGTCTTCCGGCCTTTGACGAGTCCCAAGACCTACATCCGGATTCCTATAAGATATCAATTTCAGCGCATGTTATCACACGACTATTATAAACATACAACTTCCACATTCCCATGATACAGTACTAAGGATTTTGTTGCAAATTGTTGTTTTAATAAATGCAATGTAACTGGTAAATCAAACATTAGGCTCCACCCACTGGCATCTCATTTATACAACCAATAGGCATAACGAATTTCCGTTTTAACTAATTATTAATCACCTAATTCCTTACCAGGTCTTCCGGCGTGAGAGTAAGGGTCAGGTCAGGAACGGAGAGGTCTCCGACAGCGTCGTGAGCCAGCAGGCAGGGAGCCGGCCATGCAGGGGCGGTGGTAGGGGCGTCGAGAAGGGTCAACCAAGCCGGATTTAGCAGCCGCAATACCGACAAGTGAAAGCCCTTCATATCCAGGCTAGTCATCAATGCTCCCTGGTACACCCGTTCCACACACACCCCGCGACACTCTGATAGGGATACACATGCTTCAACACTGTAGACAGTTTACTTCAGCACTGTAAACTGGTATACTTCTCAGGGTTTATAGTTAGACATGTCGAGAGAAGGACCACAGTTTCTATATCGTAAGGTTACAGTGAATTCCAATCTCCCTACTTATCACTGCTGGAAGTAAGTAATTGTCAAAAGAAAGCATCAAATCGAGCATCAATTTATGCCCCATTATGTACCGAGAAGGCTATGTAGCACTACACAGATTTCACACTAAAGTGATGCATCAAAATGAACAAATCCACAAGGGCCGTGACGAGGATTCGAACCTGCATCCGGGAGCATCCTAGACACTGCCTTAATCGACACCCTGTCGTAGCTCAGTCGATTAAAGCAGTGTCTGGGATGCTCCCGGACGCAGGTTCGAATCCTCGTCACGGCCCTTGTGGATTGACTATGTAGCACCGTTTCTGTCACTGCTGGAAACATGGGTCATTAAATTAAAGTGATTTAAAGAGGAGTTATACATTGTAACTTTCTAATCACTTTCGGCAAATCAAAGAACCTCATATTGCATACAGTTATTAGTTTAAACTAATTAAATTAATTTGTGAGTTGCTTCGTTTCTTAAGAAGAAACAATTTAAACTGAACAATATGGCAAAGATTTGTTTGTATCTGGAAGTGGAAATACAACCCGTTCTCGCACTTTCTTACAGTCAATATTGACTTATTAAATACGTGCATATGTGACACACTAATTTATTGTGAATATTTTAGTTTACCTTGAAAAGCTTCATAGAAAACACCGACCTTACCTAACCTTCTTAGTCTGTTAAGATAAGCATCTTATTGCTTCGTAATTACAATTATTACTTAACCTATTATAGGGAGCCGGTCGGCCGAGCGGACAGCACACTGGACTTTGTGATCCTGTGGTCCTGGGTTCGATCCCAGGCGCCGGCGAGAAACAATGGGCAAAGTTTCTTTCATCCTATGCCCCTGTTACCTAGCAGTAAAATAGGTACCTGGGTGTTAGTCAGCTGTCACGGGCTGCTTCCTGGGGGGGTGGAGGCCTGGTCGAAGACCGGGCCGCGGGGACACTAAAGCCCCGAAATCATCTCAAGATAACCTCAAGATATAGTCAATATTGACTATACGAAAGCGTGAGAACGGGTTGGGAAATAATACTAACTGAGCTGAGACACGACTTCATTGGTGAGGTTACTCATCTCCAGCTGCGAGAGTGACCCCAGATTGTTGACAATCACTGCCACCTTATCCCCCTCCTGCAGGTCAAGTCTGGTGGCCGAGTCCTCCTTCGTCAGGTGAGACAACATTGCCTCGACCACTTGCTGCGTCGACTCCGCCTGTACGGATTAGTGTGATGGATAACGCATCTGTTTCTTAACATAACAAAAGCAAATTATGATGTTGACAAGACCATATACTAGAAAGTAAAGGGACGGCGACGTTTCCGTCCGTCCTGGACCATTCTCAAGTCTATTGTGCGACTTGAGAATGGTCCAGGACGGACCGAAACGTCGTCGTCGTCCCTTCACTTTCCAGTGTGTGGTCTAGTCAACATACTTCAGCCACGTTATTGCGACTCATCGCCTGTATACATTATGATAAATTTCTTTATTAGGAACTCCATGCACATTCTACAGGCCGGTATCAATTTATTGACATTTACCCGCATGGAAACCCCAAAACTAAGAACCAGGGGCCAGATTCACGAAAGCACTTACGCAAACATTTACGAACCTGTACATCTTTTCATAAGCTTTGGCGGCTTTGTTTCCAATTATTAAGCAGTTAATGAGCCCCGAAGCACCAGGAGGCTGTTTATAACAATAACAACAGTTGAATGAGAAGTTTTCATGCTTGTAAACTGTTTTATAAATGTAACCAAAGCCGTCAAAGATTGAGGAAAGATGTTCACGTTCGTAAGTGGTTGCGTAAGTGCTTTCGTGAATCTGGCCCCAGGTTCATGGAACCCAAGTTGATATAGGCATCAGTAATGATCCAGAAACAATAAATTAGTTATCTAACTACCAACACATAATATATTGAAAGTTCTCGATTAAAAAGTATTCTTTAATTCCGTTTTTTTGTGTGTGTGTTATTTCAGTTGGAAAGTTATTGAAAAATAACTTTGAAATTGTTATTTTGCTACTTGGAACTTTTTTGTTCCCAGTAGCTGAATCTATAACAACATCATCCGCTGCTCTCTTTTCCTAACACAAGGGACGTTTACCTTGATGGTAGCGGCGCCTGACTCCCCATGGACGCCGAGACCTAGCTCCAGGACCCCAGCAGGCACGGTGAAAAGCGGCGACGCCGCCCCAGGCAGGGTACACCCGCTGGCAGCCACACCTATAGTTCCTATAGCCTCCCCTAGCTTCCTGGAGACGCTGAGGGCCTCCTCCAGGCTCGCTCCGCCTTCCGCTAGCGCCCCTACGATCTGTTGAAGAAATAAAGTCCCATAACATGCGAACTGGAAAAAGATACTTCGTAGCACACACACACATCTTTAGGCCAATATCAACTTTAATCCCGCTACTTGCGGGCACAAGAGACCATGAGGAGCGTGAGGACGAGGGTGTGGAGCAATACCTTGAAGATGAAGTGTGTGCCGCAGAGGCCACGTCGCCCCGCCGTGCCCTCTAGCTCCGTCAGGGCACAATCGTCGCCTGAGATGTGCATCTCCACCTGGACCAGAGACCACACTTTACTGACGTTAATTTACAAGTGTCAAGAGGTAGGGGAAGGTGTCAAGTGATTAAAGGAAAGTCAGAGAGATAGAGGAAAGGTCCAGCAGAAAGGATCTTTGAGAGGGAAAACAAGGTCCAGGAAGGAAAGTAAGGGTCTAAGAAAGTGTCTAATAAAGAAAGGATCCAAGAAAGAAAGCGTAGATCCAAAAAAGAAAGCAAACGTCCCAGAGAGAATGAAAATATCCAAAAGAGAAAGGAAAGTTCTTGGAGAGAAAGCAAGGGGGGGCTATTTAAATTAAATTTAACGAATATTTAATAACAATACGGCAGATATATTTATCAATGCTGCTTTGTAGGCCATCATCTTGACGCACTCAGAAACCTCAACGATCTTGTTAACGCACTCAGACCCATCAGCCATATTTTCTTGACGCACTCAGACCCATCAGCCATATCTTTTTGACGCACTCAGACCCATCAGCCATATCTTCTTGACGCACTCAGACCCATCAGCCATATCTTTTTGATGCACTCAGACCCATCAGCCATATTTTCTTGACGCACTCAGGACCCCCTCAGCCATCTAGCATACACTCTCAAACTTACCCTCATCCCTGCTGCTCGGCAGCGCTCGACGGCCAGGCCAAAGTTGATACGATCGCCAGTATAGTTGAAGACTACCACCAGCACCCCGTCTGTCAGTAACACGTAGGAGAAACTTATTAGTTTCCCCATTCAGCCAAACTGAATACAACAAAGCGTCAACATTTTGGGAGGAGGGTTCTCTATTACTACATATGGGGTACTATACATTATTTTGATGACCAGACCACACACTAGAATGTGAAGGGACGACGACGTTTCGGTCCGTCCTGGACCATTCTCAAGTCGATTGTCTTGATCTCAATCGACTTGACAATGGTCCAGGACGGACCAAAACGTCGTCGTCCCTTCACATTCTAGTGTGTGGTCTGGTCAACATATTTTAGCCACGTTATTGTGACTCATCGCCTGCATACACTATTTTAGAAGGATGGGTTGTAAGACCCACATATCCAGCCAGATGTGTGTGTGTGGGAGGGTGTGTGTGGGTGTGGTATACCTGGGTTATCCTTCCCGACGGCTGTGATAGCGGCGACGATATCAGCCGGTGGAGGGGAGGTGAAGACGTGTCCGGATACCGACGCCGCCAACATCCCACTACCCACGAACCCTGTCTCCGGACACCAAGCGACGAGGGAATCATTAAAACCATCTCTTATTTACTCGGATTTCTACCTATATCAACTTCTTAAATTTTATGATTTGCATCCTGGAACACATTTATTACCCATTGTTAGATGAACGTTACGTTGTTAAACTGATGTCCCATTGCTAGAGACATCTCACATTGCTAGAAAGATGTCATTTATATTATATTGATGTATTAATTCTTGTAATGGCTAAACAATGGTTATACGTATCAACATACACTTAGAAACCATAATACTGGACAGGTCTCAAACATTGTATAGTGTACAACAGGATCGTATAGTCTTTCCTTACTATAACCCCTTAATTGCAGAGAGCATCCAATGGTATATAGGAGCGCCCCCCTTACAGAAAGACCACCTAAGAGGTTTCCACATCAAACTTTCCCACAGAGTGTCCATTCACTAGGACTGCCAGTAGAGCGACGCCCTTGCTTCCTGCAGGGTCGGTGCTCGATCCACTATGGTCCAAATGGATGGGGATCGTTCCTTGACGCCCGTTTCCCTATTCCCAATTCCTGTCCTCATATCCCAGCTCCTGACCAAGTATCCCTTTCATGTGTTATATTTAGCCATACTGGCTTAGCATTTTCTCCTCATAATTTCCTCCCCTTGCTGACCCCTTAGAAAGCATCCCAAGAGAATTATCACACTTTACTGACCCACAGAGAGCATCCCAAGAGAATTATCACACTTTACTGACCCACAGAGAGCATCCCAAGAGAATTATCACACTTTACTGACCCACAGAGAGCATCTCAAGACGAGTCTCAAATTCCACTTACCCACAGAGAAAGGTTCGTGGCCGGATCCTCCGCCGGAAATCAGAGCAACTTTCCGTCTTCTGTTGGGTCCCTTGAGCAACCAGCGTCGATCGACAATCACCCGCTGGGTGAAGATAGTTAACTGGTTAGTACACATCCTCGCCTCGCTCCTATAAGGTTTCCAAGACAGCAAAGAAGTTAACCGGAGAAGATCACCAGGAGAGATAACCACGGGAGATTACCTATTTAGGAAACGGTTAAAAGCGGTAAACCAGTATGAGTATATAGCAAATGGATGGAATAAGGGGGAGGGGATAGGAGGACGGTGGCCGACCGCTAGGGAGCCATGGGGTATCGAACCCCAACCTGAAAGAAGAAAGACCGTCGCTGTACCGACAGTTTTGTCGGGAGACGAATCATAAAAACTTCTTCAGTTAAATTTGCTCATAGTCTACATGACTTTATGGTTAAAATTAACATTTATCGGATGGCATTTTGGAGGCAAGTTCTTTCTTGCACGTTTGAACTACATAAAATACATATTCACTATTCAACTCATTACTGAGAAAAAGTTAGATATCAACACTGGAAGGCGTACATGGTTCTGCAGCTTCCGGCAGTGATGAGGAGCGAGATGTTTCGAGACTCACGTGCAGGGGGATGAGGTGGAAGCCCGGGTTGGATGCTGCTACAGCCTCCAGACCCTCATCCACACACCTCTCGCTTGAGGCCAACAGCTGCAGGGTCGCCATCTTGCTTGCTGTACCGACTACAGCAGCGACACCGTCAATAAACGTCTCCTCACACGTCCCTGAGGGTAAAACAGCAGAAATTACAGTTTAAATGTTGTACTCGTCTATTTGTGCTTGCGAGGGTTGAGCTCTGGCTCTTTGGTCCCGCCTCTCAACTGTCAATCAACTGGTGTACAGGTTCCTGAGCTTATTGGACTATCATATCTACACTTGAAACTGTGTATGGGTTCTGGGAGTTCTTCTGCTCCCCAAGCCCGGCCCGAGGCCAGGCTAGACTTGTGAGAGTTTGATCCACCAGGCTGTAGATAACACTATCTACTGATAAAGACAGTCATAGCTTCATCGTCGCCTGCTGCTGCTGCTCCTCTTATCATGATGTTACTTAATCTTCCCTCCTGTAGGAGGTAATGGTCTTAGTTAAACTGGATTATGTGTTATATGTCGCCTTTCCTGTCAGCTCACGCACATAGGTGCATAGGGGGGAGGGGTCTGGTAGCCGAGTGGACAGCACGCAGGACTCGCAAGCCTGTGGGCCCGGGTTCGATTCCCGGACCTGGCAGAAACAAATCGGAAAAAAATTCTTTTCACTTTGGTGCCCCTGTTACCTAGCAGTAGATAGATCCCTGGGAGTTAGACAGCTGTTACGGAACTGTTGCCTGGGTGTATAGGGAAATAAATTACTAGTTAATAACAGTTGATTGACAGTTGAGAGGCGGGCCGATAGAACAGAGCTCAACCCTCGCAAGCACAACTAGGCGAGTACGTACACAGGTACACACCCACCAACTCATTCATCCACTCCCACTCACTCAACCCTAGATCCACACGAGCAATCAGTCACAAATGCAGAGACCAATCCATACCAATTCACGACACTATATATGAATTAGTTGTGCAAATCACACACTTTATTGGTAGTTAATTTGCTGTCATTGGCAAATTACCAGTCGTTAACGACACTTTAGGTAGCTACCTTCTCATATGACAGAAATTCTGTCATCGTGACAATGACTGTCAGAGTGTTGTCAAGGAAATGACTGTCATCTGCCGGGCGTGTAGCTACGGACCCAGGTTCCAAGCCTCAATGATAAACAGTTACTTGCTCATTGTAACTCATTGCTCAATCGAGTGTTGGAGTGTATTAACTCATTGTTAATGTACAATTTACTAGGGAAGGGTGAGGGGAGGAAATACATCTGCTTTGCTCATTCACAATCACCACACACCTGTTGATAAGTCTTCACCAACACTGCACCCAGCCACCACAACACTGCCTCCACCACACCATACGACCTTGAGGTGGTCCAGCTGGTATTCCTCCCAGAGTTACCAGTTTACGAGTATCTCTCAATCCTTTAATATTTACGTCCTTAAGGAAAACTGCTTTGAAAGTGGGTCTGAATTTAACGATACAGATATCTTTAGCACTTAATATTTTGTATCTCTATATCTTCAAGGGGGATGGGGAGGGATGGATTAGCAGAAGGGATAGAGGTAGAATTTGGTACAAAATCCACCAACAGATACCGTCACTGGATAGGTAGCCAAGCCAACTTTTATATATCAGCGGATATATCCGATAATATATCATTATCACAAGTATTATAGCAAATGTTTGAAAAAGTTATCTTTTTATGTAGGTTAGAGTTGAAACAGAATGTCATAAGCAAGGCTGGTGCGCTGCACACGATGATATAATATAATAGTTGGAAATTTTAGCCGATCCCTAGCCTGTGATTGGCTGTTGTGGTGAATGTCAACAAAGATTTTCAACCAATGAAATGCAAGGGCGGGAATGCTTCCCTGAGCCCAGCAACTCTCACCTTTATGGGCTGTTGTTAGCCTGTTGAGAGTGCAATGTTATGTCAATAGATGGCGTTTGCTGTATCTTTGCATAGCCATTTGTTGATAGGTTAATTGTGTTCTAATAGATGGCGTATGCTGTATCTTTGCATAGCCATTTGTTGATAGTTTAATTGTGTTCCGATAGATGGCGTATGCTGTATCTTTGCATAGCCATTTGTTGATAGTTTAATTGTGTTCCGATAGATGGCGTATGCTGTATCTTATGGGTGGTATTGGCCTGGCCTATTAGTGTGCTTTTCTGCCGAAAGATGGAATCAGCTGTATTATTACCTCTGAATTCCCCATAAATCGCATAGCTTATGGGATAAAGGTTTCATATCCTGCTGGTATTAGGTACTTAGAACTCTGTAATTACTTTATCTACTCTCGAGGACGCCATCATAATGATTCAGGCTGTTGAGATTGACTGATAGATAGAGATAGACATAGAGACAGTGGGAGATATAGAGACAGCTAGACCCCCCTCCCCCCTCTAAGCCCGCCCGCAAATACGGAATTTTCTTAGATATAGATTTAGACTATTATATGAGATTAGATTATTATTATTATTATATATATATATATATATATATATATATATATATATATATATATATATATATATATATATATATATATATATATATATATATATATATATATATATATATATATATATATATATATATATATCATATTTTGTGTATAGTTCAGCATAGAATAGGTTTATTTAGTTATCTTGGTTCTGCTGACAATTAAATATATTTTTATTACTGGAATTAAAAGTATTTAGAAGCATTTAGAGAGGTGCGATTCGAACACAGGATGAAAATGAAGCTTCGCTCAAGAAAAGTTCGAATGTAATCAGTCGTGAGTCGTGGGCAAAGGGCCCATTAACATGAAGGACCTTCCTATTATATATAATCCAAGTGCTCGTTAATTTACGAGCCAAACTACCTCCGTTTATGAATAAAATTCACTTGGTATATAACCCACAACTGATTGTATAAAAAGCATTTCTCGAAAGGTGATTCGCTCTCTTCCTGCGTTCGACTCACACCTCCGGAAATGCTTCACAAACGCTCTCTTCCTGCGTTCGACTCACACCTCCGGAAATGCTTCACAAACGCTATGCCAACAAAAGAACGAACACTCTTAGTCTATCCTATGCCTAACTTTACGCACAATTACATTATACATAAATTTTGTATTTATAGTAGAGAAAATAGGGATTTCTGTCACACTGTTAAAATTGACAAGCGTGTTTTTTTGGGGGGTCAAGCGCACCTTGAACAAGGGAGATGGTCGTTTGTAGCTGAGATTAACGAGCATTTGACCAGTGTTAACGAGAGCCTGACTGGTGCATGTGTGTGTGTGTGTGTGTAGTGGACTCATATCGTACTGAGACAAATATGTGTACAGGTAAAACACCTTTAGCCTGTAACGAAGCGTTAGTTGGATACTGACTTTCAGAACAGTCTGTAACGTGCAGGCGATGAGTCACAATAACGTGGCTGAAGTATGTTGACCAGACCACACACTAGAAATTGAAGGGACGACGACGTTTCGGTCCGTCCTGGACCATTCTCAAGTCTCACAATCGACTTGAGAATGGTCCAGGACGGACCGAAACGTCGTCGTCCCTTCAATTTCTAGTGTGTGGTCTGGTCAACAGTCTGTAACGTACCTAAATACAATTTAGTGATGGATATCAAAAGTTGCATCTTACAGGATGCCGTACGGTAATCACAGAACTATTTTCCCTTAAGTGTTCAAAGTATTAGTACTTGAGGAACGCAAATACTGCCAAGAGAAGATCGTAAGAGATGCCCACGAAGGAGAAGTACGTGAGTACACTCTTGTAGTCATTCATATACATTATTCTTCTTTTAACTTCGGTCCGTCCTGGACCATTCTCAAGTCTCACAATCGACTTGAGAATGGTCCAGGACGGACCGAAACGTCGTCGTCCCTTCACCTTCTAGTGTGTGATCGGGTCTACATTCGCATTATTATTATGTGGGGAAAAAACTTACACACATGTTTAACTCGTCCTTTCTCTGCCTACTGATAACCGCTAGCAGTATAAGATAATGTAGGGAATTTTATATTATATAATAAGTAGAACAACTTAAGAGGATTTGGAGAAGACTATAGTGTGTGTGTATGCGTTGGGACATGAGCCAAATTGACCATACGTTATAAGCATGACTCCACTAGTGTTTTCTAAGAACGTCATGGACGTCCTTCTTCAGAGAACGACACGGATGTTCCCTCTTCTAAGAAAGAGGGACGAACGTGGCGTTCAGCGTTGATTCGACAAGTGGAAGGATTTGCAGCAGTAGTGTGTTGTGTTGTTAATGTGTGGAAGTACTCTCTTGAGTGTGGTGGAGTGGGCTACAGGAGTTATGTTCTATAGGTAACAGCCCATAGAATACTCTGTCTCTGTCTCTGTCTCTCTCTCTGTCTCTCTCTGTCTCTATCTCTCTCTCTCTCTCTCTTTCTGTCTCTGTCTCTCTCTCTGTCTCTCTGTCTCTCTCTCTCTGTCTCTCTCTCTCTCTCTGTCTCTCTCTGTCTCTATCTCTCTCTCTCTTTCTGTCTCTGTCTCTCTCTCTGTCTCTCTGTCTCTCTCTCTCTGTCTCTCTCTCTCTCTCTGTCTCTCTCTCTCTCTCTCTCTCTGTCTCTCTCTCGTTCTCTCTCTCTCTCGGTCTCTCTCTCGTTCTCTCTCTCTCTATGTCTCTCTCTCTCGGTCTCTTTCTCTCTCTCGGTCTCTCTCTCTCGGTCTCTCTCTCTCGGTCTCTCTCTCTCTCTCTGAGTTAAGAAAATTAATATACTAATTTAGCTTTTGAACACTATATAAATTTAAAGTGCATTATTTCTCCATCAACATTGTTCTTTAAATTTATAAAAAATAACAAATTAAAAGTTAGTTTTAGTTAATAACATCTTTAGTTATTTGCTTTATTAAAAAGGACAAATGTCTGATATAAAACATAAGAAACAGAAGATATTTTTATTTGAAGAGTTTTAAAATAGAAGTAATTGGTCTGTTTATAAATAAGTAATAGTTGCCTATTGACTATTAATTAAAGTAGAAAACAATTAACATTGAGGAAAGAGAACAGGTGGATAGTACATCACAGGATAGAGTACAGAGTAGGAGTACACTACATCGCAGAAAAGAGTACATATTAGCACTGTATCCGTGGTAAGAATACATCTTAAGGATACATATCAGGAAAACAATTCTTGTCATCATCACCTCTTTGGAAAGAGTACAGGTTGAGAGTACATCTCAGGAAGGAGTACATGTTATTAGTACATCTCGGGGAAAGATTTCATCTCGGGAAGGAGTACATTTGAGGAAATAGTACATGCTTATGAGTATATCTTAGAAAAGAGTACATGAAAGTATTAACAATACATCTCATAAAACGTTTTATGTACTCTCAAGATGTACTCATTACATTTTAACAATTAATATGTAAAATAAGTACATGTCAACACTTCATCTCGGTAGCAAACTCCACTGGTGACACGACTAAGCTTTAGCACAAACTCATAGAAGTGGTAATGACACAACTCACTTACACTTACACTTCAACTCACTCTAACACTTAGAACACTCTCCAAAAAGTGGTAAAGAAATACTACAATATTCGCTCAGTTCTTTCAGGGTAATAAAATCCTTCGGTAACCAAATGTATTTGAAATGAATTAAAGCATGTCTTGAAAATCGAAAGATTTATAATATATGTATTTGAATGTGTGTGTTGGAAAAATTGAAAAATGACAGGAAAATTCTGAATGTTTTTGTAATTAAATTACATTTTCAAGGAATACAGGTGACTTGAAATTGCTGTTTTTCTTAATAATTTGTTAAAACACGAAAACGTTCGGAATTTTCGTTTAAATTTCTTAGTGGATACTTTCTCATAAACGAATAACGTGTGTGTGTGTGTGTGTGTGTGTGTGTGTGTGTTTGTGTGTGTGTGTGTGTGTGTGTATGTGTGTGATTATTCTTGCGTGTAATACATGTAAATAATTTATAAAATATATGTATATATATATATTTTTAATGCCAGTTTGGGAAAATCAAAAGAAATATTTACTGAATATTACAGTTCCAAATAGGCGTCTCTTCAGGGGAGTACCTACCTGCTTGGAACCAAAGTGTTCAGCTTAAATCTCTCGTGATTTCTCCATAGTCGGTTAATATTTGTCTAATGCCCTATATCACTATTCTCATAAGTATACTTGCAAAGAGACACAGACGAACTGAATAATATCATTCTTTATGCTGTCACATTCTTCAGCATATAATCAGATGATGAGTTAAAGAATACGAACGCTTCAAAGTAAATATTCTTTAATTTTCTGTGTTTTTTTGCATTTACATATCACACGATTTGTGAGTACAAGGTCTCCATCAAGCTAAAAGTTATCAGAGTTGTTGATAACTCAACAACTCCTTAGTAGTTGTTGATAAACATATCCATATTTCGTGTCTTTCTTTCAATACTGGTTTTCCATTATTTGCATCGAATACTTTTCCACATCACCTCATATTACCATAGTCACTTCCTCCTTGCGTCCTAATCCAGGAGACCTTTCTGACCTGCCACACTGCCGACCTCCAAATGACAATCAAACTTCAATTGTTGTTGTTTAAGATTCAGCTACTGGGAACAAAAAGTTCCAAGTAGCACGGGCTATGGTGAGCCCGTAGTGGACTTACCTGGCACAGGAGCGGGGCTGTAACTAGCAAACTTCCAGTTCTCACGGGTTATAATAGTCAGTATCTGCTTCAGCCATCTCTATCACCTCTCCTGGCTTCTTGTTGTGCTCCTCGGACGAATGGTCTTGTTCCCCGCGCTTGTTGGGTTGCTCCTCGGCCTGCATGGCTAAGTCATCTTCTCTTTCCTTCTTCTTTTGTTTGCTGCGACCCACGAAGTAAGCGATGATCACCACTATCACCATAACAGCCAGCACGGCTCCCACCACTATCGGTACAATCGGTGGTATTTCACTAGTGTCGTCCTCGGACTTCATGTAGTCACCCACACTGCCTGACGGCCATGTCGTCTGTGAAACATTAAGAGATCGTAAAAATGTCGACAGGAACGTGAATGGGAAAATTAATATAAAGAATAACATGATTTGTGGTGTGTTTAATCAGTCAAGTTTAGTAGTGGAAGAGGGGACGAAAGATACATAATAATAGGAAAAGTAATAAATACAATTAAATACAATATAGTGTATTTGTCAGTAATATTATGTGAATGAATTACCAAGGAGGATAGACGCTTTCCTTTTAATGTTTGTTGATGGTGCAAATATTATGAGGAGAAATAGGACGTCAGACTGTAAGAACCTACAGAATTTCCTGGTTAAAATTAAAGAATGGTTTAGCAGGTGACTACTAGAGTTCAGGAAAAGCAAGTGCAAGGTAATGAAGCTAAATGCTGGAAGTAGGAAACTGAAAACGAGGTGTCATATGATAAAGGACACCGCCCTGGAATCAGAAAATGTAATTCCAGGGTTTATGTCATATCCCAGAAGCCCATAATCAAATGAATATTACTAGCTGCATGTAAAATGTTGAACCACTTAAGAACTACCTTGTGGAATCTAGAAAATAATCGCTCGAGATCTACTCTATCACGTATGTCAGACCAGCGTTCCGTAAGTCCAGCGTCCCGTAGCAACACCAGACCCTTCCACATCAACACCACACCCCTCCCACATCCACAGCAGTCCCACACCCTTCCACATCCACAGCAGTCCCACACCCTTCCACATCCACAGCAGTCCCACACCCTTCCACATCCACAGCAGTCCCACACCCTTCCACATCCACAGCAGTCCCACACCCTCCCACATCCACAGCAGCCCCACACCCTCCCACGTCAGTCCCACACCCTCCCACGCCAACATGATATTTTAACCTCATCATACACGTACCTCGACTGCATTGCTGGCTATGTAACCACTGAGGAACTCTGAGAGCGGCTGGAAGTAGTTAAGGATTGCCTCAGCGGTCATGGTAGCACTGTCATTATCCAGGAACTCTCTCAGCTGACTGTGCCAGCCCTCGGAGGCACCCTTCCTCAGCATGGCTCTGAGTGAAGACAAACGTGAATATTTTAACAGTAGAGTTAATGATGGCATTGACTCATGGTGGGGTTGATGGCATTGACTCATGGTGGGGTTGATGGCATTGACTCACTCATGGTGGGGTTGGTGGCATTGACTCATGGTGGAGTTGGTGGCATTGACTCATGGTGGGGTTGATGGCATTGACTCATGGTGGGGTTGGTGGCATTGACTCATGAATGATGAATGTTGCAAAGTTCTGCCACTTACTGTACTGAATGTTGTAAAGTTCTACAACTTACTATACTGAATGTTGTAAAGTTCTACAACTTACTGTACTGAATGTTGCAAAGTTCTGCCACTTACTGTAGAGCAGCCCCGGCCTCTTTGCTGTTGTAAATGTCGCAGTTAAAGATGTCAGTGACGTTCTCACCGTGGACGAGGCTGCACAGTCTCTCGTGGAACTGGAACTGTAGCATGTAGGCTACGAAGTACCTGTGTAAGGGCAGGTGGTGGCTGAGTGGTGGGAGGAGTGGTAACATAGTGGTGGAGAGGAGTGGTAAAATAGTGGTGGAGAGGAGTACTAACCCAACAACCCGTTCTCGCACTTTCGTATAGTCATTATTGACTTATTAAGTACGTGCATATGTGACATACTAAACATACTAGTTTACCTTGAAAAGCTTCATAGAAAACACCGACCTTACCTAACCTTCTTAGTATGTTAAGATAAGCATGTTATTGTTTCGTAATTACAATTATTACTTAACCTATACCTATAATAGGTTAAGTAATAATTGTAATTACGAAGCAATAAGATGCTTATCTTAACATACTAAGAAGGTTAGGTAAGGTCGGTGTTTTCTATGAAGCTTTTCAAGGTAAACTAGTATGTTTAGTATGTCACATATGCACGTATTTAATAAGTCAATATTGACTGTAAGAAAGTGCGAGAACCGGTTGACCAATGATGCATTCGATCTCTACGAGTGACACTTCAACTCCCCCAGTAGCATCAAGTAGATCATTCTACCTCACTACCCATGAAATACCATTACATGCACTTTTTTCACTCTGTCTCTCCCTTTTATTCGATTTCTCTCTTTCGCCCCTTCGCATGCAATTCGTCTATCTCTGTCTCTTATTTCTCATGTAAAACATCTTAATTTGTTTAACTAAAACTAGGGTTTATAAGGGCTGTTAATATCTCTCTCTGTCTGTGTCTCTCTCTGTCTGTCTCTCTCTCTCTCTCTCTCTCTCTCTCTCTCTCTCTCTCTCTCTCTCTCTCTCTCTCTCTCTCTCTCTCTCTCTCTCTCTCTCTCTCTCTCTCTCTCTCTCTCTCTCTCTCTCTCTCTCTCTCTCTCTCTCTCTCTCTCTCTCTCTCTCTCTCTCCTCTCTTCTCTCTCTCTCTCTCTCTCTCTCTCTTCTCTCTCTCTCTCTCTCTCTCTCTCTCTCTCTCTCTCTCTCTCTCTCTCCTCTCTCTCTCTCTCTCTCTCTCTCTCTCTCTCTCGCTCTCTCTCTCACTTTCTCTCTCTCTCTCTCTCTCTCTCTCTCTCTCTCTCTCTCTCTCTCTCTCTCTCTCTCTCTCTCTCTCTCTCTCTCCTCTCTCTCTCTCTCTCTCTCCTCTCTCTCTCTCTCTCTCTCTCTCTCTCTCTCCTCTCTCTCTCTCTCTCTCTCTCTCTCTCTCTCTCTCTCTCTCTCTCTCTCTCTCTCTCTCTCTCTCTCTCTCTCTCTCTCTCTCTCTCTCTCTCTCTCTCTCTCTGTCTCCCTTTAATTCTGCCGTGCGCGGCCCAGCAGAGGGAAACACATATTATATTCAACACATACAAGGACCTCGGGTGCTCTGAGGCGCTGACCTGATGTAGGGGACGTTGGTAGCGACATGGTACTTGCTCCCCGGGTCGAAGTCTGAGGACGGGAAGCGTTCCACTGGGGGAGATATTCCCTGGATGTCGAGTCTGGAAGAACCGGAGAAAGATGCTATGAGACATGCGACTATAAATAATACAGATTGTTGTATGTGTGTGTGCTATACGGAATGTATTTGCTTGTATGATGCATTGATGCGTATTTGTAAATCAGGGTTGATGATTTAGGTGTTAAACTTCTTTGCATTGATGAATCTGATGGGCATGTTCATCTCGACTGTTGTTTCTTTGTGGTGTTATGGCTATGGCTTCGACACAAATGAATGTGAAAGAGAGTCGAGTAACTAGATGCAGCCACCGGAAGCTAGGGTCGAGTACTCCTCGCGAAGGTGTGTAAACTCATACAGCCTTATAATCTTATAAGTTTATATAGGTTATATAAAATTATACACCCCCCAAAGGTAGGTGAATAGCCTTATACAGCGCCCCCCTACCGGAGGCTGTAGTGACGTACTCATCTCAGTGATCGTGAGTAAAACCTCATGCATCCACCAGAGGCTAAAGGTGTCTCATACTCTACGAGGGGGCCTCGTAGCCTGGTGGATAGCGCGCAGGACTCGTAATTCTGTGGCGCGGGTTCGATTCCCGCACGAGGCAGAAACAAATGGGCAAAATTTCTTTCACCCCTGAATGCCCGCTGACTGCCTGTTACCTAGCAGTATATAGGTACCTGGGAGTTAGTCAGCTGTCACGGGCTGCTTCCTGGGGGTGGAGGCCTGGTCGAGGACCGGGCCGCGGGGACACTAAAGCCCCGAAATCATCTCAAGATAACCTCAAGAAGATACTCACCTCAAAGCCCACCACTTCTTATTAAACTCTAAGTCATTGTTGTGGTCCGCGAAGAGATCCCATCGCCACTTGTCAAGAATGTAAGCGTAGGGGATGAAAGCGATCTGTTAAAAAACGAAAAGGGAGATGATTACTATAGTCCAGTGATCACTCGTGCTGACATAAATCATCAGATCAGCCTTATCGATACACATAAAATTGCTTTACAAAAATATATTCAATAAAGGTAAAGTTATTAAATATGTTGACGAGACCACACACTAGAAAGTCAAGGGACGACGACCTTTTCGGTCCGTCCTGGACCATTCTCAAGTCGATTGGGATGAGGGAATTGATTGATTGATGAAGATTAAGCCACCCAAAAGGTGGCACGGGCATGAATAGCCCGTAAGTGTAATGGCCCTTTTGAGCCATTACCAGTACCAAGAGCTGATACTGGAGATCTGTGGAGGTGCGACTGCACCCTGCGTGACGGGAGATGTCTCCCATAGGGATGAGGGAAGTGTTGTTGTTGTTGTTAAAGATTTAGCTATTCAGGACGGAGTGTCCATGTAGCACGGGCTATGGTGAGCCCGTAACGATGAAGGAAGGCGGCAAAGGCAATAAATAGGCAAGAGAGAGATGAGGAGAAGATAATCTTAAAGGGAGAAATAGCAAGGCAAAAGGCACAAAAGGTAAGGTGATCTAAAGTTAAATAATTTGACAAGATCATAGCAGACCTTGGCTAGAGCCGTCTTCATGAGGAAATTGATGTTCTGCTCTTCGATTGTCGTGTTAGTCACATTTGCGGTTTGTGGTATGGTATTGTTAAGCATGAAACCTTCGCTGCAGAAACTGGAGTTACTCTGTAAAGCGTCTGAGATCATTTGAAGATGGCGAGGCGTGCTGACGGAGAGAGCAATGGTGTCCCCAATAGCTTCGTGGAAACCTGGTGGTTGAGGATAAAAACAGGAACACACTTTTGAGTTTTATGAATTAGCAGTCGAATATATATCCGAGCAGGCGATGAGTCACAATAACGTGGCTGAAGTATGTTGACCAGACCACACACTAGAAGTTGCAGGGACGATGACGTTTCGGTCCGTCCTGGACCATTCTCAAGTCGATTGTCTTGAGAATGGTCCAGGACGGACCGAAACGTCGTCGTCCCTTCAACTTCTAGTGTGTGGTCTGGTCAACATATATCCGAGATTCGCAAAGTATGTCTACCAATATATTTGTGTTCGCAATGTAGACACACAACTTGCTAATTATATCAACACAATACTATAGTGTTTTCTTATTTATTAAGTCTATAACGTCACACAGGAATATTTTAGAATTCCAGGTAACCTACTTTCACCTACCGTGTCTGTCTCAGGATAAGGTTTACTTCGTCTGAGTTATGATTTACTGAGTCATAACTCACCAATACTCACGACTTTTCAAGCTCCAGCATTTAGGTGAGTTGTCTAAGTAGAAGAGTTAAAACCTAGGATAATCCTCTTAACCTATCAAACCCACTTACTCATTCTTGCATGCGAAGCAGTCCAGTTACTCATCAGTTATACCTTGAGTGAGAATTTGGTGATAGAATGCAGGTGGCAGGGTCGTATGTGGCCTACGAATCGGCCCCCTGTACTAGCGAAGATGACCTCCTATCCCTCTACCCAATCAAGGAAGCTTGCGCCTCTCTAAGTACATTATAAGTGTGGTAGATGTGGTGTTGTATCAACATTGTTTGAGTAGGTACACTACCTGGATTAGCACCATCGCGAAACACAAGGGGATGCCCATCCAGAGTGCTGTACGACATCTGATATTCTGTGTGGCCCATTTCGTGGTGGATCACGATCAGATCCTCCTGATTGGTGTTCGCACACATCTTGATTCTGGAATTAAAACCCAAAAAATTTTATCGATGGGAAAACATGTGATTGTGACGATTAAAGTAACTAGTTTCACCGCTAGCTTGAGGTTATCTTGAGGTGATTTCAAGGCTTTTTAGTGTCCCCGCGGCCCGGTCCTCGACCAAGCCTCTACCCCCAGGAAGCAGCCCGTGACAGCTGACTAACACCCAGGTACCTATTTTACTGCTAGGTAACAGGGGCATAGGGTGAAAGAAACTCTGCCCATTGTTTCTCGCCGGCGCCTGGGATCGAACCCAGGACCACAGGATCACAAGTCCAGCGTGCTGTCCGCTCGGCTGACCGGCTCCCGTTAATGATAACAAGTTTCCTTGAGATTTGCCTAATCTCAGACCAGAACCTCTGGCAGTGCCTCTGTTCATTTTGTGAACATGTTCACCAGGAGCATGGGAACTGTTCATCAGGGGTCATGCACAGTTCCGCAAGGCCCAGTAGGTGCAGCAGTTACATGTACAAAACAGTCTTACGATTTTGCTAGACCAATATGCTACTGAAACGTAAAAGAATATTATGCTTTCAGACAGGTTTGAAACATGGCGCATACACGGTGCAGCGACCCAACTAGAGCTCACAACAGTGAAATGGATCATTACACAGTACGATGACCAGACCACACACTAGAACGTGAAGGGACGACGACGTTTCGGCCCGTCCTGGACCATTCTCAAGTCGATTGAGAATGGTCCAGGACGGACCGAAACGTCGTCGTCCCTTCACCTTCTAGTGTGTGGTCTGGTCATCATACTTTAGCCACGTTATTGTGACTCAACGCCTGTACACAGTCCGAGTTTATCTTGTTACAGTGACCAATACACAGTAAAAAGGTGATGATGTAAACAACAGTTACCAGACGTCAAAAAGCATGAGTGAAACACAGCAACAGAGAGTAGAATACACACACAAGCTTGTATTTCAACACTACCTCAAGATAATCTCAAGATAACCTCAAGATAACCTACCTGAAGCGACCTTTGTCAGGCACGTTTTCAGTGTCGTAGAAATCCCAGGCAGAGGCATGACAGATCACTTCTGTACCGTTGTTCGGGTCCTTGAACAAACTGCTACTCCAGAAGTCGGGCGTCATGGTATACAAATTCAGACTAGTGAAGAAATTTTCAGCCAAGCAGAACATTTCCGTGACATTGACGATCTGAAACATAATGTGAAGTTTACAGAGATGCTCATGTCGCTTCTGAGACCCATTCCCTTCTCCCCTTGCTATGCTCCCAGACACACACAGACACACACACACACACAACGTCAGCACCATGGCCCCCCTTTCTGTTTCCTATGTTCATAGTCCGCCTGAGCTAAATTCTGGCGAAGTTAGTATCCAGGTGCACAGAGGAGTTCCAAGTCAATCTTTTACACTTCACACTGTTTCATCACACGAGCTTGCTGCGACCCAGAGTACAGGACAGGCTCTCTCAAAGGCTCTGCATTACTCCCTACACTCGCTTAAAGGCTCTGCACTACTCCCTACAATCTCTTAAAGGCTCTACACTACTTCCTATACTCTCTTAAAGGCTCTGCACTAATCCCTACACTCTCTTAAAGGCTCTGCACTACTCCCTACACTCTCTTAAAGGCTCTGCACTACTCCCTACACTCTCTTAAAGGCTCTGCACTACTCCCTACACTCTCTTAAAGGCTCTGCACTACACCCTACACTCTCTTAAAGGCTCTGCACTACTCCCTACACTCTCTTAAAGGCTCTGCACTACTCCCTACACTCTCTTAAAGGCTCTGCACTACTCCCTACACTCTCTTAAAGGCTCTGCACTACTCGCTACACTCTCTTAAAGGCTCTGCACTATTCCCTACACTCTCTTAAAGGCTCTGCACTACACCCTACACTCTCTTAAAGGCTCTGCACTTCTCCCTACACTCTCTTAAAGGCTCTGCACTACTCCCTACACTCTCTTAAAGGCTCTGCACTACTCCCTACACTCGCTTAAAGGCTCTGCACTACTCCCTACACTCTCTTAAAGGCTCTGCACTACTCCCTACACTCTCCTCAAGGCTCTGCACTACTCCCTACACTCTCCTCAAGGCTCTGCACTACTCCCTATAACCTCTTAAAGGCTCTGCACTTCTCCCTACACTCTCCTCAAGGCACTTTCCTCTCCTAAACTACTGCTTACCTTGTTTGACAGCACCGTGTCTCGTATACTAAGCCTTCTCACCATCTTACACTATCCTCGGTGATAATTCTTATTACTAACCTCTATATTGATAAGATTAATTTACACTTTTGATTAATCTGAGTAATTCAGGTTTTTTTTTACAGCGAAGACGCTGCTCATGTTCACTGCCCACACAGGTTAGTGGATCACTAGCTTTACTGTGTGTCATAATGTATATATTACCAACGTGGCATGTGACAGTGTCCGGAAGTTGTGCCGGATGTACAACCTGTCCTCTTAAAAAGAACGTCGCTTTTGGCCGTTTGCCCGTATGGCCGAATATGGACCTAATTTGAAAATGAAAATAAATTTGGGATTTTTTTTTCAACAAGAGTAAGTTAAGGGTCCTTCTGATAGGTTAGGTGGGCAGGAAATTCTCATAAAAGTTTCAAAACGGTATGAAAAACGTGAATTGAAAGTCATCTATTCTAACCTTACCGAGTAAGCCGGACGACTCAAACAGAAAACGGAACAGAACGTCACTTTTGCGAGTCGATTTCATTTCAAATTACGTCCAAATTTGGCCATAGCGCGCATACCAGCCAAAAGTGACGTTATTTTTAAGAGGACGGGTTGATGCATTAGTTTGGGTCTGCGTTACTCCCTCGCTGATGCACTTACGTTGTCGTTAAGATCGTCTGAGATATCTGGGATGTCGACGTCTTCGTAAGGCTTTACGAGGTCGTAGATATTTTCCCAGGACTGAGCCCACATATTGCCTGACGAAAGGAGAAATTATATATATAATATATATATATATATATATATATATATATATATATATATATATATATATATATATATATATATATATACATATAATATATGTTTGTATGTGAGAACGTTTTTTCTAGCATATAAATATCAATGGTATTTCAGAATCAGGTCATTTTTAAGCGTTATTTAAGGAATTCTATGATCATTAGGGATGGCATTCTTGCTTGTGTACGAGAACTATAAGTTGAGATTGGCTATTTTACGTCAGCTTGTGGTGAAAACAAGATATAGAAACCTTAGGGTTTTTAATATCTCTCTCTCTCTCTCTCTCTCTCTCTCTCTCTCTCTCTCTCTCTCTCTCTCTCTCTCTCTCTCTCTCTCTCTCTCTCTCTCTCTCTCTCTCTCTCAATTCGTCAAAAAAACCAATATGCCTCCTATACACACCCAGGACATGAGCCGGAATAAATTTCTCATCAACTTTGATGCTCTCCGTGTAGACAGATTTCAGCCTATCCAGAACGTAGGCGTGAAGCTGCTCGTACAGAGGTCTGGTGGCGTTCCACAAGACCTCGATGTCGTTCTGGAAATCGACGGCTCCGTAGCCTTCGTCAGTATACGGTTCCACCCACATCTGTCCAGCGTCAGGGAAACCTGTGGTGTTGACAGGTGTGTTTAACACATGTTTATCCGACGGGTGACAGGTGTGTCGCTTTCACTAATAGTATTCCAGTACCATAACACACCACTGATACACATACCATTCCTATCGGCAGCTTCGTTGAGGAGTTCGATGTAGGTGATGTAGTCATCCTTCATATGTCGGCCCGAGGCATTCCTCCAAGCCTCCCAGTAATACTCGAGGACGTCATAATCCTTCTCCGTTGACATCTTTTGTTCCACTGTTGGACAAAAACCATTAAAATTGGAGTTAACTCTGTTGGCGCTTCAGGAAATGCAACCCGTGCTAAAATGACCCAGCAGTAAATAGGTACCTGGGAGTTGGAGAGGTGCCACGGGCTGCTTCCTGAAGGTGTGTGTGTGTGTGTGTGTGTACTCACCTATTTGTGTTTGCGGGGGTTGAGCTTTGGCTCTTTGGTCCCGCCTCTCAACTGTCAATCAACTGGTGTACAGGTTCCCGAGCCTACTGGGCTCTATCATATCTACACTTGAAACTGTGTATGGAGTCAGCCTCCACTACATTACTGCCTAATTCATTCCATCCGTTAACTACTCTGACACTGAAAAAGTTCCTTCTAACGTCTGTGTGTGTGTGTGTGTGTGGGTGTGGGTGTGGGTGTGTGTGTGTGTGTGTGTGTGTGTGTGTGTGTGTGTTAGAGAGAAATATATGTAGTAGATATAAGAGGAAAAATAAATTGATTAGAAAGGCAGGTACAAGAGCTAACAGCTCGATTCTGCAGGTACGAATGGTAAATACACACACACACACACACACACACATTTACACACACACACACACTTACACTGGTCAATTGAGAGTCCATCTGTAGTAACGTTGCAGTCCTGAACTTCCACAGGGCAGACCCGGCTGGTGTAGTTACTGGTCATTCTCTCAATCACCTCGTTCAGCTGTCGAGTAAGACGAGGCCTATGAGACTGTCGTTGATAGGCCTACTATGTTGCACACAATCACTATAGCGTGATATATCTATGAGACAATCTTTGGAGCAGTGTGGTAGACTCGAACTCTCGTCTTAATATATAGTCTTATTATTGTTAATAATGTTGTTATATAAGATTATATTAGTCTTATTATTGTACTGATTACTTATTACTAGTAAATATTTATAATTTTTATATATAATTTGGATTTTAAAAAGTTATATAGAAGGGTTTCTGGAAGGGAACTATCAGGGGAAAGCGCCAAGCCATCACGACTATATAGCACTGGGAAGGGATTAGAATAAGGATTTGGGATGGGACGGAAAGGGGGGGGGTAGGATAGGGGGTCTCTCGAGTGCCATTTTTTTTCTTCTCTGAGACTGAGGCATCACTTAACCACGAAGTCGTGTTCATATATCATCATGTTCAATCGTCATTATCATCTCCTTCATTCACGAAAATCGTCTTGAGAATGGTCCAGGACGGACCGAAACGTCGTCGTCCCTTCACCTTCTAGTGTGTGGTCTGGTCAACTTCATTCGCGAAGTCGGTCAGGGGAGCCGGTCGGCCGAGCGGACAGCACGCTGGATTTGTGATCCTGTGGTCCCGGGTTCGATCCCGGACGCCGGCGAGAAACAATGGGCAGCGTTTCTTTCACCCTATGTCCCTGTTACCTAGCAGTAAAATAGGTACCTGGGTGTTAGTCAGCTGTCACGGGCTGCTTCCTTGCGGTGGAGGCCTGGTCGAGGACCGGGCCGCAGGGACACTAAAAAAAAGCCCCGAAATTATCTCAAGATAACCTCAAGATAACCTCAAGATAACCTCAAGATAACCTCAAGATAACCTCAAGATAACCTCAAGATAACCTCAAGATAACCTCAAGATAACCTCAAGAAGTCGTCGCGTGGAGAATATGACGGTAAATGAACAAATCCACAAGGGCCGTGACGAGGATTCGAACCTGCGACCGAGAGCGGCAAACTCACCTTGGTCAATTGGGTGTCGTTGAGAGCGGCCGTTCCCAGGTTCTTCTGGAGCTGAAACTGGCGTCGTAGCGAGTCGTTGAACGTGGAATAGTTGAAGTAGGAGATAACGCTCTCGTGGTAGGCGTTGAACGACTGGCTCACCGTTATCCAGGCGTCGTTCTGCGATTAACGACAAGCAGTCAAAACCAAATTCACCCTTTTCGTGCTCTCGAAGAGGATTTATTAAAATAGATATATCACTTTTATGTCTGACTTATGAGCGGCTAATGGAACTAAACATAACGTCACTGAAAGGCAAAAAGTGCTTAGGGAGACATGATTACCGCATACATAGTTATCAAGGTTGGAGTTGATAGACCAATCAGCGACGGATTATTTGAGTATGGATGTCACAGGAAGAAACACAGGTAGATTACTTAGTACCCAAGTTGACCTAAGGAACATTAGAAAAGAATTTATTCACTGTCATAGTGAACGCACTCAAAAGTGAAGTGGGGGAAGGAGTCTTCAGTACATTGAAATGTATGATAGACATTTAGAGTGAATAACAATACACCAATTGACTTTAGGAGCTGAAATATAGAGTCGAAACTCGACCCCCGCCAACAGAATACACAATCAGTTTTGAACATATCAACAGAATAAACATGAATTAATGATTAGAAAAAATATAAACATTTCACATAGCTGAGTGAAGTGTCACCACTCATCGTAAAGTAATAATAATAATAATAATATTTTATTTAGGTAAGGTACATACATACAATAAATTTTTACAAAGATTGGTTGACTTATAGGTAGAGCTAGTACATACAATGCCTAAAGCCACTATTACGCAAAGCGTTTCGGGCATGAGAAGTGAAGAAAACTTATCAAAAGTGACCCTAATTACACTTTATCTTGACTGATGACAAAGGACTGTCAGGTTCGCTTTGACTCACCGAGGCGGCAGCGTGGTCATCGCTAACATCAGTGTAGTAGAGCCAGTCTACCTCTGTTGCGTGACGCACTAGTTGCGTCATGTTGGCGTTCATGTCCTCCATGGCTGCCTGAGCCAACTCCTCGTCGTTCCTGGGGTCCATTGTCGTCGTTTCTGGCGCCGAACTACTCGTTTCTGCCGTTATCTCGTCCGTGTTCTCAGATGAACTAATCTCCGTTGTTTCAAAGTTGTTTGAATCCGTTGTTGAAGCATCGGCTTCGTCTTCGTGCATAAAAGAGCAGTCATCTGAAGACAATAGTTAATTATAACGTGTTTTAAAAGCCAGTATAAATAACATTATTATTTCCTAGCATATTTTTTAAGCCTGTCTATATAAAAAAAAAACTTATACTAACCTCCCCAGCCAATGCATTGGTTGGTCTCCAGTAGCGCTTGGTCCAAGTACTGTATCAGAGGCGCGAAGTAGTCTATAATTGGCTGAGAACTCATGTCTGTCGATCCTCCAAGTTCGCCCAGAACTTTGGGCCAGGGCTCCGAGAAGCCCTTCTCCAAGGCGCTCCTGTTGACGAGGTCAGGTCTCAGTGGGTACTTGACTAAAGACTCAAGTGGGTTCACGCAACTATAGAAAATCTATTGGGTTTAGATACTACTTCTTGACTGTGGGGGGTTTTTAAAGGTTCTTCTGTGGAAGGGGTTCTCTAAGGTGAATTTTTTTTGCTTTGGTGAAGGTTCTGGTGAGTGAATGTTAGGCATATATCGACTATAAACGTTATATGTAACTGTTACGATAATTAGCTCTGCTGGTTGGCGGCTCTGAGTGGAAAAAAACTCTACTGACTAAGGCCTCTGAGTGGTGAAAATTCTATTGGCTGAGTGCACTGAGGGGAGAAAACTTTGCTGGTTGAGGGCTCTGATTGGTAAGAAAACTGCTGCTGAGGGCTCTGATTGGTAAGAAAACTGCTGCTGAGGGCTCTGATTGGTAAGAAAACTGTTGCTGAGGGCTCTGAGTGGTAAGAAAACTGCTGCTGAGGGCTCTGATTGGTAAAAAAACTGCTGCTGAGGGATCTGATTGGTAAGAAAACTGTTGCTGAGGGCTCTGATTGGTGAAACCTCTGCTGGACGAAGGTTCAGTTAAATGAGTAACCAGTCACTCAGAGCTCCCCCGGCAACCAGGAGAATATATTGGGCAAGTGAGGATTCCTCTATAGATTTAGTAGAACCCCTAGAGCACTAAAACCTTCCCCGGAACACACTAACATGAAACAACACACCTGATACACGTATAGAACGCCTCAACGAAGCAGTATGCAAAACATCGTATCATTAAACACCCCCCAAAAGTAGCACGGATCAAAGGGAATCAAGAGGTGGCTGACCTGAGGATGTCGCCCGCTGCAGTGTTGTTATAGATATCGCAGGTGTGGAGGGGGCCGGTGTGGCCGGCAGCTTCACACAGGTGTGCGTGAAACTGAAACTGTACGATGAAGCTCACGAAGTACCTGTAAAGGGAGTTCAGAAGCGGTACAAAGTTAAAAAAAAACGGAAAAAAACAGGTATCAGAAATGGGAAGATACAGGACTTGAGAAGGACAGAAGAGATGTGGAGAAGAGAATAGAGGGACAGAAACAGGTAGAAGAAACAGATAAGAGGAGTGAAATACATACAGGTGGTGAGATAGATAAGCTGTGATAAAGGTGTGTGGGGGACGGGGAAGCTAAACTTGTCCTGGACATATCAAATTACGAATCATGAAATGCCACCGCCATAAGCGTTGGGAAAACGACTGATCAGTTAAAAACAGAATATTTTCCTGTGACAAGCAAGGCCTTTGTCTTACAGTGTATTCAGTGAACGAACAACTGGAGGACTCTGTCGCTACCTGATGTAAGGGACGTTTGCCGGAACGTGATATTTGGCTCCTGGGTCGAAGTACTCCTCTCCCCGAGGTCCTGCTGGGGGCGTGACGCCCTGGAGCGACTCCCTCAGGTTCCACCAGCCAGCATTCAACTCTTCAAAGGGGATGGACCCATCAAACACGCCCCACCGATAGTTGTCGATCAGGTAACCGAAGGGCAAGAACGCAATCTGAGGACAGCGAGGCAAAGTTAGCGAGACACCGAAATGTAGCGAGACACAGAGAGATAATGAGACACAGAGAGGTAACGAGACACAGATAGCGAGAGAGAGGAGGTAACGGTAACAGCCATAAGCACGAAAACACCGCAGATATGCCAAAGGCCACAAAATGATAACGTAAAAACTCTAAAACCCAAGATATCTGACCTTCTCCAGCGCCATCTTCATGAGGAAGTTAAGATCCCGCTTCTCGTCGTCAGTGTAGCGGGGATCGAGCCGGGTGGAGGAGGTGCCGTTATCTGGGGTGAGGCCCAGCACCTCCTCCAGGTGCTTCGGGGTTGACATCGACAGAGCAATTAAGTCACCAATAGCTTCGTGAAAACCTGTACCAGGGAGAAAAAAAATTATATATATCGAAGGGACGGGTGCTACGAGAAAGCGCCAAGCTATTGTGATTATATGGCTGTTTGAAGGGGTCAGGATAATGATTTGGGACGGGGGGAAAAGGAATGTTTCCCAACCACTTTGACGGTTGGGGATTGAACGCCGACCTGCATGAAGCCTCGATGTATATTACATCATGGCCGCGAGGAAGATAGTTGCCATAACAAAGGCAGGACTACAACGGTCCACACAGGAACTGAAGACCCGTATGCAACAACCAATCAAAGATTGGTTCCAAGCAGTTTACCTGGATTGGCAGAGTCTCTGAAGACGAGCGGTTCGTTCTTGTAGGCCATGAAGTACTCGATGTGACCCATCTCGTGGTGCACGGTCACCAGGTCCACCATGTTGACCTCAGTACACATCTTGATCCTGCAATTGAAGATAAAGTGTTCACTCAGGAATGCATGAAACCTTTCTCTCTCTCACTCTCTCTCTCTCTCTCTTTCTCTTTCTCTTTCTCTCTTTCTTTTTCTCTCTCTCTCTCTTTCTCTCTCTCTCTCTTTCTCTTTCTCTCTGTCTCTCTCTCTCTTTCTCTTTCTCTCTGTCTCTCTCTCTCTCTCTCTCTCTCTCTCTCTCTCTCTCTCTCTCTCTCTCTCTCTCTCTCTCTCTCTCTCTCTCTCTCTCTCTCTCTCTCTCTCTCTCTCTCTCTCTCCACACACACCAGCACGCGCACACAGCCCTCATCTTGCATCATAAGGCACAATCGCAGTTGTCCACAGTCAATATATCGAAGTTGTCATTAAGACCCTGATCAACCAGGCTGTGAATCATATATCAGACTGCGAGCAGCCGCGTCAAACAGCCTGGTTGACCAGACCGGCAACGAGGAGGCCGAGTCGAGGACCGGGCCACAAGGACTTTGAGCCCCGAAATCATCTCAAAGTAACCGCAAGGTAAGAATAAGTGCAGCAAAAGATTTGAAGCATCCATCATCTTAAACTCTTAAGAACTTTGATATCCGCCATCTTAAAGAACACTAAATGCAAGCAGTTCTCGTGGCACAGTGGTAAAGCACTCGCCCGGCGCTTCATGAATACTTTGGCCTGGGTTTGTATCCTGGCCAGGGAGGATTGACTGGGCGCCAATCCCTAATTGTAGCATCTGTTCACCCAGCAGTAAATGGGTACCTGACTGTTAAGCGACTTGGCGCGTCGTATTCCAGGGAAAAAATAAGATTAAGGACCTTCCCGAAACTCTATGCGTATTAGTGGCTTTACAAGAATGTAAGATCTCTTGTATATATATATGTATATATATATATATATATATATATATATATATATATATATATATATATATATATATATATATATATATATATATATCGTCTCTAAGAGTACCATCCATTAACGTTTGACCAGATCACACACTAAAAGGTGAAGGGACGACGACGTTTCGGCCCGTCCTAGACCATTCTCAAGTCGATTGTGGCTTGAGAATGGTCCAGGACGGACCGAAACGTCGTCGTCCCTTCACTTTCTAGTGTGTGGTCTGGTCAAGAAAGTCAGGTGTTTGACCAATTATAACTCGTGTAAAAAACTGAACAACACGTCATACAGATTCCTTAGTCAGGTGTATACTGTATCATTTTGTTTGGAAACCAAACTAATGTAACTATATCACCTCCGTTTTCTGTTTGTTGATCGTCACCTTCTGTACCTGTAATCATCACATTCTGTACCTATAATCATCACTTCCTCTACCTGTAATCATCACTCTCAATACCTGTAATCATCGCCTTCTGGTCCCAGACAGAAGTCTTCGGCTGAGGCGTGACATAGCATGATCTTGCCCCAGGCTGTCTGGTTAATGACACTCTTGTCCCAGAAGGTCTGGGTCATGTCGAAAAGGTCGATACTCCTGAAGAAATCCTCTGCCGCCAGGAACATCTTCTGTATATCCCAGCCCTGAGTCAGAGGACAAGGGAGAATGTTATTTTCATTCTTCATTATACATACTGGTCGAGGACCGGGCCGCGGGGACACTAAAGCCCCGAAATCATCTCAAGATAAAATCAAGATAACCTCAAGATACATAGTTATTCAGTTATCTTATATATGAATATTTTCATTCAATGTTTTTGGGGGATTATTTTCTAAATCATCTCACAAAAATTCCATATATTTTCTAAGATTTAAAAGATTATATTCCCCTTTGAAGCTTTTAAAAGTAAATGCAATGTTGAAATGGCATGAAATATCTAAATATTGTATCATAAAAACAACATATAATTTTTAATATATATTAAAACTGAAAATGTTTAGCAATAATCATAATGTATTACATCAGTGTTTTCACATTGAAGAAAAAAGAGAAAATGCTTAGAACTTTTTTTTTTAAATTATCTATAAAAAAAGAGAGATATCTTTATATGAGATAAAAGCCTGTCTACGGAGGGGGTGGGAGGGGGGGTGAGACAGCCCCCCTCGAATACCACAATAGTCAGCCTATCGTCATGTTTTGATAGTACTAATAGTAACGAGGTGGACCATAGTGTGTATATATATATATATATATATATATATATATATATATATATATATATATATATATATATATATATATATATATATACCGACGTAAAACGGAATTAGAAAGTAGAAAATTTAACTATTGAGTTAGGCAAAACTGGGTAAACTATTTTTTTTACTTGTGTTGCTTTGATAAACTAACCTAACCTCCCTAGGCCTAATACCTGATATTTGAGGCCTAATACCTGATATTTGAGGCCTAATACCTGATATTTGAGGCCTAATATAGGATATTTGAGGCCTAATATATGATATTTGAGGCCTAATACCTGATATTTGAGGCCTAATACCTGATATTTGAGGCCTGATACCTGATATTTGAGGCCTAATACCTGATATTTGAGGCCTAATATAGGATATTTGAGGCCTAATATATGATATTTGAGGCCTAATACCTGATATTTGAGGCCTAATATATGATATTTGAGGTCTAATACATGATATTTGAGGCCTGATACATGATATCTGAGGCCAAATATAGTACATATGTGTACTATACTAGGCCTAAGAATATATAAGTTTGTATTTTAGCTTAATTTAATTAAAGAATTCCTTGCTAGTCAGTATACTACTATCTAAAATCTAAGTACGTACGAATTCGTGACTGTTGACAACTGTCACAATAAGTACTATCTAAGCAGGAGGATGGGTTGCCATACCCCTGAACGGTGTAGGTACGTACATACCTACGTACCTACGTACTTACGTACGTACATACACCGTACGTTCATTTTACCTACGTACATTTTTCACCATGCTGTTGGTGACGTCAAATGTCGGCATCTCTGGGAAAGGCATAACATGGCGAGCGATGTTCGACCAGTCCTGAGCCCACATGTCACCTGTGGGAAAGAGTCTGATGAGGGGGGGGGTGTGAAACAGTCATTTAAAAACAGGTCCTTGAGGACTTGTGTGGTTACGGGATCACCATAGCCCGTGCTACATGGACATTTCGTTCTCAGTAACTAAATCTAAAACAACAACAACAACAGACTTGTGTGGAATTGGTCACCTTTTGGGTAATATACTAACTACCCTCAGAGCTGTTGTTGTTGATTCAGCTACTGGGAACAAAAAAGTTCCAAGTAGCACGGGCTATGGTGAGCCCGCAGTGGACTTACCTGGCACAGGAGCGGGGCAAGTAGCACGGGCTATGGTGAGCCCGTAGTGGACTTACCTGGCACAGGAGCGGGGCAAGTAGCACGGGCTATGGTGAGCCCGTAGTGGACTTACCTGGCACAGGAGCGGGGCAAGGAGCACGGGCTATGGTGAGCCCGTAGTGGACTTACCTGGCACAGGAGCGGGGCAAGTTGCACGGGCTATGGTGAGCCCATAGTGGACTTACCTGGCACAGGAGCGGGGCTGTAACTAGATCTTCTGAGCCTTCGCTTATGACTATATAAGTTAAGGATATTCGTGCCACTGACCTAGGATATGAGAAGGGATAGGTCACTGACCTAGGATGTGAGATGGGATAGGTCCAGTTGGATCGATTTTATCCACATAAACCTCCTGAAGACGCATCCTGACGTAGGCGTGGAGCTTCTTGTAGAGTTGTTCAGAGACCTGTTGAACACGTACAGATAAAAAAAAACACGAACCCTTCACAAAATTTTATGTTGACTAGAAATATTTGCATTTCTCAGAACTAATATTAATTTGTCAATGTTATATGTAAAGATAACATCTAAATGTTACATGTGATATTCCTCTCACATTATAACTTAATACAAGAAAATTCAACATTAATTTTCTCAGATCGTTGAACTGTTGATATTGATCTGGCTTACACACGGGAGACATCTCCCGTCACGCAGGGTGCAGTCGCACCTCCACAGATATCCAGTATCAGCTCTTGATACTGGTAATGGCTCAAAAGGGCCACCACTTACGGGCTATTCATGCCCGTGCCACCTCTTGGGTGGCTTAATCTTTATCAATCATCTATCAATCAATCTGGCTAACGCCTACACACTCCGGTCTACTGTTTTGTATATCACAGTAACTATTCTGATCTTATCCAAGTGCTTTATAGTCGTAATGTCTTAACGCTTTTTCAAGATCAAGACCCTGCCACCAGCATCCTGCTAACGCCATCTCGCCCTCTTATCTCAAAAAATTATACCCCATCCGCTTCCCTAATATCTTAGCATCATGCAGTGCCGACAGCATCTCAACATAGAACTTCAATAATCTTCCCACATAAGCTTAGTCATCTCAACAAAAAACCTGTCATCGCGTCACATAATCTCCCTCATCTCAACACTCACAATAACGGCTATCTCCCACACACAACCTCATCTGCTCTCCCCACAACACCAGCTATTGAACATCTTTCAACCCAATCCTATGATACACATTCCACACTCCAACCCCTTTCCTCCTACTTCCCACACTCATATAACCCACAGGCCACACCTGGCAGCAGCCACAGCGCCACCTGCCTCATGTCTACCAGTCTCAGGGGGAAAGGGGGGCCCACGTACCTCCTGCCAGACAGAGTCGGCCATATCCCTGAACCCGTGCTGGTCGAGGGTCGCCCCTCCGGTGAAAGCTTCAGCTTCGCGGGTGTCGACCGTGTAGGGGCTGAGCCAGTAGGAGCCTGTGTTGTCGAACCCTGTTGATTGTAAAATGTACATGTACCTTTATACAATATGTACTTTTCACACATGTATTTTCACACAGCTCGATCCTGCAGAGATCGAGCTGAAGAACATTGTTTCGTACCTCGCAGTGGTTGATTCACTGCAGTTAACAATATCATCGTCCGTTAACTCGTCCCTATTAGAATCTGCATGTGCCAAATAATATTGGCACTAATGAAGTATTATTTGAATTCATGTATATTTAAACTCTTACATTTAAACTCTTAAACCCAAGAGGCAGGAGAATGTAAGAATGTAAGACTAGCATAGTGGGCTTCGTAGCGCCTGACTGACCATCGAGCACGGCGGCCTGGTTGGAGAGTTCAACAAAGCTGACGAAGTCATCTCTCATAAGCTTGCCGGTGTTCTCCCGCCACTGTTCCCATGTATAACGCAGCTCATCCCAGTCCTCTGACGAGGCCATGATGGCTTCAATGTCTGTGGGGGAGTTAGACATGGGAGAGATGGATTAAGAAGGGGATTACGGGAGAGAAGGATGAAAGAGGGATAACCATTGCAACTTCCCGCCAAAGAGAAAAATAACTACTCTCTTGTTAAAATCCTGATTGCTTTCAGCGGTGATAAGAAGATTCATTTGAGATAAAAAAAATTCACCCTCTTTCATGAATAACTTTTTGTATATGCAAAGTGAATAATTTCCCATCTGAGTCATGTATACGTACTTCCCACAAGCCTATAATCGAGTCAGGTTATGGAAACCCATCCAGAGCTAAGAGTTCAAAGCTCTTTCTTGTTAATTCAGATGGATAGGCCAGCATGGCCCACCCATGCTGGCGTAGGTGACCTGACTTTCCAGCCAGAGTGACTTTAGAGCAGCTGAATCTAAAAGATCTCTGGCTGGAAAGTCAGGTCACTTACGCCAGCATGGGTAGGCCAGGGAGCTTCATAGACCTGAAGACTTATCTAGTTTGAGTCGGGTAACATACTCCAGTAAGGATAAGCCTGGGGCCCGATTCACGAAAACACTTACGCAAGCACTTACGAACCTGTACATTTTTTCTCAATCTTTGGCGGCTTTGTTTCCAATTATTAAACAGTTAATGAGCTCCGAAGCACCAGGAGGCTGTTTATAACAATACCAACAGTTGAATGGGAAGTTTTCATGCTTGTAAACTGTTTATTAAATGTAACCAAAGCCGTCAAAGATTGAGGAAAGATGTATACATTCGTTAGTGCTTGCGTAAGTGCTTTCGTGAATCTGGCCCCAGGGTAGTAGACTTGAAGACTTACCCGGCTCGAGGATAAGGTCACACTTGGTCTGGTCGTGGTAATCACATATGGTCGCTGTGCTATAGATGGTCTCCATGTTGGCCTGTAGGGCTTTGTACTACGGGAAGGAAAACGCAGCATTATTCCTTGCAGAGAAGGTAAGTAGCTATCAGGGGAAAGTACCAAGCCATTGCGACTATATAGCACTGGAAAAGGGTCAGGATAAGGATTTGGGATGGGACGGGGGGAAGGAATGATGCCCAACCACTTGGACGGTCGGGGATTGAACGCCGACCTGCATGAAGCAAGACCGTCGCTCTACCGTCCAGCCTAAGTGGGTGGGTAAGCAAGAACTGCTAGGACAAAAAAAATTATATTTTGATCAGCTTGTATCGTGACTACCGAAGACCATTTTAATGTTGACTTTGTCACGTTGTGATCCCGACGGGCCTTTGTCTTGATTTAACTTAATGGTAGGATGTCTGAACACTGTTCAAGCTAGCAGAGTTCATATTAGCTAAGCGGATGATATATCAAATTAGTCCACTTATTCAGTACGAAGCCGTAGTGAGCTAATATTTTAGATTTAGTTACTCAGAATGAAGTGTCCATGTAGCACGGGCTATGGTGAGCCCGTAATGAGCATATGGCAATATTTAATTTGTTTGTGTGTGTTGAAGCAGAGTTCATATTAGCTAAGCGGATGATATATCAAATTAATCCACTTATTCAGTACGTAGCCGTAGTGAGCTAATATTTTAGATTTAGTTACTCAGAATGAAGTGTCCATGTAGCACGGGCTATGGTGAGCCCGTAATGAGCATATGGCAATATTTGATTTGTTTGTGTGTGTTGAAACTCCTTACCTGCGTGAGGTCATCGGGTTGCAGCGCCCCAGGTCCTTTCTTGGAGAGGAATCGGAACCGTCGATACAGCTCAATGTCGATGAAGCCGCTGTAGTCGTACTCAGAGCAGTTGACAGCCGCCTCCCCTTGGAAGGTCATGTACTGCACCGAGGCCGCGTTCTGTGGCAAGCATACACATCAGTTCTTCCTTCTCTAATCCTATAGGAGAGTTGATCTCTCTCTCTCTCTCTCTCTCTCTCTCTCTCTCTCTCTCTCTCTCTCTCTCTCTCTCTCTCTCTCTCTCTCTCTCTCTCTCTCTCGCTCTCTCAATCTCTCTCTCTCTCTCTCTCTCTCTCTCTCTCTCTCTCTCTCTCTCTCTCTCTCTCTCTCTCTCTCTCTCTCTCTCTCTCTCTCTCTCTCTCGCTCTCTCAATCTCTCTCTCTCTCTCTCTCTCTCTCTCTCTCTCTCTCTCTCTCTCTCTCTCTCTCTCTCTCTCTCTCTCTCTCTCTCTCTCTCACATTTAGACTATGAGGGAGGCCTCACAAGGAGGTGTTTGAAACAATTCTCATTTCATAAGTGTTCTTAATGTTTCTGCATCCTCACTTCCGGCTCAAGCTTATTCTATTATTTTAAGTCGATGACGTCACTTCTGTGTAGCGGGGCGTAATGTTTTTGATATGGCAATAACATCACTGTTATATAGATGACGTCACTGCTATAAATGGTTGACTTCACTGTTCGCTACAGCAGGAATGGTTTCTATTTTTGTCAGTGATACATTAGTGTATCTTTATTAGTGTATCTATTAGGTTATCATAGATTGTCTTCGCAAATACTGAAAACGCACAACTAAGTTCCCGCTAAATATTGACGAATCTTAGCACAGTGAACGCTAAATATTGACGAATCTTAGCACAGTGAACGCTAAACATTGACGAATCTTAGCACAGTGAACGCTAAACATTGACGAATCTTAGCACAGTGACCGTAAAATATTGACGAATCTTAGCACAGTTCCCGCCAAATATTGACTTTGCCCGGCAGAATGACCGCCAAATCGCGGAAACGCGAAAATGACCGCCAAATTAGGAACAATTCGACTCTCTTCACGACGATCACTCATCTAAACTATTCCATACGAGTCTCTAAACATCAGTTTTCGCACCGAGAGAAAAAAAACATTATGAGCCTGTGAGATATATAAGTATAGTCCTGCTTTTTAATTACACTGAAAAGACATATATATATATATATATATATATATATATATATATATATATATATATATATATATATATATATATATATATATATATATATATATATACCTCCTGAGCCAATGAGGACAAATGACGTCAATCTAACAATGAACCGATTGTTGATGTTAATGATCCAACAAGCTGATTGGTCGCTGACTCGAGCATCGTTGTTAAACCGCTAGGGGGTAATTAAGCTTTTCTTTAGCGGTAATTACATAATATAGTAATTGAGGAACGACTCCGTTATCTTGGGTTTATGTTAAATGAGGGTCGCGCTGTGGAGAGAGTTTTTCATGCGTTGTAACGGGGTTACATAATAGCGAATAAATTATATGGTAAACAAAAATTATTATAGACATGGAGGTCGTCTATATTATTTATTTAATTGGCTTTATATGCCCAAAAAAACTTTGTTTTCCAATCCGCTTGTGTAATTTTTTTGTTATATGAATTAGAGGAGTTTTATTATTAGTCACCGTTACATTAGAGGAAGTGACGGAACCCTGCTCTAGCTACTCTAGAACTCTAGAGTAATCTAATGTTCTAGTTACCGTCACTAGAGTGGAGGTGACGGAACCCTGCTCTAGCTACTCTAGAACTCTAGAGTAATCTAATGTTCTAGTTACCGTCACTAGAGTGGAGGTGACGGAACCCTGCTCTAGCTACTCTAGAACTCTAGAGTAATCTAATGTTCTAGTTACCGTCACTAGAGTGGAGGTGACGGAACCCTGCTATAGCTACTCTAGAACTCTAGAGTAATCTAATGCTCTAGTTACCGTCACAAGAGTGGAGGTGACGGAACCCTGCTCTAGCTACTCTAGAACTCTAGAGTAATCTAATGCTCTACCGTCACAAGAGTGGAGGTGACGGTACTCTGCTCTAGTTACCGTCACTAGAGTGGAGGTGACGGTTCTCTAATCGCCGTCACTCGACGTAACGAGTATAGCAGAGAGAGAGAGATATTAACCCAGCACTCAGATAACATACGATAAAAACCCTCTTCAGAGAATCTTATCACAGGTCGCAGTTATATCTAGACAGAGAGACGGAAAATTTAGAGGCTAAAATGACGACTTTAATAAGGTCGAGTATGAGAGAGTGTGGAAGATAGTGCTATACTTGAACACTTAAATTCAAACCAAATGGAGACTCTTAAATGGTATTCAAACCCCTGAATTAACATAAATTTGCATTTGACAAAATTGTGTTTTAAAAGTTTTAGTTATATTTAGACAATTTAGTGTTCGAATGAATTTATTTTGTCCTTTTTATTGTTCGTTCTTGTATTTAAGTCTTTCTACATATATTCTGAACAACAGATATGTTTAATCTAAATAATTTTCACTGCGAATCTATTCCATATGTGGAATACTCTTCAATTCTAACGTCATACATTAACAAAAAAAATCATGCCTTAAGTTGGCATAATTAGTACCGTGGACAGCACCCTCCTCGGAGCTCTTCTCGAATCGAACTCCGTCGTCAAAATCATTGGCATGAAAATCACGAACCTAATGATCATGGATGACATGACTGGAGGCATGTATTCTCACAAGCTTTTTGACCTTTTCGCCAGGTAATTATCCCTCCCCAGGCTCAACCTATCTCTGGCTATCCCAAGAGTTCAAACTACCCACGTGTGAGCCTCACACACCCGTGGGGGTTCCAGGGTTCGAGGCTCTTGAAGCCCTCAAACCGTGCGATATCGGCCAAGGTGGCACTATCACCCTTCCTCTCCTCCTCAACATTTGAAGACATGGTTAAGGAAATCCTACCATTAAACGTAAGCATCTCGCTACGATACACGATCCCAGAGTCCCAGTGTGCACTGCTAACTGTGGTTCTCTCACATCCTCACCACCCAAACTCCGTTTTACAGTCTCCGTGGTGCAGTGGTAAGACACTCGCCTGGCGTTCCGCGATCGCTATGTCATGGGTTCGTATCCTGGCCAGGGAGGATTTACTGGGCGCAATTCCTTAACTGTAGCCTCTGTTTAACGCAACAGTAAAATGTGTACTTGCATGAAAAAACGATTCTTCGCGGCGGGGATCGTATTCCAGGGACCAGCCCGAAACGCTACGCGTACTAGTGGCTGTACAAGAATGTAACAACTCTTGTATATACCTCAAAAAAAAAAAAAAATAGTCATCAAGCGCATAAAAAGCCATGCAGTTGGGACAGTCCCGTCACGATGATCAACTACAAGTTGACTCCCATCTGAAACAACAACATGTGAGGCAGTTTGACTTATAGCCGTGACGGTTTTCAATGTACAGATCTTCCTGACAGCTTTCCCAATGTCCCCCGACCACATAGTGTGATATAACCAATAATACCAGGTGGTTAAGGTTATACCTTATGCCTCTTAAGTACCACATTAAGTAGTATTAATGCCCTTGACGATGATGCGAAAAATTATCATTTTACACAAATGATGAGTCAGCTGACGCCGGCAACAGGACGTTTAGCAGTTGTGAAACTAGGTGGATCTTCAGTGTAAATGGAAGATCAGAACTAGGTGGATCTTCAGTGTAAATGGAAGATCAGAACTAGGTGGATCTTCAGTGTAAATGGAAGGTCAGAACTAGGTGGATCTTCAGTGTAAATGGAAGATCAGAACTAGGTGGATCTTCAGTGTAAATGGAAGGTCAGAACTAGGTGGATCTTCAGTGTAAATGGAAGATCAGAACTAGGTGGATCTTCAGTGTAAATGGAAGATCAGAACTAGGTGGATCTTCAGTGTAAATGGAAGATCAGAACTAGGTGGATCTTCAGTGTAAATGAAGCATCAGAACCAGGTGGATCTTCAGTGTAAATGAAGCATCAGAACTAGGTGGATCTTCAGTATAAATGGAAGATCAGAACTAGGTGGATCTTCAGTGTAAATGGAAGATCAGAACTAGGTGGATCTTCAGTGTAAATGGAAGATCAGAACTAGGTGGATCTTCAGTATAAATGGAAGATCAGAACTAGGTGGATCTTCAGTGTAAATGGAAGGTCAGAACTAGGTGGATCTTCAGTGTAAATGGAAGATCAGAACTAGGTGGATCTTCAGTGTAGATGGAACATATGTTAGATACTGACCGCTGCCTCCTCCTTGTCAGTGTTGGTGACGTCTGTGATGTAGTCCCATCGTGCCACCATCTGCTGGTTACACTGCTGACTGTATCTGTAAAGACACTATAGAGTTATTACACTGTACATCCTATATATCCACACTGTACCTGAACCCCCCTGTTATCCACAACACTGTATTCTCACGCACTCAAACACACGGAAATCTGCATTGCCATACACAGTTTCAAATGTAGATATGATTGAGCCCAGTTGGCTCAGGAATCTGTACACCAGTTGATTGACAGTGGAGAGGCGGGACCAAAGAGCCAAAGCTCAACCCCGCACGCACTATCGGCCAATTGGGCAAGAGCTAACAGCTCGATCCTGCAGAGATCGAGCTGAAGAACATTGTTTCGTACCTCACAGTGGTTGATTGACTGCAGTTAACAATATCATCGTCCGTTAACTCGTCCCTGTTAGAATCTGCATGTGCCAAATAATATTGGCACTAATGAAGTATTATTTGAATTCATATGCAGGCGAGGAGTCACAATAACGTGGCTAAAGTATTTTGACCAGACCACACACTAGAAGGTGAAGGGACGACGACGTTTCGGTCCGTCCTGGACCATTCTCAAGTCGATTCACATCGACTTGAGAATGGTCCAAGACGGACCGAAACGTCGTCGTCCCTTCATCTTCTAGTGTGTGGTCTGGTCATCATTATTTGAATTAATTTAACTTGGTATTAATGAATTAATACCAAGTGAAATAGGCTTGTAGAATCTTGGCTTTTTAATACTGCTGATGTGTTTTGAAAGGAGAAATTGACTGTTCAATTGAACTATTATGGGATGTCATTACGTATGGAAATGCCATTTTTAAGCATTGATCATTGGCAGCCAGGGACCAGATTCACGAAACCACTTACGCAAACACTTACGAACGTGTACATCTTTCCTCAATCTTTGACGGCTTTGGTTACATTTATTAAACAGTTTACAAGCGTGAAAACTTCCCAATCAACTGTTGTTATTGTTATAAACAGCCTCCTGGTGCTTCGGAGCTCATTAACTGTTTAATAATTGGAAACAAAGCCGCCAAAGATTGAGAAAAGATGTACAGGTTCGTAAGTGCTTGCGTAACTGCTTCGTGAATCTAGCCCCAGGTTCGTAAGTGCTTTCGTGAATCTGGCCCCGGGTTCGTAAGTGCTTTCGTGAATCTGAACCCTTGAGACTACTGGCCTGGCCAAGTAACCCAATCAGTTCAGAAGGGTGTTGTTGGTTGGGCCAAGTTGAGATAACCAAGAATTTCAAAGGTCATTTTTTTTGTCTACGAATCTTTCCAATCGTTCTCAGCGTTATGTGGCACATCTGGTAGATAAGAAAGATAAGACTGATGACCAACAGCTGGTAAAAACCGTTATGAAACCCCTCATCTGGTCTCGAAGTAAGGTTGAGAAATATTGAGGCAATACCTTGGGATCGAACCCATGTCCTTGAGGTATTCAGATACTTGGCTTCAATCCCGTTGTATAACCTCAATATATTATCATAGATGTAAACCCATTTTTCTGATTTCATTTTCCCAAGGTTATCTTGAGGTTATCTTGAGATGATTTCGGGGCTTTAGTGTCCCCGCGGCCCGGTCCTCGACCAGGCCTCCACCCCCAGGAAGCAGCCCGTGACAGCTGACTAACACCCAGGTACCTATTTTACTGCTAGGTAACAGGAGCATAGAGTGAAAGAAACTCTGCCCATTGTTTCTCGCCGGCGCCTGGGATCGAACCCAGGACCACAGGATCACAAGTCCAGTGTGCTGTCCGCTAAGGTAATAATCAGGAGAAAAATAAAGCAATTATCTAGAGAAGGGTAAGGTGATTATCAGGGGAAAAGTGCTATATAATTGGCCTCGAATTATGTCCCTAAATACAAGACTTTGGTTCCACCCCTTCTGTGCTATTTTTTTTCTTCGCCGTGGTCCAGAACCACAAAATAGCGTGAAATATTACAAGCGTAGTTTAGTGTGAGCTTGGCACACCTAAGCTTAGAGCTTGTTTGAGGTCTATAGACATAAGCTTGGAACTTGTTTGTGGTCTATTGTTTGTGGTCTATAGACATAAGCTTGGAGCTTGCTTGTGGTCCACAGACATAAGCTTGGAGCTTGCTTGTGGTCTATAGACATAAGCTTGGAGCTTGCTTGTGGTCCACAGACATAAGCTTGGAGCTTGCTTGTGGTCTACAGACATAAGCTTGGAACTTGTTTGTGGTCTATAGACATAAGCTTGGAGCTTGCTTGTGGTCCGCAGACATAAGCTTGGAGCTTGTTTGTGGTCTATAGACATAAGGTTGGAACTCATTTGTGGTCTATAGACATAAGCTTGGAGCTTGCTTGTGGTCCACAGACATAAGCTTGGAGCTTGCTTGTGGTCTACAGACATAAGCTTGGAGCTCATTTGCGCTCTAGATTTAAATTATTCATTTCAGATGACTTTGAAGATAAAGAGTCTCTCCCACGCATTGAGTTATCTAAAAAGAAAAAAAATAGCAGTCATTCCTGAAGCGTAGTGGCTGACGGAGTCGGATCTCAAGGTCGTATATTCGATCCCCAACGGCAGGACAGAAACATTTGGGCACCGTTACCTTACCACTGATGCCTCTGTTCATCTAGCAGTAAATAAGTACCCGGGAGTTAGCCAGTAAATACTGGCTAAAAACGTTCTAATGATTGTACCAGATATAACTTAACAGTTGTGAAAAGGTCATCACAGGTTTTGTCGTATCTGAGGGCCAGTGTTATCTTCTTATCTTGAGATCTTGAGATGATTTCGGGGCATTTAGTGTCCCCGCGGCCCGGTCCTCGACCAGGCCTCCACCCCCAGGAAGCAGCCCGTGACAGCTGACTAACACCCAGGTACCTATTTTGCTGCTAGGTAACAGGGGCATAGGGTGAAAGAAACTCTGCCCATTGTTTCTCGCCGGCGCCTGGGATCGAACCCAGGATCACAAGTCCAGCGTGCTGTCCGCTCGGCCGACCGGCTGCCGTGTTGACCTAATCCAATAACGAGGGCAAAAAAATTAAGCTAATTATGAGTGAGATTAGATCACATGAAGCGCCGTGGGTAGGTGGGTGGGTGGGTGATTAGCCCTCCCCCCACCACCACCCCCCAATACGGCATCTCCTACATCAGCATGATAGCTGTGTCCCCGCGGGTAGTAACTGTTAATACACCTGCGGTACTTTCTCATACATTCTGGCTCCTCTGGGCTCTGACGGGGATGGCAGACATGTGCGTCTTCTCACGGATAATCATATGTAGCCTAAATAACGGAAAGTACTAATATCTTGCGAATGAGATCGAGATGTTGTTTCGAGCGTAGGATAGACATGTATGTGAATGAGTTTGCGGGTTATATAAAGAGGAACTGCCTCGTATGGGCCGGCAGGAGGCCTTCTGCAGTTTCAATTATTCTGTTTATGTTCTTAAGTTCTTTTGTTTTGCTGTCAATTCCCTATTTTCAGTTTGTTTTAGCATGCCCAATCGTCTCGGTAAGGTCTCAATCTTGTGGTTTACCGACGTTTGCTTTCCACATGTCTATACATAGGAGTATACATTTATATAGGAGTATACGTTTGCTTTCCACATGTCTATACATACCACACCATACAGAATGTATGGTGTGGTATGAGATATCATACTGCTGCATTTGCTGATTCTGTTGCTGGTGATTCTGCTAGTGTTGGTGCTGTGGCTACTGTTGATTCTGGCCCTGTTGCTGCTGTTTCTGTTTGCGTTACTGTTACTGCTAATGATTATGATGCTGCTGCTGTTGGTTCTGTTGATGAGGATGCTTCTGTTGCTCCTCTTATTGCTACTATCTTTATTACTGTTCCTGTTGCTACTGCTCCTACTCCTCCTGTTGCTGCTGTTGCTGCTCTTACTCATCTCACTGTTGCTGGTACATCCACTGCTGACGATACAGCTGCTACAGATATTGCCGCTGCAGGTGTAACAGCTCCCCTGCTTATACAGGTATATCGCATACCTGCTCATACCTCTGCCTCCACAACAGTACAACACTACCCAGCATTATACTGTCTCACGTTGTCTCTCAAAAGGGCTTATTTTATACTAATAACTTCTCATATTAAGTGAACGGAAGGGAACTATGAACGGAAGGGCCAAGCCAACTATTATGTGAACGGAAGAGCCATGCTATTAGACTATGTAGCACTGGGAAGGGGTCAGGATGAGGATTTGGGATGGGACGGGGGAAAAGGAATGGTGCCCAACCACTTGTAGACGGTCGGGGATTGAACGCCGACCTGCATGAAGCGAGACCGTCGCTCTACCGTCCAACCAGAGTGGTTGGAGCTAAACAAACTTTACATACGTCTCAATGTGCAGGCAATGAGTCACAATAACGTGGCTAAAGTATGTTGACCAGGGGCCAGATTCACGAAAGTACTTACGCAAGCACTTACGAACCTGTACATCTTTTCTCAATCTTTGGCGGCTTTGTTTCCAATTATTAAACAGTTAATGAGTTCCGAAGCACCAGGAGGCTGTTTATAACAATAACAACAGTTGATTGGGAAGTTTTCATGCTTGTAAACTGTTTAATAAATGTAACCAAAGCCGTCAAAGATTGAGGAAAGATGTACACGTTCGTAAGTATTTGCGTAAGTATTTTCGTGAATCTGGCCCCAGACCACACACTAGAAGGTGAAGGGACGACGACGACGTTTCGGTCCGTCCTGGACCATTCTCAAGTCAATTGTGAGAATGCACAATCGACTTGAGAATGGTCCAGGACGTACCGAAACGTCGTCGTTCCTTCACCTTCTAGTGTGTGGTCAACATACGTCTCAAGTTAGGCATTATAAGTGGCCCCTGGGGATATCTCTTCCTCGCTTACCTTACGTCAAGTTCCTTCATGAATTCCTTGGCTTCATTCTCGTCTGTGATGAGCGCCCGAAGACCCGGGAGGGCCAGAAGGGCCGCCCCTAGCAGGGCCAGGAGCGGGACTCTACCACTCATCTTCCTCATTTCCCTCACACGACTGTCTGGACCGACGGCTGGGACTTGTCCGGCCCGTCTCCGCCACACGCAGTCTTTAGATAACGCTGCCTCCCCCCCCCCCCCCCCTCCGCCCGCTGTCGCCCCCTGCCGCCACCTGCCTCCATCTCCCTTTCCCTGTCGTCCCCTGCCTTCCCCGGCCGTCCCCTGCTTACACTTGCCGTCCCCTGCCGTCCCCTGCCGCCTCCTGCCTCCACTTGCCGTCCCCTGCCTCCACCTGCCGTCCCCTGCTTACACCTGCCGTCCCCTGACATCCTCTGCCACCCCCTGCCGTCCTCTACCTCCCCCTGCCTTCCCCTGCCGTCCCCTGCTTACACCTGCCGTCCCCTGCCTCCACCTGCCTTTCCCTGCCTTCCCCTGCCGTCCCCTGCCTCCAGACGGCAGAGAGAGAGAGTACGGGGGATAGATGGAAAGGTGAAAAGGAGGGGTTGACCCTTGACCTGATGGATAGTGGAGTGGATCCTCAAACTTTTAATTAGGGATGAAGGAGACCTTCTGATTGAAGGCTTTGAGGGCCATTTGCCTATTGGAGAAACAGAGAACACTTCACCTGTTGGACAGAGGAAACAACTCCTCATTTTGTGGACAGACTCTCACCGCGAACAATTTATAGATTAGAGCTCTATCCAAAGAGGATTGACTGGGCACAAATCCCTACCCGCCAAACACACACCGAAACTACGACGTTGGTACAACGTTCGAACAAGTTTTAACATCTCCTAACCTGTTATAACAACCAATATAGCAAGTTGTAACATCGTTCTAATACGTTATAAACACGTTAAGCCAAGATGTAACAACTTTATTACAGGTTGTAACAAACGTAAAATAGAGACAGTTTCGGTTTGTGTTTCCAGGGTAACTGCTCACCCATGTTCATCCAGCAGTAATTGGGAACCTGGTTGTAAACTACTTAGCGGGTCGAGTCCCAGTGGAAAACTAATAATGTATGTTCTAAGCTAACTCACAGGATTCAAAAGTCATCTGCTCCTGCACCCACCTGTGTAAATAAAATTAAGTATTGAGTTAGTTATAGAGACCAGAGAGATAATGCTCAATCCCTGCCATGAAGAGCTTGCACACTGACCACAATTGTTGTCATTGTAATCGTCTTATCCCTTAACTATGAAGAGTAGCGCATCCCCTTAGATGGTAAGAGATACGAACACTTTGCACCCCATAGGCCGGATCTTGAGTGGAGCGCTCGAAACTAATTTAAGGATTCTGTGGAGAGCATTCTATTATTTGGGGTAATCTTGGTACACACTTAGTTATACTCACCTACTTATGTTTGCGGGGGTTGAGCACTGGCTCTTTGGTCCCGCCTCTCACCTGTCAATCAACAGGTGTACAGGTTCCTGAGCCTACTGAGCTCTATCATATCTACACTTGAAACTGTGTATGGAGTCAGCCTCCACCACATCACTGCCTAATGGATTTCATTTGTTAACTACTCTGACACTGAAAAAGTTCTTTCTAACATCCCTGTGGTAGTGGGAGTTAAATGTTAGGTTATGCAGGCGATGAGTCACAATAACGTGGCTAAAGTATGATGACCAGACCACACACTAGAAGGTGAAGGGACGACGACGTTTCGGTCCGTCCTGGACCATTCTCAAGTCGATTGTGAGAAGACAATCGACTAGAGAATGGTCCAGGACGGACCGAAACGTCGTCGTCCCTTCACATTCTAGTGTGTGGTCTGGTCATCAATGTTAAGTTAGTGATGGTAGATGTTGAGTGATTGATGGTGAGTGTTGAGTGATGGTGAGTGTTGCGTGGTTGATGAGTAATGTAGGGTGAAATATGTTGAGTGTTTGCCAATGTTTTAACGGGTGTATAAACATGCTCACTATCTTTCCACTATATATACACCGTGACAAGCCCAATATACTTATGATAAGTACCGATATTCAATTTGTCACTTACCAATCCATGAGCTTGTCTCTGTCACCACCAGCTGGATAGTTGAATAATTATGACCAATCAACACATCACAGAATGTTTTCATAGTCTAAATTAAATTATTGTGTGATGATATTCAGCTGTCAGAGGCCTGACGGCTGAGTGGATAGCGCTTTGGATTCTTAGTCCTGAGGTTCCAGGTTCGATTCCCGGTGGAGGAGGAAACAAATGGGCACCATTTCTTTCACTCTGATGCACCTGTTCACTTAGCAGTAAATAAGTACCGGGGAGTTAGACAGCTCCTATGGGTTGCTTCCTGTGTGTAATTACCTAAGTGTAATTACCTAAGTGTAGTTACAGGATGAGAGCTACGCTCGTGGTGTCCCGTCTTGTGTGTGTGTGTGTGTGTGTGTGTGTACTCACCTATATGTACTCACCTATATGTGCTTGCAGGATCGAGCATTGACTCTTGGATCCCGCCTTTCGAGCATCGGTTGTTTACAGCAATGACTCCTGTCCCATTTCCCTATCATACCTGGTTTTAAAATTATGAATAGTATTTGCTTCCACAACCTGTTCCTGAAGTGCATTCCATTTCCCCACTACTCTCACGCTAAAAGAAAACTTCCTAACATCTCTGTGACTCATCTGAGTTTCAAGCTTCCATCCATGTCCTCTCGTTCTGTTACTATTCCGTGTGAACATTTCGTCTATGTCCACTCTGTCAATTCCTCTGAGTATCTTATACGTTCCTATCATGTCCCCCCTCTCCCTTCTTCTTTCTAGTGTCGTAAGGCACAGTTCCCTCAGGCGCTCTTCATACCCCATCCCTCGTGTGTGTGTGTGTGTGTGTGTGTGTGTGTGTGTGTGTGTGTGTGTGTGTGTGTGTGTGTGTGTGTGGGCTCAAGGGCCTCACTCAACGGTTTCACTCAACTCAAGGACTTCACTCAACACACGGAACTAAAGGGCTTCACTCAACAGACAGGGTGCCACTCCAGGTCACCCTACCAGGCTACACCTTGCCAGGGCCACTAACGAAACCAGTGCCTGAAGCCCGCCACCGCGTTCGATTAACGTGAAATCAATGTTGATTCTTCAGAGGACTCGAACCCTTGGTTATCCAACACTTTGCCAGATCTGTTCCTTTTCTTTAAGCCGTTCTTACACTTCATTAAACCTGGAAGATTTCCTGATGGGTATGTTTACAGATCATTTTTGCGCTGCCGTCTCGCACAGGATGGGTAGATGTGGGGCCCAATAAACTAGCTAGTTTCATCAGATTATGAAATTACATTACCGCAAATGTAAGTTGTTTAGCTTCGATACTGTATTTGTGGTCATTCTCGAACCCTACTGTTGATATATGTACATCAAATTGTGTAATTAGATTAGGAAGACTGTAAAATGCTTTGATTAACAAATGTTTGAAAGTTCAGTTCGTGAGCTCATTATGTGCCTCTGTAACCTTTATTTTCCCATTACCGCTCACAAGATGGGCAGCAGGAGCATAGGAAATTACATAGTCTAAAGCAGTTTCCGTGGTGTAGTGGTAAGACACTCGCCTGGCGTTCCGCGAGCGCTATGTCATGGGTTCGTATCCTGGCCGGGGAGGATTTACTGGGCGCAATTCCTTAACTGTAGCCTCTGTTTAACGCAACAGTAAAATGTGTACTTGGTTGTAAAAACGATTCTTCGCGGCGGGGATCGTATTCCAGGGACCTGACCGAAACGCTACGCGTACTAGTGGCTGTACAAGAATGTAACAACTCTTGTATAGAATAGATTCATATACTGGAGGCACAACCTCCAAAACATCGTCCATGTTTATGCTAAATCACAACACTCTGGCGGTGACCAACACTAGTAAACATGTCTTCAACAGTCGAGATAAGGAGGGAGATATCTGGGGTCACTATCGCCACCACACTGATAAAAAATACCCACCAGCAGTATACTTTCCCAAGGTTGTCATGCAGGTGCCTTCACCAGCCTGTTCTTAGTCACATCATTGTCTTGCCTTATGCAGGCGAGGAGTCACAATAATGGGGCTGAAGTATGTTGACCAGACCACACACTAGAAGTAGAAGGGACGACGACGTTTCGGTCCGTCCTGGACCATTCTCTTACTTTCCTCCTCAGCTCTCTCTTGCCTATTTATTGCCTGTAATAATAATAATAATAATAATAATAATTTTTATTTAGGTAAGGTACATACATAAAGAGATTTTACAAAGTTTGTTGGCTTTATAGATAGAGCTAGTACATACAATGCCTAAAGCCACTATTACGCAAAGCGTTTCGGGCATGTCTCTACCTCCTCATCACAATCGACTTGAGAATGGTCCAGGACGGACCGAAACGTCGTCGTCCTTTCTACTTCTAGTGTGTGGTCTGGTCAGCTCCTACAACTACATTATACGTTGTAGTTACCTTACGGGTGGTAGATAGTACAGTCTCTTCACCACCAACAGGCCCTTGGTTCGATTCCCGTGGCAAGACGGAGACGTTTTGGCATGTTTCCTTATATGTTATGCCTCTGTTGGACTGGGCTGGACGGTCTCGCTTCATGTAGGTCGGTGTTCAATCCCCGACCGTCCAAATGGTTGGGCACCATTCCTTTTCCACCCGTCCCATTCCAAATCCTTATCCTGACCCCTTAAAAATGCTATATAGTCGTAATGAATTGGCGCTTTTCCCTTAATGGTTCCCTTCTCTCCCTTCACCTAATGGTATATAAATACCCGAGAGGTAGGCGATTATATCGGCTAACCATAGCCCGTGCTTCTTGCCCCGCTCCTGTGCCAGGTAAGTTACGGGCTCACCATAGCCCGTGCTTCTTGCCCCACTCCTGTGCCAGGTAAGTTACGGGCTCACCATAGCCCGTGCTTCTTGCCCCGCTCCTGTGCCAGGTAAGTTACGGGCTCACCATAGCCCGTGCTACTTGGAACTTGTTCCGAGTAGCTGAGTCTATAACAACGACGATTATATATCAAGTTACAGTCCCGCTCCTGTGCCAGGAGAGTCCACTACGGGCTCACCATAGCCCGTGCTACTTGGAACTTTTGTGTTCCCAGTAGCTGAATCTAAAACAACATAGACGACTATTGTGAGTAGCATCCAGCAACCCGTTCTTGCTTATCTTAACATACTAAGAAGGTTAGGTAAGGTCGGTGTTTTCTATGAAGCTTTTCAAGATAAACTAAAATATTCACAATAAATTAGTATGTCACATATGCACTTATTTAATAAGTCAATATTGACTGTAAGAAAGTTCGAGAGCGGGTTGCATCCAGAGGAAGGTCAGTCGGTGACCTAGTTAGTTCTAGGGGAGACCTCGATAACGCTAAATCAGCTTCATGTCCATTACAACAGTCAATCATAATCAGGACAGAAATGGTTGGGCATGGTCAGTAATTTCGGCATCTGGGAGGGGGCGGGGGTCCTTGATATAGGTCTACCGTGTTTGAATACACTCAGGCTTCCACCAGGTTTGGTCCACCAGGCTGTTGCTTGGAGCGGCCCGCAGGCCCATATACCCACCACAGCCCGGTTGGTCCGGCACTCCTTGGAGGAAACTATCTAGTTTCCTCTTGAAGATGTCTAAGAAGTTCCTCTAATGATTTGTATAAAGCAATTACGAATTTAAGCTTCTGCAGGTAAATCATCCTCGCCTGATAACCATCTCTATTTCGAGAGAGGAATTTTATAGCCATATCTCCTATTCCCAGGAATTTATCATATCGTAATTCACAACGAATTTAAGCAGTCTCCGTGGTGTAGTGGTAAGACACTCGCCTGGCGTTCCGCGAGCGCTATGTCATGGGTTCGTATCCTGGCCGGGGAGGATTTACTGGGCGCAATTCCTTAACTGTAGCCTCTGTTTAACGCATCAGTAAAATGTGTACTTGGATGAAAAAACGATTCTTCGCGGCAGGGGATCGTATTCCAGGGACCTGCCCGAAACGCTACGCGTACTAGTGGCTCTACAAGAATGTAACAACTCTTGTATATATCTCAAAAAAAAAAAAAAAAAAAAAAAAAAAAAAAAAAAAAAAAAAAAAAAAAAAAAAAAAAAAAAAACTGGATGTCTATCATATTCCACTTGAACACAACACTATCTTGCTGCCTTGTGTGTTGCAACCCACATGTATAAGAACTATACTTTGCAACCAAATCAATATTATGAGAATTGCTCTAGTGCAACTCTGATCAGTGATTTTAATAGCAGAGTCTAAAGATCAGTCTACACCGACAGTACCCATTACTCTTGACTACTGTATGCAGTCGAGGAGTCACAATAACGTGGCTGAAATATGTTGACCAAACCACACACTAGAAAGTGAAGAGACGACGACGTTTCGGTCCGTCCTGGACTATTCTCAAGTCTTGACTACTTTACTTATGGGCTATTCATGCCCGTGCCACCTCTTGGATGGCTTAATCTTCATCAATCATTACTCTGACTACTACGCATTCCTACACTTTTACTTACCATTCTTACCTACACTGTAGTAGTAGGCATCTTTCAGTCTCAGAAGACTAGGAAGTTGTGCTCTGGTTGTCGGTCTGGAGTGGCCTCTCCAGGGCGCAAAGCCAGGGTAGGTTAATACGGAGGAGAAGCTGTCACCCATGCAGCAGGTTCCCCATGTACCTACACTGTAAATGTTCAAATATACTGATGATCACGTACTTTGCCGCCCCCGTACACATAGATTGGAACACAATACTGATCAGTAGAATTGTTTATTCTACATTTATTTGTAATTACTTTCGAAACTTTTCTGTTGACAGACCAAAAAAGAAAAACGTTTAGACTTGATTACAATCTGTAGGGAGATGGTAAACCCGTACAGTCAGAGTTTACAGGTAGAAATGGCATGTAGGACGATGCTGGAACTAACAGGTGGAAAAAACATAAAGGACAATTTGGCAACATAGTGGACAATATGAGACATTTGGATGTAACATATCGGACAATATGAGACATTTGGATGTAACATATCGGACAATATGAGACATTTGGATGTAACATATCGGACAATATCAGACATTTGGATGTAACATATCGGACAATATCAGACATTTGGATGTAACATATCGGACAATATGAGACATTTGGATGTAACATATCGGACAATATGAGACATTTGGATGTAACATATCGGACAATATGAGACATTTGGATGTAACATATCGGACAATATGAGACATTTAGATGCGCATGACATGTAGGATAATAGTGGAACATATGGGTGGACAGCACTTAAAATAGATACCAAAAGTTTTGGGGCAAATTTTAAGGGTTGCATCCTGAGTAAAGTCGGTTGCTGGCCTACGCAGACTTCAATAAGCCAGGTATTATGTGTATTGTGATTTTCTCTCTCATTGGCGCTCAATCCCCTACCATCCAAGTGGTTGAGCACCATTCCTTTCCCACATTCCATCCCAAATACTTATCCTGACCCCTTCCAAGTGCTATGTAGTCGTAATGGCTTGCCTCTTTTCCCCCCCTGATAATTCCCTCTCTCACTCTTCTCGATTCCAAGGAGTACAGTTTGAGTGATTTGAGGTGGTTCCAGTAGTTTAATTGCTTAACTGATTCATTGCATGCAGTAAAGGATCTCTGTACATTTTCCAGCTAATCAATCCTGCTTGCCTTGAAAGGGAGGTGTGAGGTCTATGCAATACAGTATTGTTTACGAGATAGCATCAATGCTTTGAAAATGAGATAAAAGAATTATGGGAATCTGTTAAATGCTTATGATAATGGTTTCATGGAAGAGTAAAATAACTTCTTAAAATAATTAAAATATTAATAAAAGTGCATCTCTAATTTTGTAAATTAGTGAGCTTTTGCTCTACTCTTGATTAACAATCGTACACATAGCTTCTTAGATCTCGTAATTTCTTTAATATTCTGAAGTTTTCAATCAAATTTCAGTAAACAGTATATGAAAATATAGCCTACCAGCTGTTTCACACAAGGCACTTACAGAATGTCAAAAAACCACTTTCTATGTAAATCTTTATTAACTGTAGCAAACAAAATGTAAAAAATATAGTTAGATCCAAACCAAAATCTGAAATTCTTAACCATAATACTGAGCTTCAATCATTCATAATACAAAAATTCTATGTCAAATTTATATATTTGTTAAAAAGTTTTAAAGAGTGTTTAATTAATTTAAAAACTGCTTTTGTCAACAAATTTTCAAACTACAATGGTTTAAAACAACAATTAACTTTATAGAAAATCCACTAGGGCAATGAGAAGGGCTCGAACCTACGACTTTGGCATTACCAAGCCACATACTTGAGGTTATCTTGATATGATAACCTCAAGATAACCTTCGGGCTTTAGTGTCCCCGCGGCCCGGTCCTCGACCAGGCCTCCACCCCCAGGAAGCAGCCCGTGATAGCTGACTAACACCCAGGTACCTATTTTACTGCTAAGTAACAGGGGCATAGGGTGAAAAAAAAACTCTGCCCATTGTTTCTCGCCAGCGCCTGGGATCGAACCCAGGACCACAGGATCACAAGTCCAGCGTGCTGTCCGCTCGGCTGACCGGCTCCCCTATACACTGCCTATCAGCTGTGAATTAACTTCTTGTTATTAACCTCGAGACAAACTGTATCAAATTTATCTAAGAAAGTCAATAGCCAAATCAACATAATAAAATAAGTTTAACAACAGTAACATGCTCTTCATTGTTGATACTTTAAATATTCGGTAGACACACGTGTTCTCCGAGACATGCTCCCACTGTTAAAATGTCGGGAACAATGCAGAAAACAGTTAGTCGATAAATATGAATGTAGCAGCTCAATCTCTTTGTCCAGAATACCGCAACACAAAACGACAAATTCCAAAACACCCAGTGGACCATCACCTTTTAATAACACTCGCACACATTAATACCGTTCAATATTTGTATTAAACAAGATAATGTATGATCACTTGACATAATGGAAGACAAGACCTATTATTTATTAATAAAAAGAGCAAACATGAGACTTCTTCAAGTATATTGAAATATATATTTCTGGAGCAGAGGAATGTAAAAATTACAAATTAAGATAGTCTAAACCAAAGGGTAATCCAGCATTTTCTCACCAGGTACCCTCTAAAGTTATCAGGCCATTGACACGTATTAGAGGGAATTAGAGGGAATGAGAATTCATATGCAGACAAGGAGTCACAATAACGTGGCTGAAATATGTTGACCAAACCACACACACTAGAAAGTGAAGGGACGACGACGTTTCGGTCCGTCCTGGACCATTCTCAAGTCAATCGACTTGAGAATGGTCCAGGACGGACCGAAACGTCGTCATCCTTTCACTTTCTAGTGTGTGTGTGGTTTGGTCAACTGATGAATTCATCTGTCATTATTCCTCTACAAATTGTTTTCCAATCCTTCACGTGTACCCTGGAAACTATCCCGTGTACCCTTGAGGTGGGTACACTAACTTCCATTTCATAACCCTTGATCTAAAAGATCATATTGTTGCTATGTAAATTTTGTTTACACATTTTACATAATTTAAAAAAAGTATATTCAGATGTCTCAACATAATATTTCAAGCTCTTCACTGTCTGTCATGGAATGCCCAGCAGTAAAACCATTTTAATTAAAGGAATGCAAAATATGATTCTAGTTAGTAAACAGCAAAGATAACTGGAATCTCTATACTAACAATATCTTCCTCTGATACTCCAGTAGAAGCCTGACAATACAAATATTGTACTTCTGTTTATTTAGGAAATGAGACTTCCTATTCCAATGAAATTTTATGTTTAGCTTCCCAATTATTTGTCATGTGTTTATACCTGAACTTTCCAGCTCTGACTGGAATATTCAGTCTCATATATATCATCAAAAGCAGCTGTATATCATCATCATCATCATTCTCAATAAATCAAGAGAAAGGCCACACTGACCTTCTTTAAGTTAATCTAAACAAATGTCTCACATGCTTTCAGTCAGGTCATAGTTCATGCTGACCTCTACTTTGTGATGATCAGTAACATTCACTATCATGTTACCTTAATACACCACCATCTTTGACTCGATCATTATTTTATTGCATTTCGTAACTAACATGTGTTAAGGTACCATTTCATCAACTGTTATAAATTAGCTACACTGATCTAATGAGCGCTTGACTAACGTGTACCACCAAGTAAAACTGCTTCCAGTTTATAACATCTTGTCCAGTGTAGGGGGACAAAAAATGCAAAACCTGGCAATTTCTCTCGCTCTGCAGGTACACTCTTCATAAATACTGCTGCCCTGAGGATACACTACTGCCGGTTAGCCTTCTTAAAATACTTGAGTTTCTCTTGCGGGTTGGGGATGATCTGGAAAAACAACAATTACGTTAATTCTCCGAACGAAATAAGTAAATAAATTTACTGACATGCATAGGTTGGTGTGATTATTATTGATATCTGATCCCTAGCATGGTTCAGGAGCATATTAATTTATGGAAACGGTAGTGTATAAAAAACCTGTAAGGAAAGAAATTAAATGCCCCTTTTAGGGCAAGCCTTGGAGACTCCCTGCGGCTAAATTGCCTAGAAAGCTTCCCATTAGTAAGTCATATCAGTCATACTCTTCCTGTTGGCTTCCCGGGGACCAAAGCCCGAACCTGGCCTCCCTCAAAGCAGCAGAAAGAGAAAAGATTCACTCTAAAATGGTTCACTTAAAACTGAGTAGAAAACACCCTTTCCCCATGTTAAAGGCCAGTGACCAGTTAGACTGGAATTGGGTTAGTGATGAAACACTATCTGCCATACCAGGTTGTAGGGGAGGAAGCCACTAGGGCACATCCAGAAAGCCATAAAGGGGTCACATACAGAGATCACACTAACGAGATGCATCAAATGAACAAATCCACAAGGGCCGTGACGAGGATTCGAACCTGCGTCCAGGAGCATCCCAGACATTGCCTTAATCGACTGAGCTATGACAGGGTTAAAAAGGGTTGAAACCGAAGTTCTACTGAACTTACTGGATCCCGTAGCCTCTCCGAGGCACAAACCAGGCTTTTACACAACCCCCCTGCACCCGAGCTATGTCAATAGGCCGCTCTCCCTCTTCGCCCTTACATCATCACACACAGAGATCACACTAACGTGATGCATCAAATGAACAAAGGGTGTTTCATTACATTCAATACTGGTTTTTTTGAGAGGAGCCACTTGCTGGCTTCCTGAAGCTAACACACAACAGAGAAGGAAAACATCAATCAAAATAAAAGCCAGTGAAATGCTTGTTTCGGAAGTCTTCAAACGTCATCAGTTTTGAGTCGTGTGTAAACCTGTTTTCATTCATAAACAGGGGGGGTTTGGCGGGTTCATGGAATCACTTTTGGGTCTTTGTTTGGAGGACGGGCCGAGATCTGACCAACAACAATGGAAGGCACGATGAGCGAAGGACAGAAATCCTCAACCTAGAGCCGTAGCATCTGGGAACAACCCAAGGAATGGCTAGGAAGGCACGACAGAATCAATACCCAAAAACCAAGTAGAGAAAGCCGGCAAAACAAGAGCCGACTAAGGCCAGACAAACCCAAACCTGTAAGCCCCAGCAGCCACGAAACTGTCAGAACCAAAGAACCAGCACAGTTCCTAGAGCAAAACTCATTCCTTTTCTCTTTAATCCATCTCCAACAAGCAGTACAGTCTGCTTAGGCTTCTGGGTTATTTCATCCAAAAACATTTAAAGTAGAGTATATCTTGAGGTTATCTTGAGATGATTTCGGGGCTTTAGTGTCCCCACGGCCTGGTCCTCGACCAGGCCTCCACCCCCCAGGATGCAGCCCGTGACAGCTGACTAACACCCAGGTACCAATTTTACTGCTAGGTAACAGGGGCATAGGGTGAAAGAAACTCTGCCCAATGTTTCTCACCGGCGCCTGGGATCGAACCCAGGATCACAAGTCCAGCATGCTGTCCGCTCGGCCGACCGGCTCCCTCAGAGTACGAGACGTGCAGTAAAACAAACCTATTAAGAACTTACTGTATCATCGCCAGGTTTCCAGCCAGCAGGACACACTTCCCCGTGTTCATCTGTAAACTGGAAAGCTTGCACTAGGCGGAGAGTTTCATCCACAGATCGGCCAACGGGTAGATCATTCATGGTAATTTGACGCAGTACACCCTTGTCATCAATAATGAATAGACCCCTGGAAATGAAGCACTTTATTTAAAATTACTATATGGCAGAAAAGATTACACTACATTCTTGTAAAGCCACTGGCATGCATAGCATTTCGGGCAGGTACTTAATCCTAAATATAAACAAATATAAATTAAAGGCAGATATGAAAAGTACTCTCATTTTAGATTAACCAACATTAAACATGTACTATATGGCTGGTACTGTTATACCAATATGGTAAAAATTTAAAAAGAGTTAATGTGTATGGCATCCATACTCTTCACTAGTAATATTTTCAATAGCTTCCTGCACTGCATCTCTTGCTCCAGGAAATTTTTTATTGTGCAGATTAGACTCGACCAAACGGACAGACATAAAATAAATGACCAACAGCAAAGAAAGGTCACGGGAAACATCTCCCGTCCACGAGGCTAACTATAGCCCGTGCTTCTTGCCCCGCTCCTGTGCCAGGTAAGTTACGGGCTCACCATAGCCCGTGCTTCTTGCCCCGCTCCTGTGCCAGGTAAGTTACGGGCTCACCATAGCCTGTGCTTCTTGCCCCACTCCTGTGCCAGGTAAGTTACGGGCTCACCATAGCCCGTGCTACTTGGAACTTGTTTCCGAGTAGCTGAATCTATAACAATGACAACAGCAAAGAAACCAAAGTCAGACCCGCACATTTAGAAATGATTTTGAGTAGACGTACCTGAGAGCAATACCTTGGTCTTCCAAGTAAACCCCATAATCTTTGGAAATCTTGTGTGTAATATCAGAGAGTAGAGGTATCTTCAACTTGCCCAAACCACCATCCTGAAATGATAATTGTCTTTTATATACAACTGCAGTTGAGAGAAAAAATATTTTTATTAAATTTCTTAAGTACCAAAGAAGAAAATATTTAATTATCCCATACTTGTTTTTTGACTTACAAACTATCATAATGAAGCATTTTAAACATTTTGTTTCGTGCGTTGCATCCTATTAAGGACCCCCAAGAGTATGCCCAGGACTTTTTCAATTATAACAACATGCTGATGCCAAATAACTTTTTAAATAAATCCTATCCAACCTAGAAATTCAAAGCTACCCCTCGATCACCATAATATTTTATTTATGTAATATTCTTTACAGTAAAGAATTAAAAAAAAAGTGGAACTGCCTGACCTCAGACCGCGCTCGGGGTGTTGAAGAACTCCAGAAACCCTCTCCAGGTATGCTCCAGGTATGTACACATAAAACTAAAAGACTTTATATCGTATGTATTTAAAAATTTGATTAAAACTTTTAAAATCTATCAATTAGCAGCTTAATCTAACCCGACCTCAAAAAATTTTGTACAAATTCTTTGTAAACTGTTTTGACTGCCAGATACTGAAGCCTCGCTGGCTGAAGATCCAAGTTTACCTCTCTTAACAAATATGTACATATTTTAGCCTCTGTCATTTTTTTCCAATGACTACCTCGATGTTCGGCACTTTGCCCAAGCTAAAGTACTGATTTTAACTTCCAACATCTGGAGCCAGATTCACGAAGCAGGTACGCAGGTACTTACGAACGTATACATCTTTCTTCAATCTTTGACGGCTTTGGTTACATTTATTAAACAGTTTACAAGCATGAAAACTTGCCAATCAACTGTTGTTATTGTTAAAAACAGCCTCCTGGTGCTTCCGAGCTCATTAACTGTTTAATCATTTTAAACAAAGCCGCCAAAGATTAAGAATTGATGTATAGGTTCGTAAGTGCTTGCGTAACTGCTTCGTGAATCTGGCCCCTGGACTTTAACTGCTGAAGAATAATTCAGCTGTTTATCAATACATGTCATAAGGGAACTGAATTTTATAGATTGTGGTGAAGTTTTACTCTTCTTCATCTTAACCCCGTGTCACTACCGAAGCTCAGAGTCGTGTCGTCTTTAATCACACATAACATGGATCATTAGCACCTTCAGGTTAATTGTTACTGCTCCTAAACATCTTGTCGACTAAAAATTTGCTAATTTTGCATTTAAGAAAAACTGTTCGCAAAGAAAACTCGCCATATAAAAAGTGTGACAAGACTGTACCAGTCAATAATATTATTGACTGGTACAGTCTTAGTTATAATATTTTATTTAATTTGTATCAATTTTGTTATCAAGGTATTGATTTAATGTTTTTGTACACATAAACCGACTGTTCATCTTTAAACAATTTAACCACTAAGCCACATAATTCAGATTGCATCCAAACCAAATGACTGTTTAATTCAGTCACGATTTTTAGTCTTTGGGTCTGATTTAGGGAACTACCAGTGTATATCCACCCTTCCTTGACATTGCCATCAACAGAATGAGTTTACGCAGTGCAGTGTATATGCCCGGTCAATTTACTGGTGCGCATGACGGCATAGTCCAATTACTTGGCCCAAGTTTACCCATTTCCTAATTTTTGCAGCCGAATTTGTTCGTTTTGCTTCAGCTGTGGGTTTCCTTCTTGGAGCACATCTGGAGAGGGTATCAGGAGTTCTACTCCCCGAGTCCAGCCAGAGGCCAGGCTCGACTAGCCTCAATCGCACCAACCTTCACCTGACCTTATCCTTTCAGTTAGGTTAAGCCTGAATCGCCTGCCTCGGCTACCAGGTCTTTTCTTGCGCCCTTTCCCCTGCCTACCCACAATCAGAAGCCTAGGTATGTCGAGATGAAATATGAGCAGGGGTGGGTCGATAGGCATTATTATAGTGCTGGTGCTGCCATCTGGTGACAGTCAGCATCACAGACCTAATGGCAGTTAGGTAGTTAGCTAGGGCACTGTTTAACAATCTCTGTGTTGTCAAGTAGTACCTGAAAAAAGGTTAGCGATTATGAAAATAATTTTTTTATTGACATCCAGGGCAGATTCAAGTATATACCAGCAAGACCCAACAGGGCCAATAGCCTTGACTGCAAAAAGAGCCAATTCAGAGAGTGTAGGATCTTGCTTTGGGTAACAAACAGGTGGGATAACTAAAATTAAAAATTATGAATTTTACACTAGAAATGTACACCGTTAGACTTGATTCAGCTCTAAACAAAAATTAACCAATTAAATATGTGTCTAAATTCTAGTGATTCTCGGTACAGGCAACTCTGTCTAGCCGAACATACCTTACGTGCTGTGTTAGTCCAAGCAAGGTGAGTGAAGTGAGAGTCGATTGAACAGGCTATTACTTCAGTGTTTAACTTCCGAAACTCTTCCACTCGATCATTAAAAGCCAAAATCTCAGTTGGACACACAAATGTACTGAAAAAAGTCAACAAAGCAGTTACAAACATTTAACGGATAATTAAAGAAAAACATTGTAACAATAAAAAATTCAATAATGACGAGTAAAACATGAAAAAGTAGTACGCAAAAAGCATCATTAAGTTGCCCTCTTAAGTTAATATTCACCATCATAGGACCAGGATAAGAAACAATTAAGAACAACAACATTCTAGCACTGGCACCACTGTCAGTGTTTAATCATCCTTTCAGATGTTATTGAATACAATAAAGATCACTTGAATAATTAACATAAGTGCAGTCCATGAACTTAAAAAAAGCCTTCAAGTTACTTTCTTGGTATCACATGTAACCACCAACTGTAGGCTCACACTGTTCATTTTCCTGCCTGGCTGCCACCGCCACCACCTCCACCATCAACCCCAGTGGCAGCAACATGTACACTACAAGTTTGCATGACAGACTTGCTGGATACCTTCTAGATGTGGTTCTGGGAGTTCTTCTACTCCCCAAGCCCGGCCCGGGGACCAGGCTTGAATTGTGAGAGCCTGGTTCACCAGGCTGTTGCTATTTGCAGCCTACTGCAGAGTACCAAAGCAAAGAATGCAGAAGAATTGAGAGAAAAGGAAAAATAATTGTCCCACATAACAGGAAAAGAAATGGGTGAAACCACAGGAGCAAAAAAAATCAGTGGAGAGCTTGGGATGAGCCATATGGAACCATATGGAAATCCAAAAGCCATATGGAACCTGTAAGAAAACATACAAAGTAGCTACAGTAAATAATTCACAGGCATAATCTAACCTTAAAAGTACAGGTAACAGCTGCTTGACACTCACAAGTCTAATGGGTAGAAGAAGAAGACTAGGTATTTGCCACGGAAATCGGAGAGCTTCAACTCTTGAAACTGGCCGTCAATTACAGCAGTACCTTCCCATGCTGGTGCAGGCCTGCTTACTGCAATAAATATAAATAACGATTGATATACAAAAATCATTCCGAGCAATGAGTCGAGTAATTTTACCAATTTTACAATTCCTGCCGGCATCAACTTAAAATATTATATATGCAAGACTTTATTAACATATTTAAATATGTTAATATACACAAATGATATTAAAATCCAATGTTGACCAGATCACATACTAATAAGTGAAGGGTCGACGTTTCGGTCCGTCCTGGACCATTCCGAAGTCGATTGTGACTTGAGAATGGTCCAGGTCGGACCGAAACGTCTTTCAAGTATGTGGTCTGGTCAACATACTTCAACCACGTCATTGTGACTCTTGTGACTTAAAATCCTCTTATTATTATACAGTATTTGTACCAAAGCCAAATACCCACTCATGGCTTTGGTCCACTGGAGGTTGTGCCCAGATGCCCGGCCCTCGGTGTTAGGGTAGACGGCTCCTCCAGCGAAGGTGTGGCACTGCTCGTCTGCCAAGCCTGCCACACCCACGCCCATGTACATGAGCCCCACGAGGGCACACAGCTGGAGAAGCGCCATCAGGATGGGTAGGTGAGCCACAGCTTGTACAGAGGTGGTGGCTTGGGCGTCACAACAACAGTATATGGCCGTTTGTGATTGGTGGAAGGAAATGTGTGTCCCGATCATCTCACGCTGGCTACAGCTTCCTTCGTAAACATGTATGTTTTCTATATGATGTAATATTTCGAGTGTCATTCATCTTTAACAATTCTATTACAATTACATATGTTTGTTAAGTTTTCAATTAAGTGTTTCAGCCTTTAAATTCTCATAATTCAAAACGACCTGAATGCCAAGGTCAAGTAAGTTTATTGAGAGAAGGAAGTACGGTACATATCAAAATACATGTATACAAAGTATATATCACATCGATAGGATAAAGTAGCTTAGGCCATTTCTATCTTCATCTATATAGGGTCCCTCAGGGGGCTCACAAACCCATACAGTATCCAATTATTAATCATATTCTACATTTCACATTCCAATAGAAATCACATGGCACACAGTGGGATCTCTTATTGATTTTGATATCCTTGTCATATCTTGTTTTGGTAAAGTCAGACGAAACAAGTTGAAGAAGGTAAGTAATGCTCATTATGTGTATTATTGCATTACAGGTAAATTATATGTTAATCCTTAATTGACAAAACTTTCAATGATATTAATTCTAGTGGTCGGATGTGCTCCAGTGCTCTCGTGTAGCGTAAAGGCACAAAGCTTTGTGATTATGTACACGTCGCCTGTCGACGACGTTTCGATCCGTCCTGGACCATTCTCAAGTCGATTGTCTTGAGTTCGCCGCCCCCTCCCCTTCCGGCCCGTTGGCGTCGTGAGGGGGCTTGGTGGACGGCTGCCGGAGTGTGATGCTCCGTTGGGCAGTCCTCTGTCCTTTTCTGGCCTTGCATTCCTGCTGCTGTCTTCTCCAATTGTGCCGGATCGCTTTTCCTTTTCCTTATGTTTCGTTTTTCTCCCCCCTCTTCTCCTATCTGCTTGTCGTTTCCTGCCGACCTTTTGCTTGTTTTGGATTCTTTCTTTGGACTTCTACTATTTTGACGCCCGGGTGCTTGAGGAGGCATACTCTTGCACCCGTAGAACTGTAGTACCCGACGTCTCGAGCGAGGGGAACCTTTTATTGTCAATCCCCCTTTCGTCGCTGAACCCGATCTCGACGGACTGACGGTTCTTAAGGTGGCGTTTGTGGGGCGTATACTCACGACGCACCCCTAGGGGGCCCCGGCATGATCAGCGATAGCTTCCTGTTGGGTGTCCTGCCTCTAATTGTGGCTCCATGGTGGGTATGGGGGCACATTCGTGGATGAATTTGTCACTTTTCGTCTCTATGTCGTTGAATGTTTCCGTTGTACCCTCTCAGGCTCGTGGGGTGGGCGACCAAGCCCCCGAGTCGGCCTGTATTGGAAGACCAGGCTCTGTAGCTCCCGCTGCGTTGGGCCCCGACCTTGCTCCTCCTTTGACCGTCCTGACTTCTTCCCCCAGCTCCCCTCCCTCCTCTGAGGTTGGGTCGAGCCTCCAGCCCCCGGTGGTGACCACTTCGTCCCCTGGTGTGGCTAAGTCTTTCGTTGTGACTACTGCGCCTTTTGACCCCTCTCTCTCTAGGGGTTCTCACCGCCGTTCGCGCCCCAACCGCACTCGCTCGATTCCTTCCCGTGCTGATGCGTATCAGGCCTTGTTTGGTCCTGCTTCATGGGCCAAATACTTTGATCTCCTCCCTCTTGATTCTGCGCCTCCTGACGATTTCTCCCTCCATCGGCATCTTGTAGATTCCGTGGATGCGTGTGTTACTTTCAACCCCACTCGTCTCGGTACACGTGTCGTTGCTGCTCCTTCTCAGGATGCGGCTTCCCGCTTGGCTGCCTTATCTTGCCTTGGCGAGATCCCTGTTCGGGTCTCCAAGAACGTTCAGATGAATTCCAGTGTTGGCACTATTCTCCTCCCACCCCATGTTGCAACCGGTGTTCGGAATCTGCAGGATTGCCACGATGATATTCGGCATATCCTTGATGCCCAAGGCCATTCTGTCCTCCAGGTTGACTCGTTTACTCGTCCCCCTCGTGGTCGTCGCCGTCAACCCCTTCGCGTTGTGAAGATCACCTTTGATGGTAGGACCCTTCCATCCTCTGTCATTCTTGCTGGTGCTAGGTGCTCTGTCCAGGAGTATATTCCTTCTCCTCGACTTTGTAATAAGTGCTGGAGGTTTGGGCATGGTGCCCTCCGCTGCTCTGGGACTGTCTCTCTCTGTCCCTTGTGTGGGAGTGAGGGTCACTCTAAGTCGGAGTGCACTTCTCCCCAAGCTCGCTGCCTCAACTGCGGTGAGGCCCATCCTACGTTCTCCCGTGCCTGTGTCCATTACAAGCTTGAGGCGGCCGTCCTTAACCTGAAGCACCGGGAGCGTTTGTCTTTTCCTGAGGCGAGGCGCCAGGTTCGCCGGCTCCCGCCTTATACTAACATCTCTTATGCTCGCGTGTTGCGCTCTTCCTCTCCTCGTCCTTCCCCCCTTCCTCAGACTCTCAACCGTTTCCGGGCCTTGGACCCTGATACGCCCACTGCCCCCTCCTCTGTTCCTTTGAGTTCTTTCCCGAGGGGTCCCCCTCCTGGTCCTCTGTCTGGGGTTCCCCTTCTTTCAACCCGGTCTGTCATGTCTCCTGTGTCTTCTTCCTCGTCCCCCTCCGATCCTCCTTCCCATCCTCTTCCTCCATCTATCGGCTCTCCCCGCCGCCTGTCGGTGCAGGCGGATGTCCATCGCTCTCCTAACGGCCGTCGTGTGTGCTCTCGTTCGGCTTCTCCTGTTGAGACACTGGAATCCGTTGCCCGGTACGTAGTTGCTGGGACACCTGTCTCTTTAAGTCAGAAGCGTAAGCCTGGCTCCTCTCCTTCCTCTTCCCCGGCGGGTAAGAAGGCTTCGCTTTCTTCCTTAGCTCCTACTTCGGGCTCTGTTGCTCCTTCCCCTCCCGTTTCAGTGGTTGCGCCCCCTGTTCCTGCTATGGAGGTTTCTTTGGCCCCTGCTTCCCTTTCGGTTGCTGCTCTTGCTGGGGTGCGCTCCCCTCTTTCTACTCCCCCTCTTCCTACTGCTGTCCTTGACTGCTCCTCTCCGTTGTCTCCTCCTCTTCCTCCTCCTCCTCCGGACCCCGCCCGCCCGCCTCTGATCTGTTCTCCCGTTTCCTTCCCTCCGTCTTTGCTCAGTTTACCCATGCCCCCTAACCCTGACTTTGCTGACCCTGATCCCGACCCTGATATTCTTTAACGTGCTCTGTTGCTCTTTCGCCTTTGTTTCTTCCTTGTTCTCTGTTTTTGTCCTTTCTCTTCCCGTCGTTGTCCATTCTTCAATGGAACGTTCGAGGTTATTACGCCAATTTCCTCGAACTCCAACTTCTGATTTCGCGGTTTTCGCCCCTTTGTGTCTGTCTCCAGGAGCCAATGCTTGGTGCTCGTCCTGGTCGTTTTCGTGGCTATTCCTTTCTCTCCCCCCCCCCAGCCATTGCTGGGGCTTCTAATTCTTCTGCTCTCTTGATTCGTGCAGATGTTCCCTTTGTTCCTTTACTTTTTCCTTCGCCTCTCCATTGTTCTGCTGCTCGTATCTTTGTGGGGAAATGGTACACAGTTTGTTCCATTTATCTCCCCCCGAGTGTCCCGCTCTCTCTTCCTGATTTGAAACACCTCCTAGACTCCTTGCCGGAGCCTGTGCTCCTGCTGGGTGACTTCAATTGTCGTCATTCTCTTTGGGGTGACGTTCTGACGAATACCCGGGGTCGCCTCCTTGAGCCGTTTCTCCTATCTTCTTCCCTGTCTCTTCTGAATTCTGGTGAGCCCACTCATTTGGACTCTCGGTCTCGCACCCTTTCTTGTCTTGATCTTTCTCTCTGCTCTTCTTCTCTTTACTTAGATTTCACGTGGCAGGTTCTTGATGACCTCCATGGAAGTGATCATTTCCCTATCCTTGTTTCCTTTTTCTCTTTTCGCCCTTCCGTCTCTTTCCCTAGGTGGCAGTTTGCTAAGGCAGACTGGACCCTATTTACCCTCAGTGCTGCTCTCTCTGACCTCTCCCTTCTGCCTCTCTCTCGCGCTCTCCTCCTTTTTCATGACACTGTCTTCAACGCTGCCCTCCGCTCTATTCCTCGCTCTTCCTCTCGGGGTCCACGGAAGTGCGTTCCCTGGTGGAATGCGGACTGTGCTCGGGCTGTCCGCTGTAAGCGTGCAGCCTGGAAGAGGCACCGCCGTAGGCAGACGACCGATTCTTTTCTTTTCTTTCGGAAAGCGAGTGCGGTGGCCCGTAGGGCCATCCGTACGGCTAAACGTGAATGTTGGGCATCTTATGTCTCAACAATTACGTCCGAAACCCCTCTGGCCCAGATCTGGAAGCGTATCCGCAAGATAGCGGGTAAGTTCGCTCCCGATGTTTCACCGGTCCTTCACCTCCATGATAATCTTGTGGCGGACCCGTTGCAGGTCGCTTCCGAACTGGGTTCCCACTTTTCTTCTGTTAGCTCTGGTCTTCATCTTCCCCAATCTTTCCTTCTTCGTAAACCTGTCCTTGAGTCTCGTCCTTTAGATTTCTGCACTCATCTTCAGCTTCCCTATAATGATCCCTTCTCTCTCTCTGAACTTCGTTCTGCTCTGGCCCTCTGCGGTTCTACGGCGGCAGGCTCCGATGGTATTCATTATGAGATGCTTCGCCATCTCCCTCCGAGCACGTCTCAGTATTTACTGAGTCTGTATAATCGGATCTGGGAGTCGTCGTCAGTCCCTGAGGACTGGCTCGATGCCGTTGTCCTCCCTGTTCGCAAACCGGGGTCTCTGGGTACTTCCCCTAAGGACTTTCGCCCTATTGCTCTCACAAGTTGTGTCTGCAAACTTTTTGAACGTATGGTTAACGTTCGTCTGATGTGGTTCCTGGAACACCATCACCTCCTCTCCCCTTCTCAATTTGGTTTCCGCAAGTGCCGCAGCACGACAGATGTCCTGGTGAACTTGGAGGTCTATATTCGTACTGCTTTTGCTGCGAAGACCTCCGTTGTTGCCGTCCTTTTTGACCTGGAAAAGGCTTACGACACCACTTGGCGTTATCATATCCTATCTCAACTTCATTCTTTTGGCCTTCGTGGTCATCTCCCTCTCTTTCTCCGCAGCTTCCTCTCTCGTCGTTCCTTTCGGGTGCGCCTTGGTACCGCTCTCTCTCCCTCTTTTCAGCAATACGAAGGTGTGCCCCAGGGTAGTGTTCTGAGCACTACTCTTTTTCTGGTTGCCCTCAATGGTCTTCTTTCCTCTCTTCCTTCTGGTGTCTTCTCCGCTCTCTATGTCGATGATCTTACCCTTTGTTGTCAGGGTGATGATTCGCCTTTCCTTCAACGCCGGCTTCAACTTGCAATTGATGCCGTGTCGTCTTGGGCCACTGATCATGGCTTCAAGTTCTCTACTTCTAAGACTTGTGCCATGACATTTACGCGGAAACGGGTTGTTCTTCGTCCCTCTTTGTCACTTTATGGTCATCCCCTTGAATACAAAGATTCCGCGAAGCTTTTGGGGTTATTCCTTGACACTCGTTTGTCTTGGTCTCCCCATATCTCTTACCTCCGTGTTGAGTGCTCTAAGGCCCTTACCCTCCTTCGGGTCTTGTCCCATACTTCTTGGGGGGCAGATAGGCGCACTCTCCTTGCTTTACATTCTTCTCTCGTCCTGTCTAAGCTCGATTATGGTTGCCCTGCTTACTCGTCTGCTTCTCCTTCTACTCTTCGCCGTCTTGATGCTTTGCACCATACTGGGTTGCGCCTCAGTTCTGGTGCCTTTCGTTCGACTCCCGTCCTTAGCTTGTATGTTGACACTGGCTTCCTGTCTCTCCAGGACCGCCGTGATCGCTACTGTCTTCGCTATCTTGCGCGGTCCTTGCAACATCCTTCCTCTCGCCTCTGTCGTGCTTTAACTTTTACCCCTCCTGCGGTTCCTGTTCCTCTTCACCACCTCCCTCTTTCTGTCCGGTTATCTCGCCTGCAGGATTCTCTTTCCGTTCGTATTTCTGATGTTTCTCCTCGTGTTGTTCCTTCTTTGCCCCCGTGGAGGGTCCCTCTTCCGCGGTTTTGTACTTCCTTGACCCGTATCACTAAAGCTTTTACCCCTCCTACGGTTCTAAAACGCCTTTTCCTCGAGCACTTTTCTTCTCACTCCCGCTCCGTTTCTGTCTTCACCGATGGGTCTAAGTCAGCGGACGGTGTTGGCTACTCTGTTGTTTTTCCTGATCGCACTTATATGTGTCGCTTGCCTCCGGAGACTAGCATCTTTACAGCGGAACTTTATGCTATTCTCTATGCTCTTCGTCTCCTACTTTCTCGTTGTCAGTCTTCCTTTGTAGTTGTTGTTGACTCTCGTAGTGCCCTCATGGCTCTCGGGTCCTTTAATCCAGTTCATCCAGTGGTTGTCGAGATCCAGCATTGGCTGTTTCTCGTTCATAGTAAATTTAAGTCGGTTGAGTTTTGTTGGGTTCCCAGCCATATTGGTGTGTCTTTAAATGAGCGTGCGGATGCTGCCGCCAAGGAAGCTGTCCGCTCTTGTCCCATCTCTCGTAAGGGCATTCCATATTCCGACTTTTACCCGGTTATCCATTCCTCAGTCCTTACCCGTTGGCAGGCTTCTTGGTTGTCTGTTACTGGTAACAAGCTACGTACTCTTAAATGTTGTGTTTCCTCGTGGCAGTCCTCCTTCCACCGTAACCGGCGGTGGGAAACAGCTCTGGCGAGGTTGCGTATTGGCCATACTCGCTTAACCCATGGTCACTTGATGGAGCGCCGCCCTGCTCCTTATTGTCCTAGTTGCATTGTCCCTCTTACGGTCGTGCATGTCCTTCTTGAATGTCCTGACTTCCAGGACGAGCGTATGTCTTGCTTTCCGACCGCCCCTCGCGGTCACCTGTCCCTCGATAGAATTCTTGGTGACTCGGATACTTTTGATATCGTTCGCCTTATGCGTTTTTGTTCTCGTATTGGCATCCTTGGTGATATTTAGCGCCCTCTGATTATTTTGCGTATTTGATGGTGCTACATAGCCTTCCCGGTTTGGTGCCTTCTTTTGATAATTACTTACTTACTTGAGTTCGCCGAAGTCAACAGCAGACCAACACTGAAGGTTACATTTACCACAGCCATCCCAGTGACCAACGCCACAGACTTAAGTGCACAGGTATCACCATATCACATGGTGATATGGCGTATCACCATATCACATGGTGATAAAAGGTATCACCATATCACATGGTGACCATATCACTATCCCAAGTGACTATGAAACGCTTCACGGAGCTTTGGCAGTGTTTCAAGAGCCACCAGTACTCCCACTACACCAGGAAGTGCACCGAGCGAGCGCAGATATGTAGCCTCTGCGCCCAGGACCACCACTACATAGACTGCACATCCTCCCACCGACGCTGCCTGTTCTGTAATGGCCCACACTCTGCGGTCTCACCTGACTGTCTCTTCTAGCAGGAGGAAATCAAAAAGATAACCCCCTGCTTCCTCCACTGTCATACCTTGACCAGCAAACCCGCTCCCGTCGGAATTCCCAGCCTTACTTGGAAACACACACGTGACTCCCTCACCACTGCCTGCCTGGCCTCTGGGGATGCCGCACCCAGACGACTGCACCACCTCTGACCATCCCACAACCGGCCCCACCTGCTGCCTCCACCATGGCCACCCTTTTACCCGTCTTCCTTCACCTCGCCGAGAAAAGAGCGGGCGACGACATTACCCGCTATATCCACGTATTCAACAGGCTGCTCGTCACGAATGGACTTCCAACAGCTGCTGTACCTGATGACCTTCTTCCAGCTTCCACAATGGCTACCGGACCCCCCGCCCCGGACGCAAGTCTCACTGCTTTTACTTCCACTCCGAAGACTTCCACCAGATCGACCATGAGGTCAATTTCATCACAAACTTCAGAACCACCTGAGGCCTGTCTCCAACTCCCAACACTCTTACAATCACCATCTCAGCAGACGTGCTGTCTTTAAACACTAACAGCACCACCAACGCTCCTGAAATAGCTTCCGCCACTAATCTACAACACCTGAGCCTACCTCAGGCTGTGAGACGAAAGACGAAAACACCAACTTCGGAGGTTACGGACTCCTCAGACGAGGAAATCTTAGTAGGAGCTCCACCGCCGCATCACAAATACGACACCTACTCGGTACAAGACCTCCTCATAGAGGCCACCTCACCAAACTCCTACGACAGCACGGCTCAGCCAAAGTCTCAGGCAAAGAAAAAACGGAAGACCTAGAGGTCTACACTAACCCCACCAGCTCCATAACTGGTACAGCCAGCCCTCCGGGGCTGAAATCCATCATTCTGGGAATGGATGTATCAGCTATTGATATTTGTATCAGCTATTGATACAAATGATAGCTCTAAAGAACCTCCACTTACGGGCTCACCAAAGCCTGTGCTATTTGGAACTTTTCTTTCCAAGTAGATGAATTTTAAAGAACAACAAAGAACAGCGCTTTTCCCTTGTTGGTATCCGCCAGGGATGAGTCTCCGTGGTGTAGTGGTAAGACACTCGCCTGGCGTTCCGCGAGCGCTATGTCATGGGTTCGTATCCTGGCCGGGGAGGATTTACTGGGCACAATTCCTTAACTGTAGCCTCTGTTTAACGCAACAGTAAAATGTGTACTTGGATGAAAAAAGATTCTTCGCGGCGGGGATCGTATTCCAGGGACCATAGGATTAAGGACTTGCCCGAAACGCTACGCGTACTAGTGGCTGTACAAGAATGTAACAACTCTTGTATATATCTAAAAAAAAAGGATGCCAGATTGGGCTACAAGTAGCGAATTGGGCTACTTTTCAGAGCCCCGCGCTCCCAAATTTTTAATGTCGCTACTTGCGACTTTTTGGGCTACTTTAAAAACAAGTTGGGCTATTAATGTTAAGAAACTCTATGATGATTTTTATGCTTTTATAATGTCATGTGTACAAATCACAGCCGCGTCCAACAGCTTGATTGAATAGACCACTTACCGCAGGAGGCCAGGTCAGAGACCGACCCCCTGTGGACGTTGATCCTAGGAACTTCCTAAAGAAAAAGTAACCACAAGGCAAGATAATCCTCCCCAGGGGCTATAGATTTCCCAACCTTAATTGCCATGAATACTTCATCCCGGGTACTGTCTATGTTAAGTGACCTCCCACTGTTGCCTACTGTAAATATTAGGTTTCTCTTTAGGATACCTGATACCTGATCAACCAGGCTGTGACTCATACGTCAGGCTGCGAGCAACCGCGTCCAACAGCCTGGTTGATCAGTCCGGCAACCAGGAGTCCTGGTCGACGACCGGGCCGCGGGGACGCTAAGCCCCGGAAGCACCTCAAGGTAACCTCAAGGTATGTGTTTCCAAGAATCAAATGACTGTCGTTAGAGCGGATTAGCATACAGTGAACTTGGCAGCTTCATCTGTGCTTTCATTGTTAGTGTGGCTCTGACCTCCAGAAGGATAGGTCGACACAAGTTACCGCATATAGAAAAGAAGTTACCGCTGTTACTTTTAGAATTTGCTTAAGTGTTAAGATAAAGAAGCGTAAAATGGGGAAGTGGTCTAAATACCAGGAAGCGTTTCAGATGTCCTGGCTTAAGGATCCAAGTTAAAGAAGATGGAAATATGGCATATTGTAAAGTTTGTAGAACTGAGATAAGAGCTCATAGAAGTGATTTAAAGAAACACAGTGAAACATTAAAACACAGACAAAATATATCGGAGGTAAGTCATCAGCAGATGAGCATCAAATCTGTTCTATCAAAGAAGGAAGATAAACTTACTAAATTTGAATGTCGTCTGTCTGTATGCACTGTCGCTATCTAGAAATCTAACATTATGTTTGTAACTCATCTTGTATGTATGTACTTTTACCTGAATAAACATTTGATTTGATTCGATTTGACTCAAAAAATTGAGCTACTCTACTTGCAAATTCGCTACTTTTTGACCGTCAGCTCGCTACTTTTAGGAATTTGGATCTGGCAACCCTGGTCTTCCGTTCAGTGTGCGATAAGCCGCCACAGGACTCGGTATGTTGCTCTCCGTCACCATAGAGTGCAGTAAACACTAAGGCAAGCCACCAAATTCAAGTAAGTTTATTGAGAAAAGGATAGAGTAGCTTAGGCTATTTCTATCTTCGTCTATATAAGGTCCCCCAAGGGGCTCACAAGCAGTACACAATTATTTATCATATTATACATGTCACATTCCAGTGGTAATCACATGGCATACTGCAAGATCTCTTATTGATTATGCTGCCCCTGTCATGTCTTGTTTTGGTGAAGACAGACTAAACGAGTTGGAGAAGGTACAAAATGAAGCCAAGAGATCGATTAAGTTCTCTGACTAAGTCGCCTCTGACTAAGGCGACTTAGTAAGTCGCCAAGCAACAGTTTGGCTTTGTTTTTCACCACGTACAATGTTCATCTTAGCCCACACAACACTTTCATTGTTGAGATGAAGAAATTCAGGATCCAAGTATGTCTGATACTTAAAAACAATAACTTTTGTGTAAATTATTCCGACTTCAGGAATAACCAAGACAATATTCTTAAATCCGTCAGTCGTTAGAGGTTCCACTACCTCTTCTATCCCAACTGTTATGTAGGGCCGGTGAACTCCCTCCTTAAATAATAATTTATATTCACCAAATTTCTTGCCCAATTGAACGGTCCATTCCAGCTTCAGGTGAGAAGTTAGTGCACATGGGAGCCGTGCGGACAGCACGCTGGACTTGTGATCCTGTGGTCCTGGGTTCGATCCCAGGCGCCGGCGAGAAACAATGGGCAGAGTTTCTTTCGCCCTATGCCCCTGTTACCAAGCAGTAAAATAGGTACCTGGGTGTTAGTCAGCTGTCACGGGCTGCTTCCTGGGGGTGGAGACCTGGTCGAGGACCGGGCCGCGGGGACACTAAAGCCCCGAAATCATCTCAAGATAACCTCAAGATATGTAGAGGGAAATAACACCCGCTTCCTTCCATTAATCCGTGCCTCTCGCTGTATGTGATCCTTGACCAGACCACACACTAGAAATTGAAGGGACGACGACGTTTCGTCGCATTTCGTCGCATTCACATTCACAATCCACTTGAGAATGGTCCAGGGCGGACCGAAACGTCGTCGTCCCTTCAACTTCTAGTGTGTGGTCTGGTCAACATACTTCAGCCACGTTATTGTGACTCATCGCCTGCGTATGTGATCCTGTTGCATTCTTCAGGTGAGATTTTCCTGCGGAGTTTGTATAAAACTTTGTAACCCGGGTCCCGTCTGTCGTCGATCACAACACTTCTTGGGTCTGGCATCACTGTCGGTATCACTTCTCTGCACACAGGTTTCCATAGTTTCTCCTGGTCATTGCTACCTGAAAAAGCCTTAAATCTCCCTCTTCATCCTCCATCAAAGGTCCACAAGTTCACAACTTTCTAGGGCGCTCCAAGACGCATCATTCCTCCACCACGGCTGAGAAGGAAGAGAAGTCATCAAGTTTGTCTTTGGACTCATTAAGTGTTGGGTGGGAGGTGGAGGGGGATCCAGGTGCTCGGAAAAGATAAGAAATAGTTTATCTTTTCACTTAGAAAACAGGTTCCTGCTGTTTTCTGCTTGGAGGGTGTGGGGATCCGGGGGCTTGCCTTTCCGGGGGACTCTATGGGGTCACCAGCCAGCCTTGTGCCTAACTGTATGCTTATCCAACCTGTCCTCTTACAGCCTGTCCTCCTACAACCTGTCCTCCTACAACCAGTCCTCCTACAACCTGTCCTCTTACAACCTGTCCTCCTACAACCTGTCCTCCTACAACCTCTCCTCCTACAACCTGTCCTCCTACAACCTGTCCTCTTGCAACCTGTCCTCCTACAACCTGTCCTCCTACAACCTGTCCTCTTACGTCGTCGCATTTCGCTCGTATGCGTTACATTAAGCCAACAATTTTCGTACTAGAAAATGAAAGCGGCTGGCGAAAGTGACGTACTGTCCCGTTTTCTGCTGTGGATCCTCTGGTAGGTTAGGAGAGGGCACTTTAAATTGACCTTTTCTTGACGTCAGGAAACCTTTGGAGGACGGGTTGGTTTATCTACTAGAAGACGCAGTTATCTTCTAGTAGAAGATAAATCCTTATCCTGACTTCTTCCCAGTGATATATAGTAGTCATGACTTGGCGCTCTCCCTTAATAATTTCGTTCTCTTCACTCAGGCAGCCAAACGTTTCACACCTCCACCTTCAGGAAGAACCAGATACTGTTCTAAGGTCTAGGACGCGTACTCCAAGGTTATGTACCTGGGATTACCCAGTCAGTGGACGAGTCCTGCTTTCGAAGTAATGCGTCCAGATGCTGTTTACATCATCATATATACGTAATTACCTAAGTGTAGGTACAGGATGAGAGCTACGCTCGTGGTGTCCCGTCTTCCCAGCACTCTTTGTCATATAACGCTTTGAAACTACTGACGGTCTTGGCCTCCACCACCTTCTCACCTAACTTGTTCCAACCGTCTACCACTCTGTGAAAGTGAGTTTTCTTATATTTCTTCGGCATCTGTGTTTAGCTCGTCTAAATCTATGACCTCTTGTTCTTAAAGTTCCAGGTCTCAGGAAATCTTCCCTATCGATTTGATCAATTCCTGTTACTATTTTGTATGTAGTGATCATATCACCTCTTTTTCTTCTGTCTTCTGTCCCGTAGCGCCTGAGGTGAGCATCGTCCCGTGCTCCGTTAACTGTGTGCATTTAAAGCTCATAGATCAAGATATCTATCATGCACTAAATTATCATATTACGTTGTTTTATTGTATTTTCTTGTATTTTCAAATTGGCAGTTGTATTCCTACACGCTTGAGTCAATGTACCACAAGACTCGAAAATTGGGAGAAATGAAATATTTTGCGCCCAATTCTGATTACAAAATTATAGGTTGATTTATGCAACAAATTACCGGGTAAGACAGTAGACACGGGATCACTGATTGTTTCAAGCGTAGGCTGGACATATGTATAAACGAGTTTGCTTGTGTATATTAATAGGATCACCGTCGAATTGGCATAATAGACTTTCTGCTGTTTTCTATATTCCCACATTTCTTGTATTTGTAAAAACATGCATGTAACGTCAGTATGAAAAAAGGGCCAAATAATATGCAGATGATAGCCAGATAGCATACTATCTGGCTATCCAAAACCGTCAATCCTGCAACCCGTCCTCGACTCAAGTCCATTACATCCAGCGGTCCACCCCACAGACGCATTCATAAATTTTAACATGCTGTTCATTCAAAACGGGAATTTTCTCAAGTATAAATTAATATTATAATATATTAGCATATTGTGTATAAATAGGCATAGGTTAGGTTAGGTTAGGTGTTTAGGTTCTGTTGGCGATTATTTGTATTTGTAGTACGTGGGTGAAGCATTTACAGCGTTGTGGTTCGAACAAAATTCGTCAGTGAAGCACTTGTTCCGGAAGTGTTCGAACGTCAGCAGTTGTGAGTCGTGTGTAAACCGCTTTTCATTCATAAACAGGGGGTTTGGCGGGTGGATGGAATCACTTTTGGATCTTTGTTTGGAGGACGGGCTGCAATCCTATCAAAAACAGGATTCGGATATCCGTTGGGATGAGGCTATGGTGAAACAGCAAGGCCTTGTGGAGCTCAACAGTGGTACATAGTGGAGGGTCTATTGGTATACAATAGACAATAGTACATTTGGAGAACATATCTGAGTAGTACATGTGGATTAGTAGATTTGGAAGACATATCTGAGTTGTACATGTGGATTAGTAGATATGGAAGACATATCTGAGTAGTACATGTGGATTAGTAGATATGGAAGACATATCTGAGTAGTACATGTGGATTAGTAGATATGGAAGACATATCTGAGGAGAAAACATCCCCCGACATAGAGGAAGCTGAGACACAGAACACTAGAAGTAAAACACAAATCACTTACAAGATTAGTGGATCTTATAGTGCAAAAAAAGAGAGCTACAAACATGTCAAAAAATGACTAGTAATGAAGCTTTGAGAGTGTGAAGGAAATGGCTCATATCACTTGAGTCACTGTTGAACTTTAACCTAAGGAAACGGATATGAGGGTTTGGTCTAATGTTGTTGGTTTGATATTGCCAGTCCGTCCTACAAACAAAGACCCAAAGTCCATTCCATGCACCCGCCAAACCCCCCTGTTTATGAATGAAAAAAGACGACTCTAATAACGTTCTCAACTGATGATGTTCGACGACACACGACTCTCAACTGATGACGTTCGACGACACACGACTCTCAACTGATGACGTTCGAACACTTCCGGAACAAGTGCTTCACTGACGACTTGTGTTCGAACCACAACGCTGTAAATGCTTCACCCACGTACTACAAATACAAATAAACTGAATTGAATAAATAAACAATAAATAAATAAACAAATTAAATAAACAGAATGATAAAATTGATGAATGTGTCTTTGTGGTTGACAGCTGGATAGAATGGACTTGGTCTGAGCACAGATATATATTTGAGGAGAAAATATATATCTATCTATATTGAGGATATATATATATATATATATATATATATATATATATATCCATTAATTTTTAGTCCTATTTTGTGGTTATATATTTAAACCCTTATTTATATCTCATCTGATTAACTTCAGTCGTATCAATCCTTAAATTTGTATTCTATAGAAAAACGTATATTAAGTTAACATAATATACGAAGTTAACTTATAATATTCGACGCAATATAAGTTAACATAGCGGTAGGAGAATGTTAACACAGAGAGAAACTGGCGGTTAATGAGAGAGTACCTAAGCAACAGAAGACAGAGAGTCACAGTGAGAGTAATAGCTAGAAAGTTGAGAGGTGTTGAGAGAGGTACCAGTCTCGTGGTGTAGTGGTAAGACACTCGCTTGCCGTTCCGCGAGCGCTTTGTCACGGGTTCGTATCCTGGCCGGGAAGGAATTTACTGGGCACAAATCCTTATCTGTAGCCTCTGTTTAACTCAACAGTAAAATGTGTACTTGGTTGTAACAACGATTCTTCGCGGCGGGGATCGTATTCCAGGGACCTGCCCGAAACGCTACGCGTACTAGTGGCTGTACAAGAATGTAACAACTCCTGTATATACCTGGCTACCAGGTTGATGGGGTTCTGGGAGTTCTTCTACTCCCCAAGCCCGGCCCGAGGCCAGGCTTGACTTGTGAGAGTTTGGTCCACCAGGCTGTTGCTTGGAGCGGCCCGCAGGCCCACATACCCACCACAGCCCGGTTGGTCCGGCACTCCTTGGAGGAATAAATCTAGTTTCCTCTTGAAAATGTCCACGGTTGTTCCAGCAATATTTCTTATGCTTGCTGGGAGGACGTTGAACAACCGCGGACCTCTGATGTTTATACAGTGTTCTCTGAATGTGCCTATGGCACCTCTGCTCTTCACTGGTTCTATTCTACATTTTCTTTCATCTCAAAAAACATCTATATATCTCAAAAAAAAAAAATAGGTGTTACAAGTGGGGTCGCGTAGGGCTGTGTACTAGGGCTAATCATGTTTGTTCCAGCAGGATGTGCTTATCCTACGCTATCTTAGCTTACAAAGAAAATATTTGAAAAATATGTATACACAGAAATTAAATAAATAATATAAAGTTTAACTTAAAATATTAAAATATGACAAATACAAATTGGATAAGTTATTATAAAACACTAGGCACTAATTAGATGAAACAAGTGAAAGTTAAAAACAAGTTAAAAACAAGTTAAAAACAAATAAGTTAGGCTGTCTAAATAAACACTTGTCTCACTTTCTCTCTCTCTCTCTCTCTCTCTCTCTCTCTCTCTCTCTCTCTCTCTCTCTCTCTCTCTCTCTCTCTCTCTCTCTCTCTCTCTCTCTCTCTCTCTCTCTCTCTCTCTCTCTCTCTCTCTCTCTCTCTCTCTCTCTCTCTCTCTCTCTCTCTCTCTCTCTCTCTATATATATATATATATATATATATATATATATATATATATATATATATATATATATATATATATATATGCAGAATAACCACATATGAAAAATAGAAAATGCTTAACGCGTTTTCGGCTAATTCGCCTAATTAATAAGGCGAATTAGCCGAAAACGCGTTAAGCATTTTCTATTTTTCATATGTGGTTATTCTGCATACTTGGATCAGTGTTTTTGTGATCATTGTTGCATATATATATATATATATATATATTGGAAAAAAATAGATTTAGCAAAGATCTAGGGTAAATACTAGTTGGAAATAGGATTATTGATTTATAGAACAAATTATCGTGAATATATATAACAGACTGGGAATCAGTGTATTGTTTCAAGTGTAGGATAGACATATGTATATAAGTTGAGGTGTACATAAATAGAAAGTACCTCGTATGGGCCAATAAGCCTTCTGCAATTTTCTTTATTCATATGTTCTTATATATAAAATTCTGTCTCCAGCAGGGAAGATGAGGATGTTGCTGAGTGTGGTGGTGATGGTGGTAGTGGTGGTGGTGGTGGTGGAAAGTGACGTGCCCCTCGACTCCCACTTGTACAGTGGTAAGTACTGTCTGGACACTGGCACGGTCCCTTCGTGTTGTTGTCCACTCCCTTTATGACGGAAAGTACAGCTATCATTACCTCTTGAAAACTAGATTCATACGAGATTCACAACAGGGATTTGCTTTCATTATTCTCCAATAGATTTCAAGCAGTTGATAGCACAAAAAGCAAAAGCCAAAAACTCATACTAGAAAATATAAGCGGCTCGCGAAATAGACATTCTGTCCAGTTTTCTGTTTTAGGGCCTCTGGTAGGTTAGGATAAGCTGCACTTTAGTACGATAGTTTCTTAACGTTGGGGTACCTTAGGATGACGGGCCGCATAGTAATGTGGGCTATCACATTACTATGCTAAGAACTCTCTCAGTTCTTTGATATTCTCATATACAGGTGTGAGGAGTCGATAATACATTTTGGTGTGTATCATTTAGGATATTTCTGGCAGATGTATTTCATTAGTTGAATTAACAACAGTGTAAGTGTGAGGAAATACAAGCAGCAGCTAAATATAATATGTATATGGACTTGAGTGCCACTTGTCTGAGAACTAAGAAGCTAACGTTACTGTTTCAGAGTGTGTTGTCAAGGAGAACGTGAAAATTACAACATTTGAAGACTTGGTTAAGTTTTGGTGTGTGAGAACTAGTGATAAAGACTTAAAAATAAAGCCTGAACAAGGAGGAAATAGTTTCACACTGCAGTATAAGAACATAGCACGGCATGAGTGGTTACAGGCTGAGTTGAAGTTAACAAAAGTTCCAGAGCTGTACATACAGGGGACAATTCACCAACCTACAAAAATCTCAGAATTCATTGGAACAAAAAAGACTTTCACCATTGAGGACGTTAATATTCTACTGCAGTGTCCTCAAGGTCAGTCTTATTGTGGTGATCTTTGGACATGAATTAGTCTAAATAAATTTGTTTCAGTGTAATATTGAATGAAAATATATTATTATTTTGGGACTACTTGCCTCACTCTGAGTGATCATATTTAATTATGTGAACTGTAGCAGGTGCTTGTGAGAATTTTTTTACTGATACCCAGTAATATAACCAACTATGGGGCCTCTCGCGGTCTCTGAAATATTCGATTCACAATCTCTCTTGCATATACAAACTAGCACTCACATGCAAATACAAATTTACACGAACACTTACACAAAAATACCAATTTCACATAAACACATGCAATTACATTCACATAAAATCACAAATTTACATTAACTTACACAATCAAACACAACAACTAGCGCAGACACTCGCAAAAATATTAATTTCACATATATCTCCAGGCTGGCCAAACAGGGAGCTCTCAAGCTTGGGGTCCGATGTACGAATTCCTTCGTCTGGAAAAGAGGAGACCTTGGTTCTGACGCCAACAGTGGACACAAAAGTGAGGTTCTCGGTATCAGGAGACAAGAAGATTCTGTGTTTGAACAACAGCTCCGGCCTGGCAGTAGTTGGCGAAGAGATGAAGAGCGACTGTGGCGACCTAAGTAACAACTCAGCCGTCACCCTCAAGTTTTTGTTCGAGGACCACAACGTTGAGGTAAACTAAATAACCTTCCATAACCTTAAGAACCTTCCAAACGAGGAATCCCACACCAATTATGGTACTCTTCCAAGCTCTGGTTCTCTCTCGTACGGAATATTGGTCAGTCTTCACATCCCCCTTTTCAAGGCTGATAAGATTGCACAGCTAGAAAGTGTGTGTAGATATCTTTTAATGCGCGCGTAGAATCGGTGAAGTATTCAAACTACTGGAACAAACTCATACCACTCAAAGTTAGACAATTTTGAGTGGTATGTTAATAAAGTTAACTAATAATAAAATTATAAAACACTTAAATACTCTCCAATCCAACTTGTCTCACAACAATGTCTTTTCAATTATTGGTTAACGATTTCTCTTCAACAAAGCAAAATACTTTTTGCTTCATCATGTAGTAAATATACAGTTTCTAAAATACTATAGTTCAGAATACATCTAAAAATAGATTAGACAATTCCTTGTATTGTTATATTGTTAACTGTTGTCGGGTACAAGAATACAGTTCAATTCACTGCTAGGTGGAAAAGAAGGATCAGGTGTAAGAAAATGTGCCCTAACGTCTCGTCCTCTCCGAGAATCGAATCCAGGACCAACTGGTTGTGATCCGACTCTATGGTTTTCATAAACAAACACCCTAATTTGGATATTATTCTGTTGTTGTTTGACTTCCTTCGTAGTCCCATACGAAGAATGATTAACAATTTACATTCTTAAGAATTTGGAAAAGTAAGAGAACATGACTGAAGAAAACTGCAGATAAAAGAGGTTACTAAAAGAACATTCAGAGATTTATAAAAATATCACAAAATAAAAAAAGAAATAAGGGGACAAATACACGAGGGACAAGTTGACAAATTAACCCTGACCACCAAACAAGTTTTCAGACATATTTATTGCTTGGAAAGTAAGATTGTATCTTTGATTGTTGCCGCCGAAGGCGGCTAGTTTATTGTGCACCCCATACTCATCCTGTGAGCGGTAGCGCAAAAGCATTATAGAGGGCACAAAAGGTCTTTATCAGACCTCATCTTAGATTATTACATAAACAATTTCTTCAATCCTTCACACCTTATAGATACAATGTCAGCTAGTTACAGAGAAAGTGCTATTACAAGAGCTACATATTTACAGTAAGTCATCATACATTAATGGTAGGTCTTGTCGTTAATACATAATAGTTTGGCCAATGGGGATATTACAGAGTCATAGGGGAGCTTCTGTTTATTATTAGTCCTCACAATACACTACTTGTTTCTGAATCTCATATGTGGTTCATCTACTGGAAGCGAAATGTGGATACAGTGCAAGGATTTCAGGTAATTTATCCATGGTAATAAGATAGGTTGCCATATCATACAGAGTGAGCTTAGATTTATCTCTAAAAGGCTCAATTTTACAACAATCCAAGATATTGTGTTCGAGTGTGTGTCCCTGCCCATGTCCACACACTTTACACTTTATTTTTACTTCATCTAGATCCCTATACAAGCCGAACTGCCAGAGATACTTGTAGCCAAGTCTTATACGAGCTGTGACAACATCTGTTAGTCTACTGACTTTGTTACTTGCCCCATACACATGTTTTACTTCACACATTTCATTGTGATGAACAATGGACCTGCTAGTTCCAGTTTGCACTGTTCTACTTTCTTCAAATCCATATAGGAGTTCTCGTCTAATGACACTTTTAAGGGACCTATTTGATAACTCAAGATTCCATTCAATACTGTCTTTATTTACTGCAGCCTTAGCAAGGGCGTCAACTTTGTCATGTTCCTGCATGCCAATGTGAGAAGGAATCCACAACATTTTTATATTTACCCTCTTGCTAAGTATTCTTACATATCTACGTCTAACTTCCAAGACAAGCACGTTATTACTTGATTGCAAACTGTTTATTGCTTGTAGTGAGGATAGGGAGTCAGAAATAATTAAGCTGTCTACTTCAGTGTTGTCAATAATTTCGAGTGCTACCAGTATCGCTACCAACTCGGCCTGCATTGTGGACGCCCAGTTACTAATTCGGATATTTCTTTGAATTGTGCTGCCATCAGGCTGATGAGCAATAACAGCACTTCCTGCCTTCCCTGTAGCTGTACTGAGTGATCCGTCAGTGTATATGGTCTGTGCAATGTTGTTTTCAGCTTGTATATTGTGAATGTGTTCTATGGTGCTTAATTTAGCAGCAAGCTGAGCATGAGGGTTGTTTGTGATTAGTTTCTTGGTGGGGTATGCAGGAGTCAGGATGTCAAAATGTACTATCTGCCAGGGTGGAAGGATGGGACTGAACGATGTATATACAGATGAAAGAGTACAGCACTTCCTTCCACCCTGGCAAGATTGTACCTCCTTCGATAGGTCCTGGACGCCGAGGGACGCCACCTGGACAACATCACGTACCAGGGAGTCAGGGACTTAAAGTTCTTCAGGGACGGACTCAAGGGACCAGTGTACATCGCCCAGTGCATCGGCAACTGCACCAAAGGTACAGCTCAGGCTAATGGTGAAGTTCCCACCAACAGTACTACTGTAACCTTCACGGAAAAAACGGCAAGAGGTGAGAATTGGAAAAGTGATGTTCGGTGTGGGCATAGGCTAAGTAGGCTCTCTCTCTCTCTCTCTCTCTCTCTCTCTCTCTCTCTCTCTCTCTCTCTCTCTCTCTCTCTCTTTCTCTCTACTTTTCAGTACATTAAGTGTAGCTAGTACACAAGTGTGTAATGAATACACAGTGTGCAATGAGTACACAGTGAGTAATATTTCAGGGCGGTAATCTAAGCAAAAAGGGACCTTATCACAGGGAAGGAGATCAATACTGGTAGTGCCATAAGTACAGAGACTGTATTGACCCCACAACTGTAATGAGTTTTGGAGATTTAACGATTATGAGGAGAAACATATAAAATCAGCAGCCTTTTTTTTTATCTCAACAAAAGGAGAGTGTAAAACAGCCGGGAGATATAGATCTTTTATTTATTCGTAACTCAGCTTTTGTGACATTTTTGTAAACAAAATTCCAGATATTCATTTAAGTCCTGGATACCAACCTAGGAGAATATATTTGGCTGCTTGGAAAGCCATTCCGCTCGACTTACAATCGGGAATCCGGGGTTTCGATCCCCGGGGCGTGACAGAAAATGGTTGGCCACGTTCAGATTACCATTGCTGAACCCTCTACTGTCAACAGTTAAACGATTCTTCGCGGCAGGGGATCGTATTCCAGGGACCATAGGATTAAGGACTTGCCCGAAACGCTACGCGTACTAGTGGCTGTACAAGAATGTAACAACTCTTGTATATATCTAAAAAAAAAAACAAAAAAAAAAACAGGGTAGGCCTAAGAGCCTCCGGAGACTGGGTGAGTCTACCGGACACTGAGCGCTCACCGCTCACATCCATTCTGGTATGTGTAATTTGGTTGAGTTTAAAGTATGGTTGTCTTGGGTTAGATTAGACAGCTACGTTAGCGGTAACAATTTGGCATTTCTGTGTGCTACGTTAATAGTGCGGTGCCTTCCCTGACCAACTGAAATAGGTTATTTTAATCTAAATATAATTCATCTAATCTACGTTATCCAAACAGCGCAGGGCAGCCTGAGTCGCTATGAATAGCGCAGCGCAGCTTGAGTCACTATAAACAGCGCAACATGGGTCGATATAAACAGCGCAGCGCAACCTGGGTCGCTATGAATAGCGCAACGCAACATGGGTCGCTATAAACAGTGCAGTGCAACCTGGGTCGCTATGAATAGCGCAGCGCCGCTTAGGTCGTTATAAACAGCGCAACATGGGTCGCTATAAACAGTGCAGCGCAACCTGGGTCGCTATGAATAGCGCAACGCCGCTAAGGTCGCTATAAACAGCGCAACATGGGTCGCTATAGACAGCGCAGCGCATCATGAGGTCTTTAAAATATAGCACAGCTTAGTATGGGTCTGTAATAAACAGTTCTGCGTATATAGAAACACTTCTCCGGCTTGAGACAGGGAATTTGACTTGTATTGCTACACAAGAAAAAAACATTTTAATGAAACATTTGGAACTTTTAAAGTTCCAAATGTTTAAAGTTATAAAGCATTTATTTTACATCATTGTATTGAGTCAAAGATAAACATTGATTTACACTGAAACATTTCACAAGGCGATATTTTAAAGAGCAGTTGGACACTAGGAGCAAATATGATGCTTTCTAACTCTCTGTGTTTACGATCCCACAGATCCGGGCTCTTACTCGAGCGAAAAGAAACCGTGTCCTTCATGTGTTGTTTACATCGTGATGGTGGTGATCGTGGCCATCTTGGTGCTGCTACTCTCCTGTTACGTCCTCCACTTAAGACGTCAGGTACTGCACTATAGTCACTTCACCAAGTACTGAGTTGACTATGGCCTTCTAGCACTTCAGAGCTCGTAAACTGTTTGGTAAATACAATCTAAGGCGCCATGGTCAAGGTAAGAGGTGCATATTTCGTAAGTGTGGAAGCTTTGTGAATGCTGACTTAGCTGGTCTTCCCAGTCAGGTAGCTGCAGATTGTGCTCTTCAATTATTAGTAAGTTTTATTTTTATTATTAGTCTCCAGCAGTAAGCCGGGTACGGATTCAAAGGTATAAGTACTTATTTGTGTTTGCTGAGTGAGTATTAGCTCCTGGACCCGGGTTTTAAGTTACTGGTCGGCTATTGCAAGGGTAATGGCTATGGCTTCTTGTTGTATCTACTCATTACACTGTATAATGAGTTCTCCTCAGCTATGTCTCATTCTAGGTCATCCCTCTTGCTCATTATATAATTTAAAGTGTTTTTTTTTGTTAATTATGTGGCTCATCTGAGCTTGTAGTGGCAGCCATGCCTTCTCTCCCTGCTACTGCTTATGTCTTCTCGTTCTGCTCCTGATAATGTCCTCTCCTTCTGCTCCTGCTAATGTCTTCTCGTTCTGCTCCTGCTCTTATATTCGATCTTCTGCTGATGCTCAAGACTCCTCGAACTACTACTACTTATGCCTTCAGGTCCTGAAAATGCTCATGCCTTGGTGTCCTACCTGTGTGTGTGTATTTAGCTAGTTGTGTATTTTACCTAGTTGTGCTTGCGGGGGTCGAGCTCTGCTCTTTCGGCCCGTCTCTCAACTGTCAATCATTCAACTGTTACTACTAATTATTTATCTAATTGAGAATGGTCCAGGACGGACCGAAACGTCGTCGTCCCTTCACTTTCTAGTGTGTGGTTTGGTCAACATATTTCAGCCACGTTATTGTGACTCCTCGTCTGCATACTAATTATTTTTTCCACACACCCCCAGGAAGCAGCCCGTAACAGCTGTCTAGCTCCCAGGTACCTACTTACTGCTAGGTAACAGGGGCATCAGGGTGATAGAAACTCTGCCCATTTTTGTTTCCGCCTGCGCCGGAAAGCGAACCCCGGACCACAGGATTACGTATCTAGCGTACTGTTTACTCAGCCACCAACGCCAAACACCAGAGAGAGAGTGTGTGTGTGTGTGTGTGTGTGTGTGTGTGTGTGTGTGTGTGTGTGTGTGTGTGTGTGTGTGTGTGTGTGTGTGTGTGTGTGTGTGTGTGTGTGTATTCACCTAGTTGTGTTTGCGGGGGTTGAGCTTTGCTCTTTCGGCCCGCCTCTCAACTGTCAATCAACTGTTTACTAACTACTTTTTTTTCACCCACACATCCCACACACACCCCAGGAAGCAGCCCGTGACAGCTGACTAACTCCCAGGTACCTATTTACTGCTAAGTAACAGGGGCATTCAGGGTGAAAGAAACTTTGCCCATTTGTTTCTGCCTCGTGTGTGTGCATGTGTGTGTGTGTGTGTGT